TGGAAAAGCTTCTTAATAAGTAGAAACACCACTAAAAACTGTACATGGTTCACATTTAGGGTCAGAATAATTGATTTGATTTGTTCTGTCACCTGCTCCAGTTCTCTCTCTATAAACTCAACTTGCTCATACCTGTAATTGAAATCAGAATAGTGATAAAATATGAACTTTTATATGCACTTTTGTGTTTTATGTCTGTGTATGTGTGAGAGAGAGAAAGAGAGCATAGTTGAACCAAATTAATGTCCACAAAATATAGCCTAACAATCAACAGATTAAACCCATAAACCAATAATAATTGAATAGTTCATGTTCCCTATACTCCACGCCAAGTCACCAAACTCAATTGAGTGGAAACATCCTTCACAATTTGATTTAAGGATAGTTGACACCAAGATATTCATATTTTTTTATGCGAAAAATGTACCACTGGAGCAGGGAAAAGATATGTTTTCATATTGAATTTTTATTTTATTTATTTATTTAAAGGATATGTTTTCTTATTTGTAAATATGTGATTCATATATATGGTGATGATATGTGCGATGTTCTGAAATGCAATAAATTATTGGATTGTCTTAATTGTTTTTTCTTTATAAGAATATGGCTCCTAAGAATGTTGATGGTGAGGAAAAGGTACAATGGACTTCCAAACATGAAGAGTTTTTTTATACATATATTGCATGATCATGTGAAGAAGGGTGACTTGCAAGCATCAACCTTTAAAATAAAAGTTTGGTATGAAATAAACGAGGAGTTGTTAGCAAAATGTGGAAGAAAAAAAATGCACTGTTAAGCAACTCAAGTCTAAGTTTAATAGGTTGCGAATTGCACATCGTGAGTTCTCGGACCTAATTGAGCATACTAGATTTGGGTGGGATCCTAATGCTAACACAGTCACTGCCTAAAAGGATGTTTGGGCTAGTTACATTAAGGTATACCAAGCCTTTATTTAAGTTTTTTTTTCACTTCACTTCACATACTTAAGTGAATTGCTTATGATGTCTGAGTATAATATTTGTCATGGTTTGTAGAGTAAGCCAAGAGCGAAGCAATATCACACTCAAGGTTTAGTGCACTATCAACTTTTAGGGGAGATATTCAACACCACTACTACAACCGGTCAGTTGTGTTATGCCTCTAATCAACTTTCTCCTAACTCAGATGAGGAGCGTGAGTTAGAGAAAAAATTTCTTAACATGGGTGTTCCTATTGATGTTGACTTGGATGATAATGGTGTTAACCTGGAAACTGATCATGGTAAAGGAAAAAGAAAGAGTGTAATTGCTACCCCACCCGAGCGTCGTCCAAAGAAATGGGATAAAATGGAATTCTATTTGGAGGTTTGCAGTGAAGTTATGAGTCAAAGATTACAAACAATTCAAAAGGAAAAGGGTGTTGAGGAAATGGGAGACGTTGAAGAAATGGGAGATATTGATAATGATACATTCAACAAGATGCTAGAAAAAATTGTGCTTATTGAATGGAGAAAAATAATTGTTACAATGTCGGATGCTAGGGGGAGAGCTTGGTTAGCTAGTTTTTAGGAATACTAATATGATTGTGGTTTCTCTTTAGTTGAGATTATGGAATTTCTTTGATATGTTTTTTAGTTTATGAATTTCTTTTATATGTTATGAATTATGTGTTATTTGAGTTTATGAATATCTTTGATATGTTATTATATTAATGGATAGTCCTTGTGTTCTTTTATATTTGAATAGTATGGTTGTGGATATGTTATTATTGTTTCAATGTTAGTGACGATTACTTAATTTGAATATTTGAAGGTATTAGACATGTCTACTAGTAATGGAGGCAATAACTCATATAGTGATTCAGATATAGAAGAACTTGAAGAAATGACACATCATATGCTAATATGTATGAATATTTATGAATATTGGCAATCATATGTTGATATAACTTCTTGCCATAATTCAGTTTTATCAGGGCATGAATATGTTCAAGAGTTGTTAAATGGAAATCCGGATAGAATTTATGACTCATTTCGCATGGACAAACATGTATTTTTAAGGTTATGTCAAACCCTTGAGACTTTAGATCTTTTACACCATGATAGACATGTGGGAATTCAAGAAGCAGTTGGTATTTTCTTATTTATAGTTTCTCATAATATTCGTATGCGAGTTGCGGCTTAGTATTTTCAAAGATCTAAAGATACAATTCACAAACAATTTAAGCATGTATTGACAACTTTATGTGGATTATCACCATGTATTATACACTCAAGTAGTAGAGGGGAAACACTGCTCGAAATCTTGAATAGCCCAAAGTATTATCCTTATTTTGAGGTGAGGAATTTTTGATTTTTGATTTTGCAATTGATCACATGATACTATATACATCATTTAGTTATTTTTATTATTTAGCATAGTAACTTTTCACTATATTGTAGAAGTGTATTGGTGCAATTGACGGGACACATGTTGCTGCTTGGGCACCAGCACAAAAACAAACCTCATATCGGGGTAGAAAGGTTCTTATTACTCAAAATGTTATGTGCGCATGCTCTTTCGATATGATGTTCACATTTGTTTACACCGGATGGGAAGGGACTGCAAATGATTCTAGAGTGTTCACAGATGTAGTGTTGAGGCCAGATAATGAATTTCCTTTTCCAGAAGAAGGTATGAATAAATATAGAAAATTAAATTGAAATTATTACTAACATTATTATCACATTCAAATAACGAATTAAGTAACAAGATATTACTATGTTGGGGATGCTGGATATACAAATATGCCTGGATTCTTGGCACCTTACCAAGGTGAGGGATATCATTTGCGTGATTATAGGGGACCACGCCGAGCACCAAGAGGTCCTATAGAATTATTCAATTATAGACATTCTTCATTACGTAATATAATTGAGCAGTGTTTTGGTGTGTTGAAAGCTCGTTTTCCAATTTTGAAATTGATGCCCAATAATCCTCCACATAGGCAATGACGTATCTCTATTGCATGTTGTGTGTTACATAATTTTATCCGAAGAGAAGCACGTCGTGATAGGTTGTTCGAAGAGTTTCAAGTATAAGACATCATTGTTGAGGGTGAAGATATGGCTACACCAAATTTAGATATGTCTCCGGAAAATATTGCACAAATGACCAACATTAGAGATAAGATTGCACAAGATTTGTGGCGTGATTTCACCCAAGGCTCTTGATTATATCATTGTAATTTTTAATTAAATTTTTTTTTTGGTGTGGCAATGAACAAGTTTTTGTAATATTTGGTCTAGAAGCCAATGAATGTTTCAATCGACTAATTTTTAAACTAAGCCAAATGCATAGATATATCACTTTTTCTTAAATCTAACTTAATCCGAGCTCTTTAATTTTAGTAAAATAGGTCAAATGAGAAAAACATGTTTGGTGTGCATAATAAAAAAAGAGTTGGACTAATTACATACATAAATGTGTGAAAATGTTAGTTTAAAAAATAAAATAAAATCCTCCTACCGATCGCATATTCACTATTTTTATCATTTTCACATATTACTGCCAGACACATTTTCACTTTTTTTGTTCTCTGAAAACAGTTTTCAACTAAGCTACTAGACGCGTTTTTGTTCTCTGAAAATGCATTTTCATTTTCTCGTTTTCATTATATGAAAATATTCTCTGAAAATGCTCTCTGAAAACATTACCAGACGAGCCCTTAGTGTATGTGGAGTGGTAGCCAGGGCATTAAGGGGGTTGGTTTGGGGCAGTGGTGCCAAACCCAAAAAGGCTCGCTTTGGCATCTGGCTTCTCGAGAGAGAGTTTCAATTTGGGTGGGTGAGGAGATGTGAATAAAAAAGGAAGAAAGTGGAAAAATGGGGCTGTGAACCAAACGGGGCCTTATAATATGTGTGATAGCACTCCTCTCGTTAGGAAAGGTCCTAAAAAAAGAGTTTCATAAATTGTCCTAATCAAGCTTTTCCTCCAACATGTTACTTCTAAAAATTTGAAACTCAACAGAAATTGGCTTAGACAAGTTGACTAGAGCAGATATTGGCTTAGACAATTTGAAACTCTAACTTTCAGATATTGGTCGTCGATACACTCCTGCCCTTAATTAGCCATGTCGTGCCTTTGGTGCTGTTACTTTAAAGAAATTAGAGTGCTCAAGCAAGCATAAGTTGTGGATACATTAGCATGGGATAACATCATAGGATTTCGCTCCTATTCTGTTGGCTTTTAAGATCAGATTAATAATTAACAGGGACAGTTCGGGGCATTCGTATTTCATAAGCAGATGTGAAATTCTTGGATTTATGAAAGACGAACAATTGTGAAAACATTTGCCAAACATTCTTGTCCTTAAGTTTTCTTGTAACTTAGGCTAATGATGTTTCTAGTGTGGCCATTGCTAAAGTGATCTCAATGTAGTTTCATTGTTGTTTTCGCTTTAATCCAACTAGTAAAAAAAAATATGCACAAATTTGCGTCTTTAAATTAAATCAAATAGACAAAACTAAAAGGGACAAATCAAATACAAATTCGTGTTTATTTGTATGGGTTATGGGTAAAATATTCCCTTATAAATTATTTACAGAAGAAGAAAAAGACTTTTTAAAGTCGATTTTTAGAGTTGTCTTTAAATCAAATGAGGAGATCTTCAAATGACCTAGAACATTTGAAATTCATTGACAAACTTGATTGATGATGATGACGATCATAATTTGAAGCTTTGATTCGGAACAAATTAGAAATTAACAACAATTAAAACTTTTGCTAAACACAGTAAAGAGATTAAGCAAAGAAGAACCTTCTAGCCTTCTCCCTCTCACAAAAACTCTAGAAACGCCTCAACTCCCCCACCCTCACTTTTTGCCCGTGCACTACACTCTTCCAATCCACTCATGTATAAACACGGGTGGGTCCAAAATTATTTTGGTTTTAAATTTATTTAATTGGAGAAAGCCGGTGTGTGATTGATTGTGTGGCGATGAGTGAATAGGTAAAGGCGGGCTCTGACTCACTCTCTCTATTATGACCCGACTCTCCGAGAAGCTCCGTCTCTCTCTCTTCCTGTACAAGCCAACCCGCTTTCTCTCTCTAAACCTCCTCCCCAACCTCTCTCTCTCCTCCACGCTCCACCTCTGCAAGTCCCTCGCACGCGCCCTCGCCTCCAAAACCCTAGCCTTCTTCTCCTCCTCGTCCTCCGCCATGGACGACCCCTACTGGGACCTCGATTTCCGCCCCAGCTTTCGCTCCCAGCGCCTCCGCCTCCACGACGACTACGACGACGACTGCTCGAACGACGACGTTTCGCACAATGCCGTCGATAAGCTCTACCTCGTTCCCTACAGGTGCGCCTCCAGCGAGTGACTTGGCTACTGAATTGCTCTCGAGCCCTTTTTTGAGTTGTTGAGATGGTTCTGTTGCTGCATTGGATTTCATTTCGTGTTTTCGTTTGGTTTCAGGTGGTGGAAGGAGGTTCGAACGGAATACGATCAGATGGGAGGGGTCTTGTACACTGCGTCTACGGACGACGATGCTGGCTCGGAGATTTTTCTGAATTTGAAGAAGAAGGACGTCGCTGAAGAAGGGTTTTCGGGGCGTGAGTATGCATTGGTCCCTGAACCTACATGGTGTCGCGCTCTCAGACGGTGAGGAAGCTATCTGTCTCTTATTTTGCAATTCTTTTTCTCATTTTAGATGGTCAGAATTGTGGTATCTTAAGTTGCCATTAGATTAGGGTAGGTCTTAATGGAGGGTTCATTGTAGGTCCCAACTGTTACTCTAATGCTGTCAAATGAGGCCCATTTTCAATTATTCTGGTAGCTTGCCAAAATCTTTGATTGCCCGTTTACGGTCGACCTTTAATGATAATAATAGCACATTTCCCTACTTGGCCCTTTTTCTTTTCTTTTCTTTTTTTGGTGGAAAGAAAAGAGGTGTATTACTTCTGGGGAAATGTGGTATGATGGCAATTTTCTTGATTATATAGGCGTAAACGAATAGGAGGGTTTTTGAGAATGTTCTTGGTGAAGAGGGTGGAGTGCTTATGGGATTAGGGTCTGCTTTTTGTCTTCTTTGTGGGCGTCTATGGTTTGGGGTTTAGGGAGCTGTCTTTCTATGTTATCTTATCGGATTTGAAAGCAGATGTTTTGTAGTTTTTCCAGAAGTGGACTCCTTGTTCGCTAGTTGTACATTTTTTAGAATTTAATGAATAGTTTTGTTTCTCATAAAACAAAGTTGCTAAAAGCTTAAAAGGGGTCGTGATTTCATTGTTTAGGCTTATGTTTACTGTGCTTCGTGGGATTATAGGAGAAGGTAGAAAACAAACTGATTTTCTTTTGCACTCAGGGATTTCTTTCTTTCTTCTCCAATTTCTCCTGAAGTGCCTTAAGTTATTGTTATTTTTATGTCTATATGATTTGACAGTGATTTATGAGAATGGAGCTTTCTCTCTTTATTCTCCACCACCTCCTAAATAATAATGGCATTGATTTGTCCACTCTTCCTGTAGGCATAATGATTTCTACACGGCAGCAAAGGATAACGTGAGCCTTTTTGGTGCAGAAATTTTCTTGAAGGATGTGTTTTCTTTACAAATTAGGCTGTTTGTCTCATGGGAAACAAATTCATTGGTTGTAAAGATCAGCCAAAAGGTAAGTTTTGTAATTTAGCCTTATTTTGCATCCCTTTCTCTCTCATTACATTCCTGTATTAGATGAATTCTAAAAAAAAATTAGTTGTGGAAGTTGGATACCTGTTGTACTTTGGAGAGGAATGTCTGGGAGAATAATGCCTCAGATTAGAGTTGGCATAATCTAAAGTACGTAAATTGATTTCGTGAAAATTTTATTATTATTATTATTTTAAAAACTTGTGATGCTCAAAACATTATAGGTAGGTGAAGTTGCTGGATAATACACGCATTAATCCTAATTTAATTTGAGGTAGCAATTGACCAACTGTGTTTTGTGGACCAAAGTGGTGAGGAACAACAGAATGATATAGTTATTGAACAAGATGCTGAGAAGATGAGTAAAAGAGAGAGATCAAGAAGGGGAATGGACTTTGAATAGCAAGGATTGTAGTCCCAATAAGTGATGATGAACTTTTTTATTATTATCAGCTTATCAGATATTGGATTGGAATTGTTGTGTGATGTTTGGAGGTGGCGTGAAAAGGAAGGTTATTTGAGCTAAGAGGAGTCAGATTAAGAAATTAATAAAGAATCAGAATAGAAAGCACACGGTTGATGGATTATGACTTTTAGCAGGTTGGCATGAAGCGGAACAGTTAGCTTTTACAATTTAAATGCTTGAATGTGGTATTTGTGTGGCATTGGGATCCTACTGAAACATGGGCTGTGCAACTTTCACTTTCTTTTCTTTAAACTTTTGTGTGTTTGTGACATGCATATGATTCTCATTATTGCGTTTTTTTTGATACATTCCCGTGCTTAAATGTGATTGTTTCTATGGTCTTGGTCACAACATCAATTTAGGAAAGATGTTATCACTTGGACCCAGTTAGTTGGGGCTATAATGGAAACACAATCCAGTGAATGGACTAGCAGTTGTTTCCTTAGAATCTGCTGGAACAGTTGTAGTTGGGAAAATTCCATGCAACTAGGCAACAAATCAGTAGGTAGTTATGCAAGCAACACATGTTTTGTTTTATGGACTCCTGCTTCACAAACACTTACAAATCTTTTTGTCTGGCATATAAGTTGTAATTACTAGGAAATAGTGATGTATATGCCTTGGAATTGCTATATATTTGTGCCCTTGCTTAATAGGGTTCATATGCTGTCATATAGAATACATCATAAACTGTGTTTTACTCTTCATTTTAGTAAAGTTAATAACCACTTTTTATTTCTTTAGAGTTTCGATTGATTACCTTCTGAATTTGACTAGACTGCAATTTTCAGGATAATACAGTTGATTCTTACAAGAGGGCCTGCAATATTTTCAGTTCAGAGTATGTTCCGGTGAGTTACCTGACGAGTGACAATTAGTCATTTACAATTGGTCTGATATGCATGTGATGATATTTACTCATCCATGGATTGATTTTACAGTTGCATATTTGGGACTTCTCAGGGCAGACAACCCAAATTTTCATGAATGACAGTATTAATTTGCCAAATGATATTCCTGGACAACTGAACAAAGAGGTGAGTAATTATAATGTATGGTTCTTATTTATTTGTTAACTCTCATATTTCCTCAATCTGGTGGGTGCCTTTCACCAGAAAGCGGATGGATACTTTCTATTTGATATTTCACAATCTACTGGAGAGTAGCGGCTCAACTTTTTACTGTTTGTGCTACCTTTCTAGTTTAGGCCTTTGAATTTTTAATTCCATTTACTGAATTTTGGAATTGCACATACTGTCTGAATTGCATTGATGGTTATGTTAGTAAATATTATTATGATCGGAAGTTGGTTGGCGTTGAACTTTCGCACCAGCATGCTCACGTTGATCCTTTGTTACTGGGAAGTATGCTACATCGAGTCTCAATTTTTTTCTTAAAAAATGGATCCAGATTTTGTATACAAATATCTACCAAAATTAATTTTAATGCTCAGTGTTGCAGTTTATATATATCTTTACGTGCAGATTAATTTCTACAGTTTAGTTATATGGCCTTTCGTTTCATGATGTCCTTTCAGATTCTCCTTGAACTGCGACTCCATGGATTTTCAGATTATATGAAAGGTAGAGATTGGAGGAGCGATGAAGTGGCCGATAAACATCCCAGTATGGATAGTTCTACTTATGGTGGCTCTATGAAGATGAATGGGAGCACTGACTATGTGAATCCTTATTTAACTCCAACCAACTCCTTGCAAAGTGGTACAATCTATAGAGGAGCTGGTTCCTTAGGCCTTATTGGACTAGAAAATCTTGGGAATACTTGTTTTATGAACAGTGCCATCCAATGCTTGGTGCATACCCCAAAGCTTGTTGATTATTTTCTAGGAGATTACCGGAAGGACATAAATTATTCAAATCCACTAGGAATGAAAGTATGTAAATGGGTTAATCCTTTAGTTTTCATTTTAAGTGGCTGCTTTTTTGTGGCATCTTGCGCTTACTTTGATTGTTGGCTCTCCTTTTTACTATAGACTTATTTTCCAGGGAGAACTTGCTTTAGCATTTGGAGAGTTGTTGAGGAAGTTATGGGCTCCAGGTGCAAAGCCAGTGGCTCCAAGAATGTTCAAGCTAAAACTTGCGAGTTTTGCTCCCCAATTCAGTGGCTATAATCAGCATGATTCCCAGGTTAGTTCATTTGGTTTTATGTTTAGTTTTTCTTCTTTTGTTTTTTTCACTAGGCGTAAATGTTTAATTTTGTTGCATGGGAAATAGGTTTATAAATTGTAATTTGTCGAAGTGCCTCATGTAGGAACTTCTTGCTTTTTTGTTGGATGGTCTCCATGAAGATCTAAATCGTGTGAAATGCAAGCCGTATATCGAAGCTCAGGATGTAGAGGGTCGTCCAGATGAAGAAGTGGCAGAAGAATATTGGCAAAATCACCTTGCTCGCAATGACTCCATCATTGTTGATGTGTGCCAAGTCAGTTTTATGGTTTAAATGCATTTGTAATTTGTAGATTTAAGTTTCGCTTATTCCCTCTTAAGATAAGTTTATTGGGATCAACTTCATTAAATTTATTTTTTTAACACTATATTGCAATTTCTTTTCCCCTTGCTACTGTAGGGCCAGTACCGGTCAAAATTGGTTTGCCCTGTTTGCAACAAGGTGTCCGTTACATTTGACCCATTTATGTACCTTTCTCTACCATTACCTTCAACAACAATGCGGACTATGACTTTGACGGTCCTAAGCACAGATGGGACTGCATTGCCATGTACATTTACTGTGACAGTGCCCAAGAGTGGAAGGTCGTTGGATCTGACTAATGCCTTAAGCGCTGCATGTTCTTTACGAGATGATGAAACCCTAATGCTTGCTGAGGTATATTCCTGGAGCTCTGTTTTTAGAGTTATTGAAACATTGCTGTATGTCATTGGAGTGGGGGGGTGGGGTGGGAATGGGAGTTGTCATATGGATGACATGCATGCATAGTAGCTACGGTCATGGAGCAGTCATGCAGTGTTGTGTGTGGACTCTGGTTCTTTAGCACCATTTGTTGGCATTTTGACAATTACGTGGTCTGTATTTGCTTTTTGCATGCCATCATAGTAAATTCATGTCCACGATTGATTTTGTAACTATTTGTAATCTTTTAAAGATCCTTCACTGAGAGGTTAAGAATGCCAAGGCATTGACCCTTTGTTTGTAGGTATACAAGTGTCGCATATTTCGTCTACTGGAAGATCCATTTGATTCATTAGACTTGATCAGAGATGGTGACCGATTGGTCGCTTATCGGTTACCAAAGGGTTGTGAGACGTCCCTTTTGGTTACGTTTATTCATCAGCAGATGGACATGTAAGTTTTGTTTCTTGAGTAAATCATCACTGCTTTATCAGTTGCCCAACTCAAATTACTTTATTAAAAAATTAAAAGTGATAATGCTTCTAATTTTTGCTATAATTAGTTCAATGACCTTTTTCCCCTTGCATTTTAAACTAAATAGGTTAGTGAACTCAGTGAGCAACCTAAAGAATTTTTATGTGATTGCCAAAATAGCTCAGGGACCTTTTGGGAAATGTTCAACATGATAATTTCAGTTACCTGGTAATCAAGGTATGTTGTATGCTTACTATAAGCTTAGACATGAAAGGACACATGATGTTAATAGCAATGATGGTGCCTGGTTCACACAATTCAATAGAAACTGTGTACAAAATATACTCTTTGTGATATGTTACCCCTAAAACTGTACTTGCTAGTATGTGTTAATGCTCGTGTAATAGAAGCTGTTGTTGAATAATGCAAGTAGTTGGTGTGGTGAGAAGTATCCCTTTTCTTATTTATGTTGTCAAAATGATGGAAAATCTGGTCAGACTCCCAAAGTATATTGTAACATTCATTTTTTATTCATTTGAAAGTTTACGGCATAAAATTTGTCTTATGGGATGGTATTTATGATATATACATTGTTTTTGTTTCTTTTAGTAACTAATGATATTTTTTGTATGGCAATGAACTCAATTCTACTAGACTTTGATATGGTAATGATAGAATTACAAGCAACCTGATTCCAGACTTGAATCTTTGGACACTTTGAAATCTCTGTAACCAAGAAAGAAGTCAATTAGCTCCTGAACCAATTTCCTTCATTTATGTACTTGAGAAGTCTATGATTTTTTGAAATAAGATCTTCCTCATAAAACTTTACGACCAACATAACAGTTAGTCTCATGTCCAGATGGTAAGTTGTCACTTTTTATCAAGTATTTCATGCGTGAATTGTGTTTAGGTTTGAACCCAGATTTTGTTGCTCTTCCAACTATCATCTTCAGGTGTATCTTGTTTAAAAGTCTGTATAAACCATTGCCTTGTCAAATACAACATCAGTTACGGCTTGCATATTGTTTTTATTTATTATTATTTTGGTATCTGGTATTGCTGTTTGTTGAAGATTTTATTTATGTTAGGGAATGATTGCATATAGAAAGAGTCAAATTTGGTTGTCTTGTTCATTCCATCTCATTCTGACATGTTGAGGCATTTTCGTTCACACCTTATATGTCATGGCTGAAATTATTTTACCGCAGAAATAGAAAACAAATTTTAAAAAAATGAAGTTGAAAGATGACCATCTATGAGTGATACTGGTGGTGCGTAATATGTTTTTGTTTGATATAGTTGGGTCTGTTTAATATATATCACAGCCTTTGTATATGCAAGACAAAGGGTGGTTCAATGCATGACACTCCTTCCAATGTGTCTGGGGAAGGCTAGATGCATCAGCCATACCCCTTGTCCCAGAGAGGTGGTTTCCATGATTTGAACCTGCAACAGTTTGGTTAGGGAAAACCAGGCTGTTGTAGCGTCATGCCTTGCCCTCATGTTACTAGCCACCTTTTTAATAAAGAAATCTGATTACCTATTCGTACACTGTAGGATTTTAGAGTAGTTGAAAGGTCATTGTTGCTGTAGAAACTTGGTTCTGTTGGGATATGTGGAGTTTGAAGTTTTGATTGAATTCAGGGTTCTATCTCTATGCAAACTTTCTGAATTTTGGATAATCCTATATGTATTGAGCAGATGTTTGCAAGTGCGTACTGAATTAATAATTTTTAAATGTTTTTATGATCCAACCTTGTAACTATCTCCTGCAGTAAGTTAGGCCTTCTCTGTAAGTTTCTTGACCGATTTGAAAGTCTTCCCTTATTACGTCTTTTAGGTTGTAAATAAATACCACTGGCTTCCTGTTCTTTGGAGGCCATATGGCCATCAGGTTTCAATAACTGTTTTATTACAAGTACATGTGAATGATTTCTCTGTGGAAAAATACAATGGACCTCATAAATGTGGATAATGATGTTAATTCATTTTGTGTTGTGATGATAATGTTTTTATCTTTTCCCTCTGTTACATGATCTCTTAAAGGGATACAGCTTGCATTTCTATGTTTTCACTATGGAAAATATTATTATTATTATTATTATTATTATTATTATTATTATTATTATTATTATTATTATTATTATTGTTGCTGCAAAAAAGCCTAAATACATATTTTTTGTCTGGGATCAGGTGTCACAATAATGGGGAGATGAGATTAGTCCCACAGGTGTTTGGCATTCCCCTTGTAGCAACATTGCCTGATGTTTGCAATGGATCTGATATTCGTAACGCGTTCCTGAAAGTACTAAATCCATACTTGATGAGCCCTGGAGATCTATTAAATATTTTTGATGATGATTTTGCTAATGAAGATTCTAATGCTACTACTACCACTACTACTACAATTATGGATAATGATGCCGACTCAGACAGGGAATCAAGGGATGAAGCAAATTCGGATACTGACTTCCAGTTTTACTTACCAGATGCCAAAGAAGCTATAGAAGATACCTTGATAGATATGAATGAGCCGATCGTGGTCTCAGGGTTGCCTAAGAGGTTGGAGGTGCTTGTTTTATGGTCCGATAATATGACTAAAAAGTACGATACATGCCTTTTAAACACTTTGCCAGAGGTTTTCAAGCCCCAATTTTTCATGAGGGAGCCTGAAGAATCTGTCTCTCTGTACAAATGCCTTAAAGCCTTTATGAAGGAAGAACCTCTAGGACCAGAGGATATGTGGTTAGCATCTAACTTCATTTGAATTACAAGAACAAAACTGTTATGCATCCTCGACTGTTGTTTCTTGGCTTAATCTAGCTAGAGATAGAGCATAAAGTTTATTTTGTTCATTAATTATGTCATCTGAGCAGTTTGTCTTTTTCGGTTTTCAGAATTTTTTAAATAATAGATTGTAGTCATATACCTGCTGCCTATCTTAATGCTAGCTTTTGCAATGATATGTTGTTTACAGGTACTGCCCTATCTGCAAGAAGCCTCAGCAAGCTAGCAAAAAGTTAGACCTTTGGAGATTGCCTGAGATTCTGGTTATTCATCTGAAAAGATTCTCGTACAGCAATTTATTCAAGAACAAGCTCGAAACATTTGTTGATTTTCCAATTTATGATCTAGATTTCTCACCCTACATTAGTCACCGAAATAGCCAGTTATCCTGCCAATATATGTTGTATGCAATTAGTAATCACTATGGCGGCATGGGTGGTGGTCACTATACAGCATTTGTTCATGTAAGTTCTGTTTCTCTTATTGTTAGAAAATTCCTTAGGCTTTTGTCCAAGTTTCTCAATTCAATCATTTATACTCAGTGAAAGCCAGACTGCACTTAGATGCTCCTTTCTTTTCTTTTTTTATTACATGCATTTTATCCCCAAGTTTTCTTCACTTTAGGGCTTTCTCAATTGAATTGGTAAACAATTTTTGTTCCCTGTGCAGCTTGGTAATGGTTTGTGGTATGAGTTTGATGATGAAAAGGTTCTTGCTGTTGGTCAAGAGAGGATCAGGACATCAGCTGCATACGTTCTTTTCTACCGAAGAGTACCGGATATATAAACACATAAACAGACAGTTGTATAGTTAAGTAACAGTTGGGAAGCAGGTTGCCGGCGGCGGGATGCACCCGGTTTAGATATTGGAGAGAGGATATTTTGTAGAGAAAAGGAGCACAGGATTCATGTTGTACAGCTTTTAATGACGTCAGTGAAAGAGGCACAATAGAAGACCTTTTTTGGTATTTGCTTACATTGTATATGTATACTTCGACCCAGAAAAATTATTCAAATCCCATCCCTTGTTCAACAGGGTTATCTTTCCCTCTTTCTTCAGTATTTGTTTTATCTATGTTTCCCTTTTACGGAGTAGCGATTCGAACTTCCACTTCTCCTAACATTAAAACAGAAATACCATTAGCCCTGTCTAATTTTTATATGGTGCTAAAATTGCAGAACGCGAGAGGGGGGCACTCATATTATTAATATTATTTTTAATAGAATCTTTTCTGTTGAGGTGCGACAAATAGTATTCGAACCTAGAACTCTTGGGAGTATTTGTTCTAAATCACTACATTACTTCATCCTTTGCTGAGAGGGATTTAAAGTTAAACTAAACTATAAGGCCCTGTTCGGTGAGTCGATGGGTCGAATTGGATTGGACAGATTCAATTAAAATCGACATGGATCCTAACCATAATTTGATAGGCTTAAAAAATATCAGGGCGTGGATATGGGTATTGGACAGCTCAGAATATGAGCGGCTCGAGAACCCAACGCCAGACATGGGTTTGTAACGAAGTCGTCGTCTCTGGTTTGCCTTCTTCGTCGTCTTTGGTTTGCCTTCTTCTGACTTCTCCTCTCTCTCTCTCTCTCTCTCTTTCTCTCTCTCTTCTATTCTCTCTCCCCGTACGAAAAAAAGCTTCAGATTTCTCTCTGAATCTTTGTTTTTTATATTATTGTTAAATATTTTGATATTTTGATGAGTTTGTCTTGCTCTTTTGGTTTTGTTGGGAAAAAGAAAAGAAAAAGAAAACTAACTTATTTTTTTAATAATGACAATTTCATTAGTTGGTATTTCGGTCCAAGTTTGAATATTCTTCCAAAATATTCAAATAAAAAGAAAATTGATTTGCCAATTTTGCCATTTGTTGCTTACGTAATAACGGTCTAGCCGATGCCAATGTAGGTGTAGCGCGCGCTATCCGGTAACCATCTGTTGAATAGTGTTAGATTCTTTGTGGAGGAGAGAGAAATAAAGAAATATTCTTTGTGGGTTCAATTCTCACATGCACAGGCGCTCTCGCGGCTGTTCTGCGCCGAATATACATTTAGAACTAATGGCTGCGCACACTTCTGGTAATATGGAATTCTACTCATAACCACATACTGCTTACTTTTCTTGTATTTTTCATATCGAAAAGGTGTATATTTGAGATGTAGGTAATGGGTTCTGAAGCCTTTGTGCTTAGGAGCATATTGGCATCACTGGGTTCCTCCTGGATTTACAGATTTTGAAGAGGAAGATGGAGAGAAAACAGAGAAAGATGTCTCTTTGTGGTGGGTCCAAGGAATTTTGGGTATCCCAATTCCGTTAAAACAAAATTCCCATTCCCACATGAATAATTCTTGTCTAGCTTAGAAATCCATGTAGGATATTAGGAGTTGGGGATAGTTTACAAGCAAAGATGTAGTTTTTAATAACTGGTTTTGTCTGTGAGCATGAACTTTTGTCCCTTGTGTCTTTCTTTTGATGGTTGGTGTTATTGTGATAATTGACTTTCATCAGGAACAGTACAGGAAGATGCTGCAATAAGAGGGGGAGATAAGCTCATATTAAGGGGCTTGAAGTTCCATGGTTTTCATGGAGTGAAGCCAGAAGAAAGGACGCTGGGTCAGAAATTTGTGATAGATGTTGATGCTTGGATGGATCTCCGGGAGGCTGGTAAATCTGATCGTTTGTCAGATACCATTAGTTACACCGAAATTTATCGGTTAGTAACAATATGACCACACCATCTTCATTTTCCATTACCTCGAAACTTGGCATATATCATGTTTTAGTCTAGTCTAGTGCTGCAGTCCCATCCTTTGCATATTGTTGTCAAATTTTTACCTCAATTTGCAATGGCATTGAAAAATTATATTCTATATGGGTCCTTTTTTAGTTCGGTCTGTTTTGATTCAGTGGTTGTGGTCATAGAAAATGGAGATGCAAAAAGCTAGGAATTTGTATGTCCAGAAGAAAATATTAAACACAATATGCTTATCGTTTTATATCTAAGGTTTTCTCAGACTGATACTAGGTCACTTTTGATGTTTTGCGTTTGTAAACCACAGCATTGTAAAGGAAGTTGTAGAAGGGCCACCTCATAATCTTCTGGAGTCTGTGGCTCAACTCATCGCATCTACCACTCTGAAAAATTATCCCCAGATATCTGCTGTCTCTGTGAAAGTTGGGAAGCCGCATGTCGCTGTTCATGGTCCTCTTGACTACTTGGGTGTCGAGATATTTAGATACAGAAGTGTTGATGCGCCAAACTAAGATTTTATGAGTTACTCAAAAAGAGGCAAATCTATGCCCCTTGTGACAGCCTGACACAGGTTTGACTTGGGTGTTATTTTGTTTTCTTCCCTTTGAACTTGTTTGTGGGGATCCTTGTTCGATATCTTGAACCAGCGACAGTTATTGTGCTTATCCTGATTTTTTACTTGGGATTTCATCTTGGTTACATTCTTTTTAGTACTTGGTACACCTCTGAACTTCCTTTTATTGAATTTCTTCGTCAAGATTGCAGCAACGGGTCAAAACCCGAACTTATACAGCAAATAAGAATTAAGTCAGATGCAAAGTCAGCTGGTCTTGACTCATGGGTGAAAATAGTTTAAATCAGTTGGCATGATTTGTTAGTAGTTGTAATGAGTTGCAAATGTGGTGGAAGAAATGAGTGGATCTTGTCAACAATGGCTACTATGCACACAATTACAACCATTCAGAAAATAAAATACAAAATTGTTGAGGCTATCTTTGGAAGATGACAAATTACATTCTATTATGCATTGCTATGCCGAGAGCACTCTCTCTCTCTCTCTCTCTCTCTCTCTCTCTCTCTCTCTCTCTCTCTCTCTCTCTCTCTAGAGTTTTCCAAGATTGCATCTGTCTTCAGTTGTCTGAGTCTTGTTGGTTTCATTAAAACGAGCAACCATTGTGGGCAGCTTCTTTGATCAAAGATCATTCCAAGATTTAAATCAGTTCCTTTTGTTTTCCTGCCATCATATGATCATATATATGCTTAGAGTCGGAGAAATTCTTCCCAATAGCTTTTGCAGTTCGAATCAGTATGTTCTCAATGCTTACCGTCTGGAATCAAAATTTGAGTTGTGTAATCGTTGCTTCCACTAGCGTCTCTAACCTTTCCAAAACATTTGAAGATTCTTATACAAATATACAGCTAATATACTAATATGGACACGTGGAGTATACAGCCTGCCGAGAAATGTTAAAGTCCCACAGTAGTCAGTATGGTTTAAACTTCAAAGGAAATACCAATATCCAAAAGAGTTTAGGGGCTGCCATTTTCAGTCGTTTGCTGTTTGTGAGAATTCTGGAACCAACAGCAGTGCAAACACACACACTATATTTCTTTTACTGCACCATCTAACGGATAATTTGGTTTTTCATTTGTTTACCTGTGAACTCCACTTAGGCGTAAACATGAGAGCTCATTCTCTGCTTCAATCAGAGGCCAAGGAAGAAGGGGAAAGAGTAATAATTTATTCTCTCAAATGAAGCCAACTAAGAGGGGACTACGATGATAATCAACATATCAAGCGTTCAAAACTATAATGGCTAAAAAAAACACATTTAAAACTGCATGCAGCCACTACCAGAAACTGTGACAAGGTTGCTCTTCCTACTCTGGCACTTCATCATTCACACTCAGAACATTATTCAAGGACACAGGAGGAGTCTCAAAAATTTCTTTTAGAATATGAGAGCATGGGAAGGAAGCTTGCTCATGCAGGGGCACCATTTCGTTCACGCTCACGGGCTTTGCCTTTGCGGTTCCAAATTGGAGTTGTCTCAATAAGCTTGTGAGGAACAAGCCTTCTTTCGCGCTTTGTGAGCTTCACGAAATTCTTAACTTTCAGTTTGGCTATCTCTGCCTCCTCGTCAGGGGTGATCTCCCTTACTACCACTGTCAGTCGGCATTCCGGTCTCACTTTAACTCCACATTTGCCTTTAGCATGGTAGGACAGTCTCTTTTTGAAGTATCCCTTTCCAACAAATGCCTCAGCTACAAATAAGGAGATAATGCAGAATGAGGGTTGAAATTGGAAACAAAGAGAAAGAAGAAATTAATTTCGCTTTCATTATTTACCAACAAGGAGACGGTCTGGATCCAACCCGTGATTATGAGTAGCATTTGCTCTGGCTGAGTGAATGACCTGCAAATAGTAGTTTCTCACATAATGTTGAAATACCCAACCTCTATACTGATTTCAAATGATGATAACTAGCTGAAGAACTATTTTTTTAAGTAAAATTAAAAATAAAAATTCTCAATGATACCACAAGAAGATGCATCTCCTCCATTTCTGTCTTCTCAGAAGTCAAAATAATTCAAAAAATAAATCACTGAAATGTTCAATCCATTAATTCCTGTCCTCTAAAAAAGATGCATGATGGCTGTATCACCTGGTACACAGTTTTGGAAGCTCGCTTTACTGTCACTTGCAACTGCAACAATGCATCTTCAACACGCATACCACGTACTAGTGCAGCAACCAAGTTAACCTTCTTAGGACTCTGAGAGTGAAAGTGAGTGAGCTAAAATCACTAAAAGTAATTATGTATAAGGGGGAAACTTGAAAATAATATCAACTATACAACTTTTAGAACAGCCATTTAGGTGACCAGGGATCCTTTACGTTAATGTCTAAACTGCAAGAACATGAACTATCCAAGAAACAACTCCAATGCTAGGACATTAACCTCCAAACTGAATGAAAAAAAGGAATAGACATCATTTTTAACAAAAGGCATGCCTCCCTGTGGCATAGAGAAGGTCTGCAAGATTACTGTTTTCACTGTTGTCCTTTCTTAAATACATCACACACCCACATAATCAGAAAAAAGGAATAATATTTGTTTTCAGAGGAACTTGTTTAGTCAGCCATCCAATCATTTCTAAATACATTACACACATAATCAGAAACAGGTATGATAATTTTCCTTTCTAAGAACTTGTTTTCACCACCTCCCCCCCTCCTCCCTCTTCATTGGTCATCAATTCTAAGGTAACATTGGTAGTCATGCACAAATGTTTACCCAAAAATAAAATTTGATCATTCGGCAGCAAAGGAACATACCACATGATAGAACAAAGTGTTTGATGCCCAGATGCATCAAAAACCAAATCCCATAGAACTTTATAATCCATTACAAAGCTTTATAACGATGCAACCAGAGTGCAATATTAATACCTGTTTGATGCCCTTTAAGATAGCTTGAACTTTATCAGGTTTAGTCAGTGATTTTTGCTTGTGCTCTTCATCTTTTCCAGTCTTTGATGTCAGAAGAGGAGTCAATGGAGATGGAGAAGGTGTTTCCTCAGCTAGTAAAGTCCTTGAACTCGAAATTCCCTGAGACAAAAAAAGCCAAGACAAGTTGAGGACAATACAGAAATGAACAATTATCGAAAGAACATAAAAATTACAGATATCACAACTACCAAGTGCTGAAAATATTGATGAAGGGGCCTTGAAATGGTTGGAGAAGATGGTTTGCAAAGTGTTTGAAAATAAGGCAAGAAACCTGCAACATTAAGATTCTTATTAATGAACACTTTCTTATAAAACCAACTAAGCAATAGGACATTTTGAAGCTACTAACCCTCTAACCGAGAAGAAGAAGAAGAAGAAGAGAAGTTAACAGAAGGGTTGTAACTACATTCCACCCTTTTCCCAATTTGACGGATTGCTGACTGAAGATGCCTCTGCCAACCCACCATGGCTGCAACAGAGAAATTACCCACCTACCAGAACACGAAAAATACACACATTCAGTATCATATTTGGGCATTTGGCTGAGAATCTAAGACTGGGAAATCTGAAAGTTCACTTCTTTTTGTTCATGGCTGCTCAAAACCCAAATCGACCCACTCCTACCTGAGCCTTCTTTCAAACCAGAACGGTACCGCGAGCCTCAAGCTTTAAGTCTCTCAAAGCCCTCTTACCGCTGCAAACCTAATACTCCCATTTCTCTGTATTTTACGGGACTAAAAATTTGAAGGCGGAAGCTTTTTGGAAAAATATTTTAGAAAATATTTATTTCATTTAGAATTTATATGATTTAAAGTTACCCAAATAAATAAATAACAAGAAGCTCATTCTATATTTTTTTCATATTATAACATAAGTAAAAGGATATATAGTCTTTTCTTTGTAGAAAAAAGGATTACATAAATTAGTTTTAATTAGCTCGTCCCTGATAGTAATATATATATTTTTAAATATAAAAAGTGCAATAGCCCTATTTTTTGTACACCCATGATCTACCAACACAATGATGGATTGGAATTTGGACGTATAGTTTGGCTAATTGATAGATGGCTCCTTTCCATTATGACTCCACAAATTAATTAAGTGCACTCTTAGAAATGTAATATACTCGTATGTATCACTATTTTAAGCAGTAACATCATACCCGTAGCCCTTTTTGTGAAATTTTTGCTCCCCCATGGGAAAACATTTGATGAATCTTTAAAATTAAAAAAAACTAACTTACCCTTATTCTAATATTCTAATATCACTTTTTATTAATAATTTTTAATTAAAAAATAAGAGTACTATTGAAAAATTGAACAACTTTTCATTCATAATATTACACAAACCAAATTTAAGAATGAAAGAAGATGGCCTTTTTTGGTTGTCATTTCCTAGCATTCCCAAACACTGTAAAGAACATATTTCATTCCCATCTTTTAATATTAGACATGTGAGTTTCATTCCCAACAAATTTATTCCGCAAATCAAATATAAGATTTTGTTCGTTTATAATTAATAGCAAAACTACAAATATGTTATAACTAAACATGTAACACGTCGGACCAAATTAGGCCCGCATTAGGTAAATCAAGCGGTCCAAGCACAACATGAAGTAGAACTAAGCTGGCCTTAAATGTCTCGTCTGGCCCATTGTAACCTAACATTAATAATAAGCAACATTTTGAAAAAAAGAAAGAAAAAATAAAACTTAGACTAATTACAAATTTACGTACACTAAATTATAAGAATAATAAAAAAAACTGAAACAGGAATGAATTTGAACAAGTCATTACCATAATGCTCTCTTGTATACATAATCTTCATTCCGAACAAGTAAAATTTTTTTTTTTTTTTTTTTTTTTATTTTAAAAAAAACCAAAGGTTACCAAAAATAATATTGATTGAAAAATTACATCCCCATTCGAAATGTGGGGGAATGATGATGAGTAACAAACAAGGAAAAGGTTTGGATATATATCAAGACTAAATTAAATTAAAAACGAAGAAGGAAACCGAAACTGATTTTTAGAGTTTTTTTCTTGCCTAATCAAGTATATATCCCCTCAAAGGCGCTCTATATTTCTTCCTATATATATATATATATATATATATATATATCTCCTCCTCTATAGAAACACCAACCCTACCTAGTATACATCGCCTCGCCTGCTCAATCAATCTTTTCTCCCTCCATTTTTTTTTGGGCTAGAGATATGTCAGACGATTCTAGTAGCACTGTTACAAAACAAAAAGCACCATGGGCCGCAAGAAGATTGATATCAAGAAAATACAGAACACAAGCTCCCTCCAGGTCACGTTTTCCAAGCGACGAACCGGCCTTTTCAGGAAGGCCAGCCAACTCGGTGCACTCTGCGGCGCTGAGGTGGCCATCCTCGTCTTTTCTCCCCACGGCAGGCCGTTTGTCTTCGGCCACCCCTCCGTGGACTCCGTCATCTCCCGCCTTGCAGGCACAAGCGCCAGCGCTGAGTGCAAGCATGCAAGTGGTGATGACGAGGAGACGCAAAGTAGTATAGTCCAGTCCAATCCGGCCCACTCTGGTACAACTTACGAAACAAGTCCAGATAAAGAAAGCCTTTGCCTGCGATTGCGAGTTGGTGGCGGCGGAAGCATGGGACTAGTGAAGGAGGAGACACACGAGGTGGCGGAGGCGTGTAGCGGAGGCCGTGGGTTTTGGTGGGACCAGCCGACTGAGAAGATGAAATTGCATGAACTCAAGCAGTTCAAGACATCCCTAGAAGATCTGAGGGCTAAGGTGGGCATGCAGTTGGATGAGATGGCGAGGCGTAAATTGGCTGCGAGGGATTTTCTGGGTGTATATCGTAATGGCAGCTGTGGTTAATGATCTTTGGGTTTCATGGAGGCGCGGCAGATTAGGTTAAAATGTGTTTAAATTTTATCAATTTCGTTTTGAGTTCACATATTTTAATTTTGATTTGTTGTCATTTGATGTCGTTATTAAATTCTTGATTCTTTTGTTTTTGGTAAGAGTTAGATATTATTTGATGCTTTCGCCACAAGCATGGAAAGTTTACTGCACGTATATATGGAATGTTTATTGTTCTTGCAAACTAACATTAAGAAAGAAAATCGCATGACCTAAATTGGAAATTTTATAACTCTTACTACACCAAAACTCGTATTCAACAAAGGGCAGTAAACATTGTGAATGTCCTTTGACAACACGCTTGAGGGTGTCGTGTACCTTGAAGTCTTGCACTTTTAATGTCTCTTTGATGTTGTCGTACATATCGATGCACGTTGTTTAAACTTATTTCACGACATTCGAAAACTTATTTGACAACGCTCCAAGGACATGGTAGAAACTACCACTCTTGTTCTTTTAACATCCTATGAGCATTGCAAATTAGGTTTTCACAACACTGTTAATGTTGTCATGTTGCTATCCACAACGGGATTATGTGCGCTGTCAAATCCTAACTTTTTTTTTATAAAAAATATATATAAATTAAAATATGTGAATCCTATTCATTCAAATCATATGATATAAGCATAAATGAAATGATAAAATTTAGCAATTCTTGGATTAATGCTAAAAATATTCAACAGAACTATCTACCAAAAAGATCTTTTGCACTCACAGATGAGGAAGTTCAAATTTGAATGCCATTTTATTACTATGCATAAAATAAATTCAATACAAGAGCAAGGCTCTAGCCCTAGAAGAGAGAGAAATTAAAATATGTTGTCGAAATAATGGAAAAGAAATTAAAATATTACTGTCATTAGATTTAACCCTACATCAACTGATTCAATGACCCTTACTGCAACCCAAAGCAAGTATAATGACTGTAAAATTCTTGACCACTTGACTGGAGAATTGAGAAAGGTATACACTTGTACAGCTAATGGGGAGGAAAAAGATGGATTACTGTGGACGAAGCTTTCTAATCAACCACTTCTTTCGGAGAGCTGCATCCAGTGCTAAAAACATTCTGGCTCTCCCTTCATCCTCTAAAAAGTCACAGGCATCTAGTAATAGATCATCGTCAATGTCTGGTATAGACTTCAAGACACCAATAACCTTCTCTATGGATACAGATTCCTCTTTCTTTAGTTTCTTCTTCAATGAAGACACTACGACTGCCATATCTTCTAGAGCTTTAACGGCCACAACTCTATCCGTTCTTCGTGCTTTTTTAGACTGTTGTAAGGTTTCTGGTATTTGAAGATAATGCCTTTTCTTTTGATCTGATAAATTCTTGACACTACCTGAACCTAATGGTTTTCCGTGAGCATAATGTTTGTCAACAATAGGCATAGCTTCTCCATCAGTTTTCCTAGCAAGGGTTCCCTTATCAAGAGCTAGATTGCAACTTGAAGTAGCTTTTTTCAAAATTCTAGCTTCATTTCCACATATGATGCACATATCAGAATAATATGGCATAGCTTTATTTCTATACATACGAAATCTGGGATGTGCCTGCATTCATAACAAAGTAAGGTGCAAGCAATAGACAGCGTTTTCCCTTTAATAATTAATCAAGAACAGTTCATATACCTTGATATATTTATTCCAGACCCGATCATCAGCTACCACCTTTTGTTCTGTTTCATCCCACTTAAACCCCCTTTGATCAAGCAGAATCTTAATGCTACTGTAATGCCTCCTAAATATACTGTAACGGTTTTTCAAGACAGCCCTACCATGCTGAAACCTGAATTTCTCATTAAAAGACGTGATCATGGACACCCATGATTTCTTCTTGAAAGAGCGACCGACCTTATTCCCTTTACACACCTCATCCAACATAAGTTCAACAAAAAATTGGTCCATAGTCTGTGACCACTCAATTTTAGGATCATCATTAATGGGATCTTGACAATCAATTCCTATTGCTACAAAATTTGAGAAACATTAATAATGTTGCAACACTGTTTGCAGATAATGATCAAATAGAAAATTAGCTTAACCAAAGATCACCAAATTGACAGTGATGAATAGCAATTTCTCACACTATACGTACCTTCGTTTTCAAAGTCTACATCATAACATGAAAGACTGTATCTTCCATCAGCAAATGCATGCCCACATATTATGCACAACTCGTTATAATATGAAACGACTTTTGTTCTGTATAGTTGCATTTCAGGGTGGGCCTGCATGGAACATATGCAATCTAACTGCAAAATAACTTACTTTTTGGACAATGGAATTTAAAGATTTAGGTAAAATGGTGCACCTTGATATAGTCATTCCATACACTATCATCAGCTGTTATCATCTGTTGTGATTCATCCCATCTAAAATGACCCTGATCGACAAGGCTCTTCATCTCACTGTACTGCTTCCTCAATCTTTTGTATCGATTTTTCAGAATATCTGTATCATACTTAAATCCAAATTTGGTATTAAAGAGTACAATCATATCTGCCCATGCTTGTTTCCTAAATCCATGACCAGTTTTGTTCCCTTTGCTCACTTGTTCTAGCAAAAGGTCAATGAAGAAGCTGTCTTGAGGTGGAGTCCAGTTAGCCCTCAAATGGTCACCGGTGCTAGAAAAACCAGAATTCATCCTTCACCTGCAATTTGAAGAATCTTGTCAATGAAAAGAACAGCTGATGCTAATGAAAATGCAATAAACTTAAAAGAGGTACTTAAGTCACAATAGCTCATTCTGCCTAGATGAACACCAGATTTGTAGTTGTAAATAACTGCATGCTGCATTATATTGCTTTTAATGTCAAAATTAGACATTCATCCACAACCACTTAGACCAACAATGCCACCAGCATCAATCTCACTGCTAACACAACCACCGTGCCGCTTTGTGCTACAACTAAAGTCTCATCCATTGCCACCATTTGCTTATGCTATGGCCTCCCTTCCCCACCAAGACTGCCCACATAAACTTGTCCACCAGTAGTCATGACCCTGCTACTCTCAGTCTTATAACTCTTTTTTATTTTATTTTTAATATTGATAAGATTCAGCCTTATAACTCCTAAAGAAATAATGATTTTTTTTAATTAAAAAAAATAAGTTCTTAGGGCTGCAAAATTATTTTGGCCACATAATTTTAATTGGATTTCAAAACTTCGACTAACCAACAACGCGTAATTGCTTCAAAACAATTAGATAGAAACCCTAATCCTCTGCTTGGTTGCCGAGAAACCGTTTCCGGACGATTTCTCAAGATTCAGAAAAATTAAAATTCACATACAAGCAGAAATCATATGGAAAAAGGATAAAAATCAGAACTTTGATAAAACAAGCAGCAGTGAAGAACAGAAAGTACCTGTTGGATTGGACTGGCCTTGAGCCAACGAACTGTGGGCGGCAAAAAAAAAGGGAATAAGATTATCCACGGATAAGAGTGAGAAAACTTGTGTTTAGCTTTGGATTTGGCTTTTGCTTAATTTTAGGAATGGGCTTAAGAGTATCCACAATCATACTCTCTATGTTTTTTTTGTTAAATTTTAACTAAAAACATATAAAAATTATTTTAAGAATTCTCTATAAAATTTAAACTTCAATTGTTCTATCTAGTTTAGAGAGTTATAAATGCTATAACTCGTTTTTTATTAGTCCATCTCTATTAAAAAATAAAATAAAAAATAGTTAGCATTAAATAAAGATTTAAAATACTTATCAAATAAAACAGTATTAAATTATAAGGAACCACTAGGAGTCATTTCTGCCTCCTTATATTTAAAAGCTCCTAGAGGTCTTCCTATTTTAGGAGGTAGATAGGAAGCATGATTGGAGTTATATTTTTATAATTTCTCCCTAAAATTTGTCTAAAGATGTGGTTTAAGAAGTCCATTGTGGATGCTCTAAACTATCAGAAAAACTTACAACGATTTGGATTTTGAGTTACTCAACCGAACCGATCAACCTAATCATAAAAAGTTTAGGTTGAATTAGAGTGGCCTAAAAAACAATCATAAACCACTATATAAATCAGATTGGGACTAAAATCAACCCAACTCATCTCATGCCCACCCTTAGCACTAGCTTAAGAGAGGGCCCCAAAATATATATTTTTAATTGTGAGGTCATATTCAACGCCAGCCGTGATGGTGAGGTCTAGTTTTTAATTCAAGTCCTTTCTTATATAGATATATATATATATATATATATCTATATCTATAATAAATTATATTATATCTTTCATTTTATAATATTCTACAGCCATATAGATTTTTATTTATTTATTTATTGGTTGTGGTGTGTATATATGGTCTATTTTCGGCGTCGTTTCAGGCCTGTAAAATGTTAGAGCCGTTCATGGTTTTAGTCCCCCAACCCACATTCGTTAGCATGATTGGTTATGTCGTCATATTTGTAACTTTTTGTGTTAAATTTAGGGCCCAAATAGTTATGTCATGTCCAACCCCCTCCACTTTGTAAATCCACCACCAATCTGTAAACCCAAATTCCTACCGCCACTAACAAAGAACGATCTCATGACCCAATCGTCATCAATTTCAATCAACGAAGGTCCCAACCAATCCAACTCTAACAAGGTACAACCTCATCCAACTTCGACATGGAACCACCTGTCCCGCTACTTAGCCAAGCTAAAAACCCACATTCAATGTCACATCAACTTCAATCAATTATAACCCAAAGTCCCAACATCGGCAGGGCAACCCATACCACACAAACAAACTCCTTGTATTTTCCCAACCTCAACGGTTCTTTGTGTTAAATTTCATAGTTTTGTTAGAAAAGAAGAGCCTCTGAGTATTCTATGAAAATATTTTCCATCTGAATACCATAAAGACAGAGAAAGACACTGATGGTGATGTGTGTGCTGAAAAAGGATGGTCGGCTCGGTTGCTGTGGCTATGTGGGGAGGGTTGGGGTCGGGGCTACTGGTTTTCGCCTATTAAAAAGAACATGAAATATAAAGTTTTGCCCCAAACATTTTCTTCTAAATGACCTCAAACCTTAGTTTTGTTATATAATCTCACTCAAATTTAATTTTTGCACCCACGGCTTTTAGTTATTTAAAATCACATACTCACTACAATATTGAATAATTATATATATTTCCAAAATTAGAAAGATGAGGGACAAAACTCACACATACGATGACACAGATACCATAAAAACTTGAACCCAAGACGAATCGGAGCACACCCAAAACTGGACCTCAACCAACACACACCATATTCGTATTCTATCCCCCTTTTTGGTAATAGAGGTCTATTTATTTTACTCACCCACCAACTTGCAAGTGGCAAAACAAGTGTGATGAGTGCAGGCCCGTACTTTTGATGTTTGCATTCAATACTTTATTAGGTTACTAAGAATAATAATATGATCTAGATAAAATGCTCTGTTCCTTTTCGGAAAATTTATCTCGAAAGGGTGGAGGGTTGGTGGATATTGAACTAGTCAACTTTGCTCACCCCATTTAAATCCTCAATAGGCGCGTGGGTGGGGGGGAAGCGAATCTAAGGGTCATGCCATTCCCACCGCCCACAAAAGTAGAAAAGCATTCCGACGTCACGCAATTCCTTACGTGCGACACTGCTTGGCGAATAACATGTGTCTGATTCACTCACCCGTCTTGCTCAAAAACGGCATCATTCTGAAGTATAATGCACTCATCAAACTTGATTGGGGAATTTTATTTCCGGTTAGTATCACGTTATCACAAATACCGCTATTACTATAAATTGAATAGCTTGTTTGGTATTCAACTTGAATCTAACTTTTTAAATTCAAAAACAGAATTTGAGTCCAAAGCAAAGAAAATCTGTTTGGTATCCTTATTTTTAAAAACTCAAACTCAAGAATAACAAAAAAACACCTCAATTATTAAATAATAATAATAAAATAAAATAAAAAATCTGTTTTTTCAATTTTTTTTCTAACAACCCAAAAGTTCTCAAATTTTTAAGATTTGAAAACAGTTTTCAAGTTGCATACCAAACAAGTTTTTGAATCTTAAAAATAGATTTAAGAACTCATTGTTTTTAAGAAAAATCAAAGTTTTTGAGTTCCCTATTTGAATAGGATATCAAACACCCTCTAAAGTTTTAATAGTCTTCATGTGATCATTATGAAAAACAAAAATAGTATTTATATAATATGTATTAGAGAAGTGGTAAGTAATGTAATACTATAATGATGATACTTACAGCATTTACTTTTTATTTAGATGTGACATACCCTAAAATTCATAGAGCAATGCTAGTGACACTCGGACATGTTCGTGATCAACTGATGCTATCACAATTTAAAATACATTTATTTTTACTTTATTTATCTCTAACATATAAGATCATAGTGAAATTAGCTTGTAATTGACCAGGCTATCGTCCACCCGAATTTCTTAATTTTTTTCTTTTTTCCTATGAGAATTTAATCCACTTACCAAATAGTTCTCAATCCAAACTTCATCTTATGTGTCCCAGCCCAACCTAAAGGAAAAACATAGTTCCGGCACATTGAATAGATATCGAAGCATTATTTTGCAAGTAAACTCTATATCGGTAAATATAACGTTATTGTATAAGAATTGCGAGTATATAAATGTAATTATCGAACTATAAAATTGTCTATATCTCTCATTACGTAACAAAAAAATATATTATAATTGCACTCAACTGGAATAGGGAAGAATTAGTCTGACTCAGATTTCATCTTTTACTTATTTGCTATAATTTGCTAGGTTTTTTTTTCGTACCTATTAATTTCCCCCAACCTCCCGTATTAAGGATGTGGTTGATAGGCACCTTCAAGTTGTGCCTCACCCGCCCGACAGTCTTCTTCATCCTTGTCTTAAAGCCAATACAAGTACAACTGCAAACCAACCGTATGAATTCTCTACTGCCATATTTATTCCATTTTCATTTTTCTTAAAACAAATACGTTTTGTTTGGTTATTTATGATTATATTGATAGTTTAGTTATCTGCTATGCGTCAGCAGTCCGTTACACCCAAGAAAAAATAGGCCTTCTATGTTCAACATCCGTCTGGGCGGTATCAACATCAGCTGGCCTTGTCTCTCGTTACAGAGCTGAGAATCATTCCTTTTTATTGAGATCTGCATTTGAACAGTGAAGATTTCAGGTTTTATAATCCGGGTTCTGTTCAGACTTCAGAGCTGTGAAGCAACTGGAACTGGGTTCTGTTCATAGTTTTCCGCAGACTTAGTTCCTGTGAGTTAAAGTTTTATGATTTTGATGTGATTTCAATCATGGGTACTTTCATTTTTGTTATTTATGCTGTTGTTTTGGATTGGTTTTTGATTTCATGCTAACTTTATATTTGCAAGGGACATGAATTAGTTTCTGTTTCATTTTTAAATTCAACTGGTCAAAGCTGAGAAATTTTATGCTTTCAGTTATTGGACTGAGTTTCCTTCAGCTTCTATTGGCTCTCAGTTAGTATGCTTGTAAATTTCGATATTTTTCAGTATTGTTTCTGAGGCTAGCTTATTGTGTATGCTCAATGATATGCTTAAATATCTATTTCTGGTTGCTGGTGATTGAGAATTCTTTTTCTACTGGTGATCATAGAGAACTTCCTTGATTGCAGTTTCTAATTTTTCGTTTTGGATTTAATTATAATAAATCAGGGTATGAAACTGAAGTCTGTCAGGAATACCAGGCTTAAATTTCCCTCATAGCTTTGTTAAGGGGGCTCTTCCCAGTTCGTTGGAGATGCAAAGATGGAGAAAACACAAAAGATCATTCAGTACAGAGAGAGGCTAGACAAGACACTGGCATCTCCTAATCTAACAAATAAGGAGGCCTTAAAACTCCTTGTCAAGAATCAGCTGATTCATTTTTCCGAAAATGAAATTGGAGGTTGCTAATTATTTTCTTTTTGTGTTCTTTAATCAGTCACCAGTTGTATGTCTGTATCTTAAAATAGTGTAAGAAAATATCGACAAAAGCTAATTGTATTCGGCAAACACATAATAATTTTAGCTTTATGGGTCCTGCAGGATGTAATGAGAATGTGATAGAAGAAAAGACTGCTGAAGTATCCAATTTACTTGATATGTTGAGGAGTGCTTGCATTGTTGATGACAAGGGATTGACTACTTGTGAGACCACATCACATCCTGAATGGAAAGTATGCTATCTAATCTGCATTATCTTCTTCAAATCCTGTTTTGCTCTAGAACTGTTTTCTTGGTTATAATATTTTTCGCTTTTCCTGTATTGTATATGCGTGTAAGTGCGCGTGCGTTTCTCCCTGACAGCCACACCTATAAATTTACTTCTATTGAATCAATTCTGTAATAAGTGAGGCTGATGAGTTTCATTGTTATCATTCATAAAGGATAAGAGGTTCTGACTTCTTATGTCTGTGGTTGGGCCTTTACAGATGCTGTTTGAGTCTCTTTTTTAATATGTACAACTTCTATAACTTAAATTTGTCATTAACATTTTAAAGTTGTAAATTGTTACATTCGCGTATTTGAAACTTATTTCTAAAATTAAAAAAATTTAATACAGTTCATTTAATTACAGCATATTTCATATTTTAGTCTTGACCAGTCGTCATTAAATGTTATTGAATTTGTACTAATGAGACATTGTGACCCTTATATTGTGAAACTTACATAGTTGCAAATATACTTCATTCTACAGTTAAAACATGACAATGAACAGTTCCGTGTTATGTATCGCGAGGGAATCCAAGGCACTCCCTTTCATACATTACTTGTTGAAGGCTACGTAGATGGATCTGTTGATGACTGTAAGTTAAACTAAAACACTTGAAAGTTCGTATGCCTCATGCTACAATGGTGAACTTTAAATAAGTCAAGTCTTTTTGAGACAAACAAGTTTCATTTTATTGCAGGTTTATGCGCCTCATGGGAGTCAGACCTTTACAAGAAATGGTAAGTCATTTCAATCATTGCATGTGCACTTCATTTATGCATCTCACTTGAAATTAGATCTGATCAGCTTGATGGAAATTTATGTTGAAATAGTTGTTTCGTGTTTCCTCCTACGTGTCTGTCATCAATAAAATGTTGTGTGTGTGAGACAGAGACAGAGACAGAGATTACAAAAACTCTTATTCTGTTTAAAAGGAATTTAACTCTTATTTATGCAATAATTTGTTTTGTATCCTTCTCCCAGGTGGCCTCAGTCTACCATTCCAACTTTCAAAATTCTCTCTGCCAAATGTTTGCAGAAGGTCCGGATTGGTGAACAGATTTCTTTAGTGAGGTTTGTCTAAAATAAGGCATAAAACCAAATCATATGTTAAAGATTTTTTTTTTCCTTCCACTTATGAGAATGTTTCCATTCAAAATGCTGACTTTTATTTATATTTTTGGAAGAAAGGATGAAGGTTCCATGGCCACTTTCACCTAGGGAGGCTGTTGTACACTATTTTATGTTTGAGTACTTCCAAGATGATCTGATTGTTGTTCTCTTAAAATCGGTAGTTAACTGAAATAGCCTGTTGACTTCAATTGTTATTTTGCTTTCCATATGTCCAATGTTCCTAAAATTCCAGGATAGAAACCTGATAAAATTGACTTTATTGCAAATCCTGTCTCAGGTCTCTGATTCGGAAAGCATTGATGGTGTTCATGGTCTCACAAATGAGGAAACTGCTGGAGCAAAGGATTTGGTAAGGATAGATGTGGTGGGTGGCTTTGCTATACAGAAGGTTACCAAAGAAAGAAGTTACTTTCGGTAAGCTGTGGCGGCGTGAATGTGAAATTTGTTCACTTTGTTCAGTTGTTTGTAATTAAAGCCCTCAACATTGTCAATTTTTGTAGGACAATAGCAACTATGGATATAAAATTGGACTTTGTCCCGCCATCCCTTATAAATTTTTTCTCAAGGCAGCTCATTGGCAATGGTTTCCGACTCTATCAAAAGGTTATATGGTTTCCGGCTCAGAAATTTCCTTTATCTTTCCATTACCAAGATCCAAAAAGAGCCTTCAAAAAGGAAAGGGGTGGATAAATTTTTTGAATTTACGTGTTGGCCATTTTGCCGAAACTGCATGGAAACATCCCTTCATTCTCATGACATGAGACTCTGTTTTTATCATTTTCTTCTCACATTTTCCAATGCTTAACACCATTACAAACTTACAGGCAGTGTCTTCTAAGCTTAACGGTGATGGAGATTACAGTAAGGCCTTGGAAGGCCCGCTGTACACTCAGATACGTGAAGCTCTTTTTCCACTTAATGAACCAAACAGACCTCTGGAAGGAGAAAGGCTAAACAGTGACACGTCCAATCTCTCTGAAGAACATCTAATGAAAAATCAGATGAGTGACTTGAAGTTGGTGGATATGGATCAGAAAGTTGAAAATGATCACCCTGCAAGTGAAGCTGCCCCAGATGATGCACAAGTTCACCCTGCAAGTGAATTGATGTCAGATGATGCATTAGTTACTGGCAGAAGCACTTTTGGTGAGATTGAGGAGGTAGAGAGCGAAGACGGCAGGCAGTTTGAGAATCAAACATCCAACAGAGTTGCAGAAAAGGGTCTAGTAAATGGAAAGATAAATGTTGTTATCAGTTCTGAGGTAGAACAAGCTTTAGGAACATTAGAAAAGATAATTTATAAGGTTCGAAAAAATGGATTGAATGCTCAAATTCGGTCTTCTTCTGGCTTCACCAATGAAATCCCCCAAAAGGAAACTTATGGAGGTAACCCAAAAGCCTTAGAAGGTGGAGTGTGTATAAGTGGTGAACGTTTTGTTGAAGCATCTAAAGAAGAAGTCATTGAGAGGACTTTGCCTAAGTCTGTGACAAATAGCTCTGGCATTCACAACTTAAGGTAATTAATTATGCATATTATTGATCATAATCATTTCCTGCGCATTTTCCTAGAAATTTGGGTTCCGAATCGTATACCTTCCTTTAACGCCATGATTTTATCTAGGAGCCAAAAGGTTAACCTTTTTTATTTTTCTTATGTCCCAGCTATGAAGGATCAAATTCTCTGTCAAAGGAAGTTAACCATAACAGAATAGTACCTACTTCCCTAGAGCAGGAACTTTCAATTTCTTGCGATAATAACCAGTCTGCCTTGTGTTCCTCTAAAGATGGGACTGCAGAGGTACCTGTATTAGACTTGGATCATATTATGTACGGCACCACCAACCACATGAGCTCCATGAAAAATGGCAAGGATGAAAATATCCCTAATAGAACGAAGAAATCGACGAAGAAAAGAAAGCATTGGTACTGTTGCTTCAGCATGAATTAAAGACAGGCAGATTTTTCAGAGGTTGGGATTTGAAAATGCAAGTCTGAGTTTTGTTAAGTCACTCTTCGTTGTCAGCCTAATAGATGACTGGAGTGGATTTGTAACATTTTACTTATAGAATGGTTAAATGTATAATACATTGTTTAGAAGGTCCAAGAGGCAGTGAAGGATGTACCAATATTTTATAATAATCATCTACATAATAAGTAGTAATGAAAAATTTATTTTTTAATATAGAACATGGGACTTGTTCTTTCATCAGTTCTGTGATGAAAATTATTGTTCTTATTATAGTTGAGAGTTGTGATTTGAGAATACTTTTTAGCCCCCATCATGAAAGTACTGCTAGTCCACTTGGATGAGCAATGCTTGGGAAATAAAACAGTGAAAATGGCATTGAACAACTTGCATCCAAGTTGCTCTCCTGGTTGTGAATCTTCTCTTTTGTCCAGTTGTCTGGCAACACAAGATGCTGACGTTGTCAGAGTATGAAGCACATAAGCATTTGACTGACAACAGACATTATCCTACAAAGAACAATAGATAACTTGTACCAATGATTACTTGGGTTTTTTTATTTTTTATTTCTTATACAAGAGATACTGGAGAAAGGGAAATCGAACCTAAGAACTCAGGTGCATAGATAAATTCAGGTTTTATACACATAATTTTCGTATATTATTGAATAAAAATAATATATATTTAAAAAATTAAAACAAATCATATTAAAATATTATATAGTGGCCGAACTTATCAGTTATAATTTGCCAAAATATTGCCGAATAAAACACGTACGTGTTTTATTCACATTTTCCTGTTCTGTATTTTACTAATTGAAAGAATGTGAGAGGCTAAGATTATAACTTGTTGTAACAAAAATGCAAGATGGTGATTTTGCAAACTCTTTGCCAACTAGAACAACAATTTCAAACAAAGATTTATGGGTATAGTAGTAAGCGAGGTGGTAGTATTCTTCATGTAAAGTGTTGTTTGAAATGTCAAGCAATTAACAAAAACACTCCAACTCAGCATGCATTTCTCTACAACAAATAATGTGTGCAGTAACAGAATTTTGTAGCACTAGAGAGAACGAGATAGACCAAAGGCAAACGTTCCCACACCAAAAAAAAAGAAAAAAAACTCTCAAATTGATTTATTGTGAAATTTCTCTCTTCAAAATCTGCTTCGGAGATGTCGAAACTAACAAATTCATCTATATATCTATATATATAAAGCAAAAGACAGAGAATAGTGAAACATTCAAAATATCAGAAAATGCCCTTGGTTAATTTAAACATTAAGAATTGAAATTATTTATTGAATGAGGATAATATGGTAAATTCATATTTTTTCATATTAAAAAAAATTAAAATTAAAAACAAAATAAGATAATAAATCCTACTTTTATGGAACATAACTATCCATATTATATTTTCTTAATTCTAAAAATAAAATAAAAAATAAAAAAGAAAAACAATTGGCACATGCTCACGCATGTGCCAAGGGGCTAGTATATATAAAGCAAAAGGCAGAGAATGGTGAAACATTTAAAATACCAGAAAATGCCCTTGGTTAATACAAATATTAAGAATTGAAATTATTAATTAAATGAGGATAATATGGTAAATTCACTTTTTCATATTACAAAAATTAAAATTAAAAGAAAAATAAGATAATGGATCCTATTTTTATGGAACACAACTACCCTTATCTTTTTTAATTCTAAAATAAATTATTTTTTTTTAAAAGCCTCTCGCAAGCGCGAAAGCACATGTAGAGCTGCTAGTATCTATAAAGTATAAACTAATGCAACTAAGAGGGTCATTTTATTTTATTTATTCTTTTAATAAATTGTATAGCCGTGCGGCTATACTCCTATTAAATAAAATATACTTAAATAGTATCGTCAGGCGGCTATACTACATTTTTATTATAAAAAAAGCGTATAGCCTCACGGCTATACTCTTGCGCTAGGCCCAGACCAGGCAGGTGATCTTTTTTGGGTATAAATAGTATAGCCGGGCCATAATCGAGGTTTTTTTTAATAAAAAAGAGTATCGCCATCTGGCTTTACTAATTTTGACACGTGGCGAAATGGCGCAGTCGATCTTTTTTTCTTTAATAAAGCGTATAACCAGGCAGCTATAACCGGATTTTTTAATAATAAAATAGTATAGCCGAGCGGCTATACTACGGTTTTTATTATAAAGATTAGGTTAGCCGCACGGCTATACGGTTTTTTTTTACACCTGGGGCCCTTTTTATCAGTAGTATAGCCGCCCGGCTATACTTTGGTTTTTTTAAAAGAGTATATCCGTGCGGCTATACACTGTTTTTTTTAAAAAGAATATAGCCGCACGGCTCTGCTATGGTTTTTATTATAAAAAAGATAGTATAGCCGCTCGGCTATACACGAGATATTTTTTCCAAAAATGAGTATAGCCGCGCGGCTATACACTTCAGTAAAATTCCAACATTCCCGGAAAATGTAACCAAAAGTACCCTTTTTATCCTTCTCCTTTGGTAAAATTCCTCCTTTGTCCCCTAAAATATTGCCATTATTCCTTGAACCCTGGAAGTTGCAAGACACTTGTTAACCCAACCGCCAGAGGTCTGTGAGCTCCAACAATGTCGAACAAACACCTACTTACTTCTCTCTCCTCCGTTCTCCGACGAACCCTAACTCCGACGTCTCATTTCTCATTCAATTCCACCAGGTGGTTTCAATCTGGCACTTTCTTCTCACCCTATGTAAAAACACACCACCGCCTTTTCCCGTGTAGCGGATTGGATTTTCTCGAGATTCACAACATTCCCGGAAAATGTTTTACCTCCTCCCAATCAGCGGAGAAAGCCAGCGCCAAGTGCTGGAACTGTAGTGCCGCGGCTGAAGCGGTGCCGTTTCTGTTGTGTTCATCTTGTCGGTGCATTCAACCTGTGGATCAGTCGGTGGATTACTTTCAGATATTTGGACTGTAAGTAATTGAATCTTTGAGAACTAGAAATTCTTATCAGTATTTCGTGAATTCAGTTGTGGTGGTTTTTTTATTCTCTCTGCTTTGAATTTATGGTTCGTATTTGTTTGGTTACCGAGAAAGCGGAGAGGGAGGTGGAAAGAAAGTGAAAATTTTGAAACTTGTTTAACGAATTATTGGTTTCAAATCTTTAGTTTATGTTATTCTGATTTGAGCATTTCCTTTCACAAATTAAAAAGAATGAAAATTTGGAAGTTTTAGATAGTGTTCACTCTTCAATGTGATTTCCCTTTTTTTTCTGATAAAAATTAGTTTTGACAGGGAGAGAAAGTATGACAGTGTGGTGGACAATCTGGAGGGACAGTATAAGGAATGGCAGAAAAAATTGCACCCTGATCTTGTTCATACAAAATCAAAGGTATTTCTGATACATCTTTGTATTTCAAAACATAAGATATAAAAATAGTAACTATACGAAGGAGAAAGTTTTGTTTTGCTTTAATGTTTATTATGTTGTTAGGAGGAAAGAGAGTATGCTGCTGAACAGTCTGCTCGTGTGATTGATGCATACCTCACACTTAGCAAGCCCTTGGCGAGGGCAATCTACATTGTAAGTGTACTTTTCGCCTATTAGATTTGTATTCGTTGTTGTGCTCAGAGTTGATTCATTTTCATGGTACCTTGTTGTGTTGAAAACAATGTTATGAGAACCGCACTGTTAATCAGAAAATGGTCTTGGTCGAATGTGGTTACTTGGTAAATACACACACTCACATATACATTTATATATATACTACGGGTTTTAGAATTTAATTGTGCTATTTTGTTTTCAGTTGAAGCTTGAAGGTGTGGATGTTGATGAAGAAGAGACACTTTCAGAATCAGAGTTGTTAACTGAGGTAATTTGCAAAAAGTTGACTTTGTTGTCTTTATGCAGTATATTCTCTCCTTGTTTTTCCAGACATAACAACTATATCTGTTTGTAACTGGAGCGTTATAAATTATCATTTTTCCCATAGTCCAAAATTTTGGTGCAAAGTGACTGAAAATCTGCGAAAGAGTTTGATGCTCTATATCATATGGAATCTTTGACATTTAGAGTGCACATGTTTCGAGACAAACATCACCCATCAGGGTCTCCCCCATCTTGACAAATCTTTCATGGTGAAAATATTTTGTAAACTTAAAGATAGTTGACACGTGCTTCATAGAGTAATTTGCATTGGTATTTGAGGTTATCAATATGGCTTTGGCTGTTGGGCATGTTGCAAGTGACATGACAGTTTTGTGGTGGAAGTTTGGCATGGTTTGCAGTGGAGATAGTTTATTTTTCTATTTTTTTTTTCTTCAAAAAAATAAACTTGGGTTATAAATATTGGAGAAAGCATAGTACCTATAGACGTTTTGGAGTCACTGACTTGTTTTTATTTTGTTTGCATGGATATACTGAAGTTGATGAGAGTCATTGAGTCAATTTTTTCTTGTTCTGATATCTGGTCTCCATTAAAGACTTTGATTTTCTTATACCTTCTGACTCTGAAATTGCAGATTCTGGAAATCAGGGAAGCTGTTGAAGAAGCTGCTGACGCTCAGGCTTTAGTTCAGATTCAGTCTCAGGTATGACCCGAGACCTTTCAAATACATTTGGGAATGATTAGTTAAACATCACAGTAGCATGGCACTTCTCTTATCCTGCCACATATGTGGCTTGCAGTCTAATTTGTAGAGCCTTTTTAATTCACGTGTTAAGTTAATCAGAATATGCATGATGGCGAGTTTAGTGCCCTTTCATTTGTTTTATTTCTTTTCTTAACTAACTTTTCTTCTTGCTCATCCAGATGCAAGAGAAAATGAAGCACTGGTCTAACTCTTTTGCAAATGCATTTCGAAGCCGGAACTTTGATGAAGCTCTAAAAGCTATCCGGAGAATGACTTACTATCAGCGTGTGAAAGAGACTATTATAAAGAAGCTGTAGTCAAGGTACTGTATACAAGTCCTTAGCTAAATAATCAATTTTCAATAGACACCATGAGTGTAGGAGACATCATATAGGGCAAAGTCTATAATTATGTCTGTGTATGAACCTGAGTTCGGGAAAAGGGCTCTGTTCTATCCAATTCATGTGTTTGGTCTTGCTCTGTTCTATCCAATGCATATGTGTTTGGTTTTCTCCGAGGCATGGTAGTCTACGGTCGTGCATGCCTACACACACATACTTCGTAGGTATTGACCCAGAAAACTCACGCTTGACCTCCTACTTATGGGAAAATGACGGGCACCATTTGCTCCATATGGTTATGAACTTATGTTGTCATCCTATAATGTCAAGTAATAAATCGAATATACAGAATTGCCAGTTGGTTTTCCTAAAAATTTCTTTATTGGAAAAGATTGGACCTTTTTTTATATATTATTATTAAATTATGAACATATGAACAATTCTAATGAGCCTGTCATTTGGTAACTTTCAGGCTCTTTAGTTCTGAAATTGGTATGGTTCTGGAGCAAACCAAATATAATTCCATGATTGAGAAGTAGAAGATTTGATGGCAACATGTGAGTATTTTTAGATTTTAGAAAAACAATGTGATGCTTTGTTATTTTCTTTTATCCTCTTTTAATTTGCATGAATGAAAGCTGATCCTAGATTGTTCCTCATTGCAGCCAGATTTTGATTGAAGACCTGGTTGAGATTTGCCCGGCATCCTTCCGAGACAAATTAAATGTCAGAAAATACGAAGATTGGGCTGACATTTGGTCCAGCTGCAAGTACTTTTTTCATCATACTATTCTGTAACCTCTTATGATGGTTTAGAGATAGCTCTTAATAATACGAATGCTTGTTGGATGTATTGTCCATGCACAAGCTGTACCTGGCAAGCACTCTCTTGCAGAATAAGTGTTCTATTTATCTTGTTATAAAATGAAAAGATTGTTCCAAATAAATGCCACAGAAGAGCGAGCCAAATCAAACACCATACCAGTCATGCCCTTAAAACAAGGATTAGGAATTATGTTAACAACTTACGTTTTCTTATTAAAGACAACTTTTGCTGCATTACATTGCGAGCCAAATCTTGCTTACCTTCTCTGTTAAGCCCATAAAATACGGTTCGAAAATTGACCACACTGGGAACAATCCCAGTGTTCAACATTTCAGGTATAAGCTGCATGGCTTCTTCAGCTTTTCCCACCTTACAAAGACAAGAAATGAACATTGAATAAGTTCTGAAATCAGGCAATGGCCCTTTTTGTTTCATCTTGTGGAAGACTTCCCAAGCTTCAGCAAACATTTCCATGTTCATGTACCCTCGAATGAGCGCAGAATACGTAACAATTGTTGGTTCACAACCCTCCTGTTGCATTTCCTTGAAAATTTCTAAAGCTTTTCCTCTCTGCTTCTCTTTGAAGAAATGAACTATTAAAGAGGTATATACATGGACGGTTGGATATATGCCTGCCTGCTTCATAGAATCCACCTTGGCCAGTGCTGCTTCTAACTGTCCACTCCTCAGAAGTCCATGAACAAGGCTCCCATAAGTGTACTGATCCAGTTTTGACCGGTCCTCCCTGACATCATCCATCAGTGCTGCAGCTTCTTGCAATCTCCCAGCTCGACAAAGAGCCCTAATGTACAAGGAATAACAAAGAGGAATTGTAAAACCAGCTTTAGAGAGCAAATCTATGCATCTTCTAGCATCTGATAGCTCACCAACTTCACATAAACAACCAAGATAAGATTCAACCAATTCTTTGTCAGGTACATGATTGGCACGAATCATCTCCTGGAATATTCTAATTGCTTCATCTGCCTTTCTACCTTTTCTCCCACAAAGAGATATGATCAAATACTTGTAGGTACTGCCAGTTGGGCTGTAATTATTAGACTTCATCTCTTCAAAAATCTGAAGAGCAATCTCTGTCAGACCTGTTCGACCATATTGCATTATCATTATTGTCCATGTATCTGCTGTCATTGAGAAACCTTTTCTTCTCATTTCATAGAAAAGGCTTCTCATGTGTTTGAAATCTTTCCCTTGTCCTGAGATTTTGATAGCCATGTTATAAGTTTCGGTAGTGTGGCTATAACCAGTTTGTTTTCCCACCCATGAGAAAAATTGTAATGCTACCAAACCATGCATACTGCTACTCCTCAAAATTTCCAGAACGAGCCCTGGAGTGAAATCAACAGAAGAATTCTCCAAAGCTTCCTGAATAGAGCACCAATCTGTTGACGAGGACAGAATTCTACAAATTTTTTGCAAGTCCTGCTCATCATAAGCTTTTGAAAGTGGCTCCAATAAAGGATTGCGATCCATCCTCGCTGGTTCTGAATGGTTAAAGTCCAACCCAGTATTGAGCTCCTCTCCCTTGCACAGATCCTTACTAAATACCTCTTCTTCTTGTGGTTGAAGTTTATAGATTCTCTGCATCTGTTTTACTTTTTCAAGGTTCTCCGTCTCTCCCTTTTTCTCCATATGATGCATAGCCAAGTTAAATATGTCATCTCGAATGACTATACTAGATGCTTGCATATCATCCAAGACCTTGAGAATCTCATCTGTCCTTGAAATTCTGCATAGCTCCTTGATGAATACAGAATATGACTTGACAGTGGGCTCGATGCCTTTCTCCTTCATATTATTAAATACTTTCCATGCTTCAGATATATGGTTTTGGCGGATGTGACCTGCAACCACAGCTGTGATTGCCACACTATCTGGTTCAACTCCACTTTCCAGCATCTCTTCATAGAGCTCACAGCCTTTTTGATATTCATTCAACTTAAAAAGGTGTTGCATCAGCTCTGTGTAGGTAGAAGTCACAGGAAAATATCCAGATTCTTTCATGCTATGAAACAGATCAAGTGCTTTAGAAACATCATTTATTCTTAAGTACCCGTTGATGATAATCCCATAAACCTTCCCATCAAGAATATTTCTTCTCTTCATGATATCCAAAATTTCCAACGCGTCTACAATTCTATCAGCCCTACACAGTCCTTTCACCAAAGTCTCAAAATACTCAGGGCCAAGAATAACCTCTTTGTTCTTAAGCACACGAATAAATTCTAAAGCTTCTCTGATTCTTCCAGAGATACAGAAACACTTGAGGACAGAACCATAAACAATGTGTTCTGGAATCTGTGAGACTCTAATCATGTCATCTGAAACCAAGGCAACAGCACCAGTCTCTCCGGATCTAGCTATACCATTCAATAACAGCTTGTACAAATTCGTGTCAAGCCCAATGTCCTTCTTTACCATCTCCTTGTAAAATTCCATTGCAACGTCAGATTTTCCAGCAGCACAGAGTGCACGTATCATCAACCTATAAAACACTGCATCCGGTTCATAACCGCATTTCCTCATCTCTTCATAGACCAACAAGGCTTTGCCAATTAACTTAGCCTTCCCATACAGTGAGATAAGAATAGTCCAAGTCTTAACATCTTTCTGGCACAAATTCTTTCCCATTTCATCCACCAACTTCTCCACCATTGCAAACTCTTTGGCTTCCCCAGCTATAAAGAGCATGGTATTATAAGTCTCTGTGGTATGACGAAACCCTTCTTTGAGCTTCACCCAATTGAAGAATCTCAAAGCCAAATGTGGCACTTTAAAGCACCTCTTCAAAACTTTGTCAACAATCTCTGAATCTAACTGAAAACCCAAGTTTTCTAACAGCTCTTCCATAGAAACCAAACCATTTTCCGCCCTGACAATCTTTGTAACCTCATGAACAACCGGGCTGACATCAATTTCAGCCACATTTTCCAAGTGGGCATCTTCCAAAACCGTTATATCTTCCTTTTGTTGCAGTACACTATCCTCCGCATTTCTACGAACAGCTAGCGTGCAAGGCGGGCACTCTTCCCCAATCTCACCAACCCTCATCTGGGCTTCTTCAGATATGAAAATCCCAGACGGAGTTTTCTCCGCAGTAACATTCTCAGCGCCCAAAATCTCACTTATTTCACTGAAGAGCGAGCCAAAGCCGCTGCTTTCTGCTTCTTGTTTCGAGTGGGCTTTCTTAGGCTTAGATGGTTTGTTGAGTGTTGCAAAATGATCTGCCTTGTAATACTTTGAGAAGCGGAAATGAAGTATCTTGCAGGTTGAGCTCGAACACAAGGTCTGCAGTTTGATGAAGCTTCTCATGATTTGCCTTCAAATTCTCTTCTTAGCGGGAATTCATATATACATGATACATCTCATCAATCAACAGAACAACAAAGAAAGTGTGCCCTCCAAAAAAAGCAAACAAACAAAAGAGGAGGAGGACGAAAAAAAAAAAAAAAAAAAAAAAAAAAAAAAAAAAAAGGGAGAATTGTAAAGAAAATAAATCTTGTTGTTTTAAAGCAAAGGCGCCCGTGGCCTAATGGATAAGGCGTCTGACTTCTAATCAGGCGATTGTGGGTTCGAGTCCCACCGGGCGTGACTCTGCAAAATTTAGTTAAAATAATTTCTGTTTTTTAAAAGAAAATTGTACGGTTATACCAATAATAAGCTAATGACTAATTTTCTTTTTGTAATATACCACTTTTTATTTCTCGATTAAAAAAGTAGAATCAATATTTTTTCTGAGATGGAAAATTGCAACAAACACAATATAATCACTATATTGAGATATAAATAATAAATACTTTGGCAAAAAAAGAGATATAATAATAAATACTATTTGCATTGAAATTATTTAATTCCCGTAACTTGAGCCAAATTTTAATTTTCGCAAAAATGGATAATAGTTTAAGTGACTAAGAGTTAACTCTTGCACATAAGGTTATGTGTTGAAATCCCCCTTAATCCAATATTGCTTATATATATAACAAAAAAAAATTGCTCATTTTGTCTACAAATTATCTCAACAACAAAGATAATAGCTTAATTCTGCAACCAAAGAAAATCTGACATAATTAGCATGTGAGTGCCATAATGCCAAGTGAAGGGAGCGTGCCCGCGTTCTTGCACCTGAATTTGATCCCTTTTCTATACATTAGAGTAGTTTAAAAAATAACTTTGTAACAAAATAATAATAATTTGAGACTATCTACCAACGATTTCTCGTTCTTTGACTTCAATGTGATTTTTTAATTCAATTATATGAGATGTCGGTTTACGTGATCGGGCCGAAGCCCCTTTTCCAAGCAAGTGCACAAAGGCCCAAATCTAGCCCAACGAGCCGCCTTGGAGCCCAAGTAAAGCGGCAATCTTCCCGGACCTTCCACCGAATAGTGAAAAATCGCAGAGAGATTTTCTGGAGTTCGCTCAAAGGCACACAGAGAAAGAGGCATAGAAGGAAAGCAAACAGAGAAGAAAAAAAATGGGGTGGGTGTGGAGGGACGATGAAGACGACAACAATTCAACTGCGGGTGACATAAACCCTCGGTCGGACGGTGAGCGATGCTCGACGAGGAAGGTGATGAAGACGCAGTGCAAGACTGAGGAGGTGGAGCCTGGAAAGTTCGTCCGAAAGTGCGAGAAGACCGAGCAGCTTCTCAGGGACTGCGCTGGAAGGTTTGCCTCTCTCTCCATTTCCCTAAAATCCTGTGGCAAATTAGGAGTAGTTTTATCTAGGGTTTCAATGAATTGCCTAATCAAAGCACTGTGATTTTAGCGGCCTCTATCTTTTATGCTTTGATATACAGTTTCAATATATTTTTTATATAACTAGTTCTAACCCTTTTGATCTCTATTTCAATTTGGGGTTTTTTTCTTTTTCTCTGTATTTTTTGGTTGGATTTTTTGTGTTATGAGGATTATGGGTTAGGATAAAACATGTTAAGAGTCATCAAATTATGATATTTGAAGCTAAATTAAAGAAGCAAATGTTGGTTATGCTGTGATGATTATGAAAACACAGGACGAAAGAGAATCAAATTTCTTTCTTCTGTCTTGTTGACAATACATGATAATATGGACCATGTTTTGATGCCTGAACTATATAAATTGCTCAAGTGCGCTTGACTTACAGTCTAGCAAAGTATGATTATAGCATGTGATTATTTATAGGGTTGTTTTAGTTTTCTTCGTTCCAATCAGAGTACAACAGCTAAGACCTCTAAATTTGTTTTACAAAAAGTATTATGGCTTTGGCTACATTGTTCAGATGAGTATGCTCAGAGGTCCTGTATTGGTCATGCAAAATAGGTTGTTGACGTTCTTGTTAGAGCCAATATAATCAAATTTTTTACATTGGTTTGGGAATTAGTTTCAGAAATTTGTGATGCTACTGGTTACTTGATAAATTGTTTTTGAGATTAATTTGAATGATTCCGCGACAACGTGTAAACCAGATTGGCATGTCAAATTGGTTGAGCTGTTGATGAAGTGCTTTATGCTTATTTGGACAAATTGCATGGACTTTAAAGCTGAATACTAGGATTGTTCAGTGGGTGGATGAGCTATACCTTAGTAGAAAAATATTTCTGTGGGTATCATGTCTCCCAACTCTGTCTTTGCTAGCCTCTGAATGTAATTGGAGCGATCCGCTACATAAAAAGTATCCATCTCTTTTTCTTCTCCCTGTTTGAGCATTGGTATTATTTATGTTACTACAACATTGACCAATGTTGGGCACTTTACCTTTTGTTAGGCCTGTCGAAGTGGTGCAATCCAATAAAGAGTACACTGAAGATGATGTCACGGAAGAGGTGCTCAAAGGGTCTGTCTACTCTGGGTCATCACAGCATGGAGCATTTGACTTCCCTGGGCTACGCAGTGATATTGAAGACATTGAACGTACCTTTATGGGTGGCCTCAGCCGTTTCTTTGATGCTGCTGAGGAGATGAGGAATGGATTCTTCAGTGCATTTGGGGTTCCACGCATCTTTGATGAGGGACCCTCTTGTTCACTACCATCTAAGAGGCAAGAGGTACCCATTGAAGGTGGTCAGCAGGAAGCTTTTCCTAAAGCAAATGGCGGCAACAACTCAGGGCAAGTTGATCTTTCTGGATTGGCGAGAGATGTTTGAAGCAAGCCCACGGTAGGTCACATCAATGTTGTCCAGTAGCTTGTTAATAGAGTGACTATCAGACTTCCGCTGTTATTTTCCTATCTTCCCCATTCGCCTCAAAATAGAATATGCGATATATCTCACCTGTAGTAGAATGCAGTTCCTACGAGGGCTCGACTACAATTCCATTTGACAATAATGCGTTCATGTTATAATGCAATGGTTTCCCAATGGTTTTATGTTTTAGCATGAATCATCTTTCTCGCCCTATATATGAATGTGCCTACTAATGTTAGAAAAATCCTATTTTCTGATTAGCACATCAATTATTTTCTCACATCAATTGATAGAATTACAAAACAGGGGATATACTTTATGACATCTTGATGACATATTATGCTGCTCTTATTTCGTTTTCACACTAATTTCAAACTTTCATATAGAATGAGAATGGGCCAGGCGATGCCTAGTTAGTGCCACACCTCACAGTATTGTTGGATAAAATATAACGTTTTTTACTCTAGGACAATTTTAGGATCCTCTGTTTTTGACGAAGTTTCCAGTTACCTACCAAAAACCAATACTAAAATGCAGAGATAGTGGTGTTCCACGACTACAAAGCCATTATTGACCAAGGAAAGATTCATCAAACCAAAAACACAGCCAACCTCGTGGAGCCAAACAAGTTCCTACGATGTTATCTGAAATACAGTTGGATCAGTGTCAAGTCAAGTCAATGGTCTCCCTCTCTCTCTCTCTCTCTCTCTCTCTCTCTCTCTCTCTCTCTCTCTCTTGGGTATAAAAAAGATGGTCATTTCAGTTGTTAACAACAATAATATTCGCATGGAGAGAATTGGAAAAAAAAATTGGAAGACTGCATTTAGTGCTTGGCATGTCATATGCTCTAGGAATTTGGGAGGAAACTTCTACATTACCTAGAGACACATCTAAGAATGAATCTAAACTCTTGATAAAAGAAAGAAGGCAAGATGAAGCATGCTTTGTGAATATTGCTACCAACCCCAATTTGTGTACCAAAAATTTTGTTTGCCTAGTGGTAGTTGTGTCTTATTTATTCGAACAAAGACAAATTATAAATCTCACTTATTTTTATTTCTAATAAGTAAAATACCCGATACATTGTCAGCTAAGAAAATTTGGCGATTCTATTAATTATTAGTAGATTTGTCTTCTATGATTCTGTGGTTAGTGACATAACCAAAAGCGGTACAAACATAATTCAATTGCTAACTACATTTTCTCAACCAAGTAACAATATTCATATTACCCTCCAATTGTTGTAATTGAACATATTAAGAAAATAGAAAGGAAATCACACCGGCTTGGGCCGGCAGCCGGCGGTAGCCCGGCCCACTAAGATCCCGCAAACCGGCAAATCCTTCTTGTACAGCTGTAATAACTTGGTGGTGTGCCGGTCATAACAAAACAATCTGAAAGTCCTCCAAATCACAAGATCTCAGCCGTCCATTCCGCTTTGCAGTCCAAGATCGTAAATATATTTTATCAAGTGGGTCCCAATCCGAAAGGTAAAAGGTTTTTGTTTGGGTCATCACAGTCAAACATAAGGCAAAGAAAGAAAAAAAAACGCGTCTTTATAAGTTTTGAAACATTCCAACAGAAAAACCTACCTTCTCTCTCCCTCCCTCCCTCTCTCTCTCTTTCGTTCCTCAATTTCCTTCCTTCTTCTTGTGCATGATTATATAAATTTGGAACAAAGGTAGAGAGAAAACCCTAGTACTCTTTTTCACAATTCCAAAACCACACAAGACGACTGTGTTTTCATTTTTTTCCCTTTTTCTTCTGCCATTGTTCATTTCTCTGTTTTTTTTCCCTCCCTTCAGAATCTGAAAATTCTCTTCCTTTTTTGACGTGGAATTTGTCAATATAGTTGGCCTCAAAATATTGGGTTTCGTCGAAGTTTGGGTTTTGGATAGTCTTTCTTCTCCGTCGGGTAATGCATTGGAAGGTTGAATGGTTTTTGAGGAAATTTTATGTTTTTTTCTAACTTGTAAGAGAGTTTAGGCAATTGGGTCTTTTGGGTTAGCTTGATTTGGTTGATGTGTTTGGACTTTTTTTTGGCTGAGGCTGAGGCTGAGTCTTTGTGTATATTTGAGACTCTTTCTGGGGCACAGCTTTTGTTTGAGAAGATTATAATATGTTGATTAGAATTGTTTGAATTCTTTATTACAGTGAGCAATACAGAATTCTCTGCTGGTTGGTGGATTCATTTCAAGTATTTATTGTCGTTAAAGTAATTGCGATTGAGTTGGTAATTGGGGGATAATGCTCCATTTTTGGTCCTTTCATTTTAATATCCATTACCTTTTTGGGAGGAAAGAAATGGGATTTTGGCCTTCATATGATATGTCTCTGCTTTTAGATTTTTGATGAGAATAGAGATCAATATCCGATGGGAAACAACTGCGTTGGATCGACGAAGGATGGTCTCTTCCATTCAGTCTCGAATTCGCTTTGGTGGTCTCGATCGACAGGTTTTGTTTCTCATGGCAGTAGAGAAATTAATAGTACTGATGCAACACCACAATTGAGTAAGAAGAACTCAGAAGCTCCTCTTTATGTTCAAAACAAGGCCCCGGAACAAGTTAAAATAGCTACGGAAGACTATAAGCCGGTGCAGCCTTCAAATCAAAAGGAGAAGGTTCAACCAGACAAGCCTAAGGAACCGGCACAACCTCAGAAGCAGAAAGAAGAGACCATACTTGCAAGGCAAGTAACATTTCAAAAAGGAGAGACTAAACCAGCACAACCAAAAATTCTCAAGGAACCAGGAGAACCAATACCACAAAAGGCAGAGACTAAGCCAGCAGTGGTGGCAAGACCAAAGAAGCCTCATAGTGTCAAGAGGGTAGCAAGTGCAGGGCTTCAGGCTGACTCTGTCTTGCAAACCAAAACAGGTCATTTGAAGGATTTCTTCGATTTGGGCGAAAAGCTTGGACATGGACAGTTTGGGACAACTTTTCATTGTGTGGAGAAATCAACTGGAAAGGAGTATGCTTGTAAATCCATTGCTAAAAGGAAACTGCTGAATACAGAAGATGTGGAGGATGTGAGGAGAGAAATTCAAATAATGCATCACTTGGCAGGGAATCAAAATGTGATCGCGATTAAGGCAGCGTATGAGGATGCTGTTGCAGTTCATGTTGTCATGGAATTATGTTCAGGTGGTGAGCTGTTTGATCGGATTATCAAGCGGGGCCATTTCACCGAAAGAAAGGCAGCACAACTAACAAGGACTATAGTTGGTGTTATAGAAGCCTGCCATTCTTTGGGTGTCATGCATCGTGATCTTAAGCCGGAGAACTTTCTTTTCGTCAATGAAGACGAGGATTCATCCCTTAAGGCTATAGATTTTGGATTATCAATATTCTTTAAGCCAGGTATGTCTTAACAATTGTCCTCTTTCTTACCTTACAGATCAATTCCTTTTTATGATTTTATTTACTGGTACATTTTCTCCCATCTGAAGTGATAGCATATATTATTAAGCAGGGCGTTACACCTTAGATGATTTTAATATATATATATATATATATATATATAAACTTCTTTTACTTTGTCAAAACATATGTAGCTCTCTTAATTATTGGTTGACTTTTAGGTAAACTGTGAACTCTGTTTCTTTGCATGCTTCCCACTGCTTATTTTCATGCCTACAATATTTTATAAGTTTTGTGGTGCTGCATCCTACTTTTCTTTGTCTTCTATATCATTGACACACTTAAATTGACAGGGGAGATTTTCGGTGATGTGGTTGGAAGCCCGTATTATGTTGCACCTGAAGTCCTGCGCAAGCGCTATGGTCCGGAAGCAGATGTATGGAGTGCTGGTGTTATCATTTACATTCTCTTAAGTGGGGTGCCTCCGTTTTGGGGTGGTAAGAGTTTTACAATGTCTTTCCTGTCTCGAGTGTGTGCGTGTGTGTGTGCCTGTGCTTTTCCACAAAGCACTTGACATTTTTCTCCTCTTCTTATTCTCTCTTTTCCATTTGAAACAGAAACAGAGCAAGAGATATTTGAAGAGGTTTTGCATGGTGATCTTGACTTCTCATCAGATCCCTGGCCTAGTATTTCTCGAAGTGCCAAAGATCTAGTTAAGAAGATGCTTGTTAGAAACCCGAAAAAGCGGATAACTGCTCATCAAGTTCTGTGTAAGTTTATACATTTCTGTTTATTATCAAGAAAGTGAGACTAGGACAATCCCCTTCGTCAAGAGAGGCACAAATTCAATTACATTTCTCTTAGAATCAGATCCTGCAATATGTTTAGCCTAGAATGTAGAATGAATTCTATCGTCAGAGCCATTATTGGTTTAAATGAATCTTGAGGCTGTGCAGTTTTAAAAGGGAAAGATTGGTCTCATATGTTGGAGGATGCCATCAGCATTGCAAAACAATAATGTTTGCTCTGATTTCTTGCAGGCCACCCTTGGGTTCAGGTTGATGGAGTGGCTCCAGACAAGCCTCTTGATTCCGCAGTTTTAAGTCGCTTGAAGCAGTTTTCTGCAATGCACAAAATTAAGAAAATGGCTCTTAGAGTAAGAGTCTTTGCCATTGTATTTTATACTTCTAAGTTCATTAATTCTTGTGAAGCTGGCTTCTAACTCTACTTGTATTGCCTGCAGGTCATTGCAGAGCACCTCTCTGAAGAAGAAATTGCTGGCTTAAAAGAAATGTTCAAAATGATAGATACTGACAATAGCGGTCAAATTACTTTTGAAGAACTTAGAGATGGACTGAAAAGATTTGGAGCTAATCTAAATGAGTCTGAGATATATGATCTTATGCAAGCTGTGAGTATTTATATCAGCATTATCCTTCTAAACTGAATGATGCTACCTATTGCCTTTGATAGGTTTCTGGAAAAGTATGCCTCAGAAACAAAAATTTGCAATTCCACATATTTCCTTCATCCAACTTGTTTGTGGATCTTCAATTGTTCTTATGCAAATGTTACTTGTTCTGAATTGCAGGCAGATGTTGACAATAGTGGCACAATCGATTATGGGGAGTTCATAGCAGCAACTTTGCATCTAAACAAAGTAGAGAGAGAAGATCATTTGTTTGCAGCTTTCTCATACTTTGACAAAGATGGCAGTGGTTATATCACTCAAGATGAGCTTCAACAAGCCTGTGAGGAGTTTGGCATTGTGGATGTTCACTTGGAAGAGCTAATCCGGGAAGTCGATCAGGACAATGTGAGTACTTCTGTGGCACATAGAGAGAGTAAACTCAGAACTTTCTGATCATTTACATGAAGAACTAATTTTCAAACTTGTTTCTTTCTTCTTCTTTTTCCAGGATGGTCGGATCGATTACAACGAGTTTGTTGCCATGATGAAGAAAGGCAATGCAGATTTTGACAAGAAGGGCCTTCATACAAGTGCTCTTAGCATTGGATTTAGGGAGGCTCTATCTGTTTGTTAACTGGCAGTGAGGCATTTTCTTTGGACACATTTTCCTTCCACCTTTTATGAATGTCTGCAACTTTTCAAGGCTTACAGATAGATCATGAGGGCTCTGGTAAATATGATTAGATGCCTGCAACTTCACTGCTCCAACATTTGAATTTGCCCAATTAGTTCCCATTCACTAATTTGTATTGGAACAGATGGTACAATAGACTATCTTCTCATGTAATATATGGTAGAAAGAAATTACTGTACATAAAGAGGCATAACCTCATTCTTGTTATTAGTTTATGTATTTTTTTTTTCTTAATGGTTGTTATTAAATCAAGAGGACGGTGTGTGTGCACCATATAGCCTATAGGAAGATTTTTTTTTAAAGATAATAAAAAGAGGATTTAAGTATATCTATCGCTCCTGGATTTGAATTTAAAATCTCCAACAAAATGTATATTGTGTGTCGATAGATAAAATGGTCATTGGCTAACAGTTTTGATTCAGTGTAACATGCCTGAGGTTTTTTTCCTTTTGTCGAAGTTAGGAAGGAGAGGGAGGGTTTTCTCACACATATTGCCACGGTGTCATGAGGATTCGAACATGATTGGTCTACCAATCAAAGCCATTTTTCCACTGGACTAATTCAAAGCAAATTGTACATAACACTTTCATGGGAATGAATAAGACATAAAAGCAAATTATATAATCTTTGCCCAAATTAGGGATCTGAGTTAAAGCCATTTGTGTGGAACAAATCACCAGTGTTTGATTAAAGGACATTATTGAGTGATGGTGGTACGATAAGGATCAATTCCATCATATCTAAGTGGGGTTTGTTTGGTGCATTACAGGATAACAACTATTAAAACCATATCATAGTGGGGCCATCCAACTTAATTATTCTCATTAATTAACATCGAATTCCTATTCTCCTATTATCTTTTTGTTTCCAACAATTGAAGACAACCGATATAAAGTCAAATCGAGGTGGCGAGGAAAGTGTGTAAAAAGGAGAAAATTGTGTGAAGTTGTTGCTATTACGTGTCAATGAGGAGTGATAGAATAATCGAATTACTATCATGTGGCAAAGCAATTGAAATTAAGATAAGTCGCAAATTCAATCTCACTCAATAGATTAAAACGAGATCTACACACCCGTGTTGCTCATATTGAAGACCTAAAAGATTAAGAAGAGGAGTAGACGAACCATGGTCTCTTAACATAAAGGGATTAGAAAGTAATTTACCCTAAGAAATGCTTATGATACATTGCATAATATATGGTTTATGAGAAAATGATGCTTGGCAAAGGGGACATTGACACTATCTGGCCAGTGGCCAATGACCAGTTTGTCTACGCTAATAGACAAGTCGTAGAAAAACTGCAGTTTAGACTACAAACAACGCATGAGCTTCACATTATGGAGCAATGCCAATTATGTGTTCATTTTTGGCCCCCATCCTCCAAAAACTTTTTGGTCCTATTTCTTTTTGTTTTTAGTTTTTAGTCTCCATGGGAAAGGTGGGCTCTTATTGTTTGTTTTCTTTGATATTGCCCATGGTGCGGTTGTTTTTTTATTTTTATATATAGTTATATTATAGAGAAATTGATGTTAAGGACATTGTTGGAGAGACTAAGAAATGTCCGGCATTGGAAGAGAATTTGTAATTATAATAGGGTTGACCGTGAATAGTAAAATGAGTTTTGTTCGTCCATGTTGAGATGCTTGATTTGAATTTATTTATTCAACAATACAATAAATTTTCGTCCATAAAATTTGAAACCGATACTTAATCTAACAAAATAAAAACTAAACGTCATTAGCTCAAACGGCCATTAGCAAATGCCCGGTTTAGATTGAAGTTCGTTTTTCTTTGATTTTCAGTTCGGGTTAGTTTATTATTTGTAATATGGCCCCCTTTAATTAAAAAATAAATAAACAAACAAATTGTCAGTGAATCAATAGGTGAAAATTGGATGAAAGAAAAAGAATTTATTTATTTTTCTTGTGGCATGAGGCCGATGAGGGCAAAGTGCCAAATCACAAATGAAGAGGATACTCGAGAAGCCAGCCTAGCCGTTGAATGCAACTCACCACCTACAAAATCCCCAAAAAATAAAGAAAATAAAATCCAAGTTCTCCCCAAACGTGGAGCACGATTGACCCCCGAACGGACGGCCAAGATTGTCTGGTTAAACGGAACCAGCCGTAGGATTGGCACTGCGCTCGTAATCTCCCCCGCACGTTGTTACAGCTCACGCGCGGTTGGTGGACGTGGGTGGGGTGTCCAGGTTGGCCTAACGTGAAACCAATCATGTTCCTTGGTCGTTCCACGTCAGCGAGAAAGACAGCAACGCCACCTGTGACCCCCACACACATAAAAACACTCTTTTCTCAAGTCCCAACGTTCTCCAACAGTAACCCCGTCCGGCTGTTTACAATCATTGGTTCCTTTTTAATTTACCATTTTACCCTCACAGTTCATTCTATTGGTTTATGTTGCCTGACCATAATGCCCTTTTGCTTGCTTGCTCTGTTATTTGACCTCAACTTCATGCTGATGAATAATGATAAAACCCAATTTTTCTTGAATTTGATAATCAAGTACCATCAAAATCTAAATCAAAAAATTAAAGCAAAAAAAAATATTTTTTCTCCTTTTTTTAAAATTAGTTTTTATTTATTATTTATTGCTTTGAGACATCACTATGGTGTTTTGAGTAAGCTCCATCTAGTGGATGATAATATACCCTTCAATTAGTTTTCTTTGTTTGGTATTGATAAGATATATATATATATATATATCTTCATCTGATTGTCTATCACACCCACTATTTGAAGGAGATTGACAATGAAATAAGATAATCCACTAACAAAAAAATTGAGTGAAACATTATTCATACTTTTGATCATCCTTGTAAATTGTAGAAGATTGGGGTAATGCTAGAGAATTTCTGATTAAATATGGTGCATGAAAAATGTTGGATGGAATATGAATGCTACACTTGTTTTTTTAAAATTCATACTCTTAGGTTTGGAGATAAATGCTACACTAAAGCTATAATATCTTGTGAATTAGGTCTATTCCAGTGAAAAATGACCTTGACTTGTAGACCAGTGGTCTTAGGTTCGAACTTCCATGGCACATTGATAGTGTGATAGTGTGTGTGTGTGTGAGAGAGATAGAAAACTCCCCTCCCCTAATATCACTTTTATAAAATTAAAAAAAATGCTATAAGATCTTATGCTTCGAATCCGATTGTACCATATTCATGTTCATGACCTTTTGATAGTGTTATTTAGTTTTTATTTTGTTGAAAGAGGTGCATGAATTCAAATATCATATATGAATTTTTTTTTGAATGAATGAATAAAAAAAAATAAAATACAATTTAAAAAAAAAAAAAAAAAAAAAAAAAAAAAAAAAAAAAAAAAATGTACCTTCATTCGGATGCCATCCCTTCTTGCCATTAATTTGAAATTAGTTAGAGCAAATAAAAACTACAAAATTCCTGGATATTTCACTTGTTCCATTTTAAGGTTTTAGAAGTTGATTGATATTATTATATAGAGTGTATCTTTAAATCATTTATAATTATGCAGGAAACCAACAACAACCCTTGTACTCCAAAGTACAGAATGACCCAAATTTGCTGCTTGATATGCATGCTGAGACTTAGAAAACTAGCTTTAATATGGGTGAGTTTTATTCAATTTCAACTCCTTTTTATTTTTCCTTTTAAGACAAGATGTGAGCTCCATACCTCAAAGCAAATGTGAAGGGCAATAGAAGCCTCCACCATTGTTAAAACAATATTTGTTTCTAAAGTTCCAATGCCCCTTTTTGAGTGATACACAAAATGAAAAGGAATTGTTTGAAGACAAAAATGAACGGAATTACATTTAAAAAAATCTTCATATTTATTATTTTGTATTTTCTTTAAGTAAACCCTTTAATTATAGTTTTCAAAACTTGTAAATTTTTTTTATCAGTGGGTGAGAAGGATTCTAACTTGGGACTTCTTCTAAAATTGGAAAAAGAAATAAAACAAAATTGCTAGGTAGTTTCAGAACTCGCAGTTGAGACATAATGAATTGACATAAATTAGTTTTTTTTTTTAAATTAAAAAAAAATCAAAATCAAAGTTGACAATATCCATCCAAAGAATTGCTAGAAATCATTTACAACATAATTCATGACATCTTATACTTGACCTTGTGTAAGAAACACATAAGCGTCTTCTCACTTATATGTATGTGTAAGCTTTTCTATAATATGGTTAACTGCATTTGCAGATAATTCCTATTTTGTATATTGGTAACCGTTCAACCGACAATACAAAAATAGATTATCCTCAAACACAATTAACCACATTACAAGAAATTCAATGTAAATTATCTTAGTTGTTAATAATTGATTCAAAGATTGAAAAACTTGTCCTCATTAGAACGATATTTGAGAATAATTTTCCCTCCAAACCTCAGAGCTGCATAAATGGTATCCAAAAAAAAAATCAAATTACTCAGATTTGAGCAAAATCCATGAACTTGTTTGCCATAATCTCATTATAGAGGAGAGAAAATCCTAATGTCCTTTTTCTTACCTTAACAAGAGAAATTTTGACAGCTTCCTACTTCACAAGATAAACGAAGTGAGACTGTAAATAAGTAACTCCGTTTCCCTCCATCATCATTCAGAATTCAAAACTGCTAGTAACTTCCATAGTGGCAGTTTAGTCATTTCCTAACTATTACCCATCTCTATCCACTTCATTGACATACCCCTCTCTCTCTCTCTCTCTCTCTCTGAATTCTCGGAACCAAACCAGAGCGTGTCACCAACTCTCTATAGCTTTCATGCTCAACTATCACCAAGTGCTTCTAATCTAAACCACTATCAATATATTGAATATATTCCTATACTCTCTGCTCTGTTCCTATCTTCTCTTCTTCGTTCCCTCTCTATCATAATTCCATCTTGAAATTTTGTTTGCATTGCCCCTTTGGTCTCAGTATCAATCAGTCTTTGAGTGCTTATTTAAATCACTATAGCCCAAATTCAAAAACCCAAGTTTGGAAACTGCCTGCTAATCTCTGTAAGTTCTATATCTTTTTGATCTCTAATGTCTTGTACCTTGGAAATTTGAATTCTTTAACCTCTGTGTTGCTTATTGTATTGGGTATCTGCTCTTTCTTTGATAATGTTGCTTATCCTTTTCTGGGTCTGTTTTGAGAACTTTGCATGTATTGATGATCTCAAGAAAATTGGGTTTACTTGGAAAATGTGAGTGCACAAGAACTTAAAGCCATGAGCCTGGCAGTGTGTTCTGTATTGATACTTGAGATTGAGAAAACAATATTGACTGCAGTTGACTTGTTATACAATTTGGTATAATTGGTCAGGTTTCCTTCTTCTTTTGAAGTAATTTGGAGCCACATAACTTTTGTTGTGCAAGGCTGTTAGCCTGATAAGAGGGTTATCTTCTACTGCTTGTAGATGCTTGGTTATTCGACGAATTTTGCAGAACTGTTGTCATGTTGAGAGTTATGCATTGTGGGCCTAGAACGATATGCATTATGATTTAGAAATTTCATGACTGAAATTATGGGAACTCTTTCTTGGAGGCTATATTGGGATAATTTCAGAATGAAAAATTTCATGGTTGGGTAGTCATGCTACAGATTGTGTTTTTACGTTTTCTTTTGGATGGGGGCTCCTCATCTTGTTATTTGGTGCATAGGGAAATAGCAGAATAGACCCTTACCCTTTTGAGGATATGATCAGTAGTTGAACATGATAGACATCTTATTACATTTCTGGCTGTTGCATGCCTGCTCATGTGGGTTTTCTGGGTGTTTTATGTATTGTTATTTCCTGCCCCTCATTATGTCTTGCTGGTATTTACTGAAGTTGCATCATCGATGTCAATCGAAATGGCATAAAACATAAAGTTTCTTTTTTTTTTTTTTGGTTTCCTCTTTTTTTTTTTCTTTTTTTTTTTTGGCCGAAAAGGTTCATAATTCACTGTCAATATTAGTTTTGTGATTTGTGGAGTAAGCCAAGTGTTATGCTCTTTTGCATCGTGGAGATACTGCCCAACTTTGCTAACTTTTGTATTTCTGTTCTTTAGTATTTTCCAAATGGAGTCTGCAAATGGGATTACTTCCGAGCATGAGAGTATTGCTATTGAGGAAAAACATGTGGACATGCCAGTACCGGATTTGAACAAGGATGGTAAGAATGATAGTAATGTAGAAGTTCATGCCGTGAATGGAATATCTGAAATTGGAACAAAAGATGAAGGCATCAACTCTTCTGGAGTTGCAGTTGAAGCCTCTGCAACTGTTCCGCCTGGTAAAAATTCGAAAACCATGAAGGTACTGCATGCATGCCAGAGTTCTTTGTCTTTTGAGCTATTTCTCTTATGAATTTGCATGACACGGACATGTACTAACTGCACCTTTTCTCTCCTACTTGTGTTTTATGTTCAGGATCCTCATGCTCCAAACAATGGTTTTTCAAAGAGCAAACTGGCCAAGGATAAACCTAACTTGAAAGGCATAACTCAGATTCCTCGTAACCAGAGGGCAATACTTTCTCAGAGCCTTTCTTTCCCATCAAGAGGATCTCGTGCAGATCCTATGAAGAAGAGCATTGATGTGTACCCAGTGAAAGCAGTGGCCAAACATGCTCGAGGAAATGCAACCAAAGCTGAGGCCCCTTTTTCAGTTTCTCGCTTGAATCCAAATAGGCGTGCATCCACAGGAGTGCATTCAAAGGAAGAGAACACAACTGGTGGAGCTTCCTTTAAGAGGAATTCTTTAGCAGCAATACCTAGCGTTAGATGCTCTTCAGTAAGGCTTTTTCGATATGTTGCATCTACATTTTACTCATCTTAATATCTTCCTTAATGTAGCTAATCTCCATTCTTATTTGTGTCAGTCTGGGAAGCCTGGTTCTGTGAATACATCTGCTAATAGCCTATCTAATGTGGTCCGGTAGGTTACAACCTCTATTCAGTACAGGAGTATACTTAACCTTTCTTATTTTTCGTTCAAATAAATAGGTCGATTTTACTGTTCCATTTTTCTTCTGCATGTTTGTATATGGGAAAAAAAATGCATCCGCGGCAACTGCTGAATCATTGATTTTATGATGTTTTATGTAATTGCAGAGCAGTTGATCAAAGTTTAAATCCTGTAAAAACAACTCTGCCGATCAAAGAGGATGATGATGCTCATTCCATTGCTTCGTATGTCTCATATCCTAGAACATTATTCTTCTTGTTGCTCATCTATTTACTGCCAGTATCTGAGTTATCCTGTCTGTTTTATTCACACTTCCATGTGTACTTTATTTTATCAGAAGTACTACACCAAGTGGACGGCGGAGCAGTGGTTCTTTTGCCTTCAGGTTGGATGAACGTGCTGAGAAACGGAAGGAGGTTGCTAACACATACCTTTAATATCTGGTTGATAGTTTTTGATAAATATTCCTTAAAACTTTTAGGATGTGAGACAGCAATTGTTTTGTATTCTAAAACACAAGTGGCTCTCTCTCCACCATTGGAGACCAACATGTGGAATTCAACTTATTGGGAGGATGGGTTTGCAGGGATTCACACAGGATCTCCTGCTCAAATACCATGATAAAGTTTGCTGGTTCTATTCCCAGAAGCTTAAGCTTTAGGATGTGGGCCAACTAGGGATATATGTTGACAGTTTTATTTTCAATGTGTGACACTAATCAGGCTTATTCATTGTTTATTAGTTCTTTGAAAAGCTAGAAGAGAAGATACAGGCTAAGGAAGCAGAAAAAAATAACTCACAGGCAAAATCGAAGGTGTGGGACTAATTTACAGCACTTATTATATTATACCCTTGCCGTTCATATATTAATTTGTTTATTTCTATTTTCCTGTTTCATATATGTTCCATTTCAGCATATTCACTCTGTTTTCTACATGCTTACAGGAAAGCCAAGAAGCAGAGATCAAGAAACTAAGGAAGAGCCTAACATTCAAGGCAGCACCCATGCCAAGTTTCTACAAAGAGCCTCCTCCGAAAGTTGAACTAAAGAAGGTAACTGTTAGAGTTTATCTGATGCGAAAAATCCTTCTATTTCCAGATCTTTTCACAAGCTGAAGTTCATTTTTCATCATCATTTTTTTTTCAATTTTCCATTGCTACTCTCCTCTTCCACCTCTGCTTCACTTTGCTTGCTTTTGTATAGCAACATTGTGTGTGACTCTTCTCTACCAATCAATTTAGATACCAACTACTCGCGCAAAATCTCCAAAGCTTGGAAGGAACAAGAGCTCCATTTCTTCATTGAACAACTCTTCCGAAGGTGGTGGGGCGTGTCTTAGCCCTCGTCTGAATCAAGAACTGAATAACTCAAAGAAAGCATTAAAGACTAAAAGCGAAAAAGATGTCCTAGACTCAAAGAAGCCTATTAGGAAGTCCCACAGCAGGCTTCATTCTCAGGAAAATGTTGCTACCAAAGATGAAGCAAAATCTGTTAAGTCCCCACCAAAGGCTATTGGAGAAGAAAGAAAATACCAGAAAACATGCACCACAGAAACAGAAGAAGGTCAGGATAAATCTGGGCTTCTTTCTGAGTGCAAAGAGAAGATAGAGTCTGAAGTGAATGTTGCCGAGATCGAAGAACCAATCCTCAGTGCACCTACTCCCGATATCATGCCTCATGAAGTTAGCATTGGAGCTTAATGACATATTTGTGATGCATTCTGTTCATAGTCTGGAAAGTTTTAAGTTTCATATCGTTGTGAATATAGAGATCATGGGATGCTCCTTAAAGTCATATATAATGTAGTTTATATGTGAGTTTTTTTTTTCAATCATCAAATTACTGTGGAAGTTTGAAGACATTATGCTGTCTTCAGCAATCTATGGATTATGAGTCTTTCATATATAGTTGATGATTGCCATTTCTCCCTACATAGTTGATTAGTTTTTTATTTGAATTATCTTGTTTGGAAGAAATGAAGAAATTTATTATTTCTTAACTTATTCATACCATTGTTAAAGAAACACAACTAAATAGGCCAATCCGAAAGGAAATTAAGGGCTGCCGATGCCGTTGAACACATCACTCACATGCCGAATAGTTATCGCAAAAGTATCTCTCAACTTGGTCCACCTTGTACCAAAGAAAATCTTTGTGCTACAACAAGACTTTAGTAGGGGTTGCTCGGCCTAGGTCCATTTGTATTAGCCCCATGGGCTAGTTTTTAGTTTTCTTCTCTTTTTCAGTGTACGGGGTGCCCCTACTAACCCGATGGGGATAGATAGGGCATGATGAATGCAAACTCACGCGCCACATAATTGTGATTTCACCAGACCAATTTTACCCGCCTAGTTTAAACTCCGTCACAAATCAATCATTTTAATAGTCTACAAGCTCACGTTACAAGATTCGGCATTCTAAAACAATTTTTCATATGAGAGTCTAACCACAACAAGAGGATGAAAACCTACGTCCAAAGCAAGTAGAGTTGAAATCCATTGGGACTTAAAATCTTTGGGCCAATTACACATTGCGCCAGCCATTGTAGCTTGTCAATGATACTCTAGTTCATGTATTTTAAAATTTGAAGAAAACAATTATAAAGTTACGAATCGTTACACCATTGGCCCTCTCTATAAGAATAACCATGAAGTCAAATGTTGCTTTTTTGAAATAGCACTTAGAAGGCCAATTCTTAGCGAATATGGGAGTCATATATATTTTAGGGTTATTAATGAAATTAATAGATACCATATAGACAAGGAATAATAATTTCTCTTTTAAAGAATGAAGAATTGCCTCCGCTTGATCAATCTGGCGTTCTTGCGTCAGTGTGACCAACAGTATTTGACAAGTCTAATTGACCCAAAATGTTTAAAACTATCAGATCCCTTTAAAAAGGGTCAACAAATTAAATGTACATCATATGATTTTGTAAGTAATAAAAACTCCAAATTGCCACATTTTACATTAGGGTTTTTTCCCACAACATGTTCCATGTAGTGGCCAATTAGAATCTTAATAATATTTTCTTCATGATCCTTGATACTTATATATGCTAAACCAGAGGTTAAGGAATAAGCCTTGCTTTGACCCCAAACAAAGCAGACTGCTGGATAAAAGAAGATTCCTCATTCCCACTGCTGGCACAGCTTGTCAAGTTTTGAGAAAAGATCTTGGGAATTTTAGTCTGACAAAAAAAAAGATTTGGGAATTTAAGTGCCAGTGAGAATGCATGGTGCCTGGCTTGTGAGAGAAATGTAAGTTTTGTCCAAAACCTGCCCCTGAAAACAAGGCTTGTAATTGAAACTTATCTCAGATAGTGTACATGTTTTCTTCTTCTTTGACCATAGGCACGCACATTTGAGGTCAAAACTAATGAAGCACGTGCATTTTTGTGTGGAAAAAAAATGAAGCTATGGTCGCATCTCACATGTTTAATAAAGTTCAGTTTTTCTTCATTGTAATGCTGAACTTTACACATCGTCCGGTTTTTTGGAGTGGTAATTGGGTCTACATAATTTCAAGCACAAAAACTTGAATTTGATGCATCACCACGGCAAGCATAAACATTATGAAGCTCATGAGAATAAAAATCGAATAAAGCTTAAGCTTCCAATAAGGCCTCAATCTGTAACATCAACCCTTCAACCCTTTACAAATTCTTTATCCCTTTTGAAGTTTTAACACACACGTTGCACTAAAAGCTATGTTAGTCTGTTCTATGTTGCATTATAACCATAACCAAAGCCTTTGGTTATGCGATATGTCAAAATAAGACGTTTCAACTTTTAAGCTTTCAGCCATGGTCATCTCCAGCTTTCACTGTTGCCAAAAGGGTCCTACTTACCTAGCACATAGTTTTATTTTAGCCCAGTCCATCTTCTCCTAGCTTTGACTGCTTTATTAATTTATTTAATAATTAAGTATGAGGAACTTTCTTCTTTATACTTCTATTTTCTATTTTAGTTTATTTCGTTCTCATAATTTTGCGTTGTTTGATAATAAGAACCGTCTGTCTTCTAAATTCCTTTAAAAATCATTTATAAAAAAATAAAAAAAACAACCAAATTTGAAAATTGTTTAGTTATCTAACTCTTCAAATAGGTAAATGGACTATGTATTTTGGTAGATATTGAATCATAGCATTGTTAATCAAATAGCTAAACGATGCTTTAGTTGATCTTTTACGCATAAATTTATAAATGATGATGTTGAAATGAACGATCTCAATTATCATACAATATTACGCATAAAGAATAAAAAAGAATAATGTAGAGAGAGAGAGAAAGTATATAAAATATTCACTTTTACACATAATTTGTAAATGATGATCTCGAAATGAACGATCTCAATTATCATACAGCATTACGCATAAAGAATAAGAATAATAAGGCAAAAAGACGTGATTTGTAAATGAATGATCTCGAAATGAACGATCTCAATTACTATACAGCATTATGCATAAAGAATAAGAATAATAAGGCAGAGAGAGAAAAAGTACAGAAAATATTCTTCATCAAAATATGAAAAAAGAACAACAAATTCGATTTCAATGAAAATATGGTCTCTCAATTAATTCCCCAAAGAAAGAAAACAAAAATGGGACCTATCTTTGAAAGGGTCCTACTTGTACAGTCTTAAAACAATATCAGTTGGTAGCTGTCACCGATCAATGATGCTTAAAAGGTTGAATTTATGGGTGCAAAGCCCATTTTTATTACACTGAAAATAACTAAACACTAGTAAATTTTTTATTTAGGTAGACTTTAAACTTTCTTTTTTTATTTCTTTCTTTTTAATTTTTTTTTTTTTTTTTTTTTTTTTTTTTTTTTTTTTGTGTTTGTTCTTGGGTTCTCTTCGAGTCGAATGGTATATATAAACTTTGCTTTATTTTTTAAAAATAAAAGGCAAAAAATACATGTTCCACGTGGGTTCTAATCAGTGATCACTCCACTTGTAAAGGATCTTGCTACAGTCAAGGCTCAGTGTGGTAGGCTAATATTTATTCCATTTTTATAATCATTTTTTTTTCATAATCAGTTTTTATGTCCCTTAAGCTTGATTAGAAGAAACAAAAAGAAGATTGTTATGATTATAATTAATATATGAGCATGCAGGAAGAAGGGTTTTCTTTTTATTTAATTAAACAACAACCAATAATTGACCACAATCTGTTGTTTTTCTTTGTGATTTTATTACAGAGTGAAAATGAATACCAACTAATCATACCATGAAAGACCACCAACCAACTTGGTGTGTCTATATTGAATCCTCCTGCAACTACCAAACTCAATCTCAAATATTTTATATTTCTGAATTAATGCCAAAGCAAGTTGAGGTCTACATTCATATAACAGAAGCTTTGTTTATTTATTTATTTTTGCTTTCAAGAATTTGGGACAATTGCATGCATTCTTTTATGTATTTGTGAATGAGATGTATCGGAAGCTAATTTTGAAGTGCATAATAATTTTTCGAAGAGAAAACATTTCGTTTGAGTAAAGTTCAACCTAATATTAACTAGTTCTTAGTTTAGTAGTATTTCTCTTTGATATTAGAAGAAGTCGTCAGTTCCAAAAAGTTCCAACCGCCAAACCCATGTCATTACAGTCAAAACTTAGAGCAAGATTGAGAAATTGTTGTATATGTAATAATTTTTGTAAATTCGATATCGTATTATCATGTCACAGTATATCAGATACACCTAATAATTATTCGTTCATGTAGCTCAAAAGCCATAACTTCAACCACAGTTTGAATGGTATGTATCTGTGGTAAGGGTTGAGTAAGAGTAGTTAGATTGGAAAAAATCATGACATGATTTTGGAAGAATGCCAAATCAGGAACCAGGATGAATCCATAGGGCAACCAATTTTATCCCCAATCTGAAAATCAGTTTTTTCTACTAATGCTCTAGGTTTGCTCCTATGTCATTATCATATCTCAGTGATTAATCCATTTCAGCAACTCAATTATCACTTTCTTGGTTACTTAATTGCACAATAATACTTTCATTTTTATCATATCTTGTTCATTAATAGCTCTGAAAGTCCTTCATATCCCAAAAGGAAAGCAGAACAAACAACATAACATAACCTAAACAGCTAGGTTGTTGCTTTCCTTATAACACAAGTTCAAATTATTATAAGTCAAATTCTTTTTGCATGCCTTTTATGCCTATTTTCTACTCAGCCTAGTTTTAGACTGATTCGCAAGGCGACACGTGGCGATCCCAAAAGGGCACGAGAATTTTGCTTGGTTACACCGCAAGCAAAACATCATGCTGAAATTTGATTCACAAGCAATGTCACAGAAGAAAGGGCAACCAAAGCATAAAAAAAATAATAATTAAAAAAATGAATATGTAGTGCTAATTACAGTTTTGATAACAAATCAAGAGGGTGGAAGATCCTTTTTGTTGAATCAAAAGAAATCCTGCAAACCAATCGCTCCCTCTGTTTATACATTCATTCATTCATTATAATATAAATGCAGAGACTCGTGATCCTAACACTGCACATATATGATTTAAACAAAACTCTGTTTACCCAAAAACAAACGTGTTTGAAACAAATTACAATGAACGTAGAGAAGGGAACTGTATTTACCATTATCAGTAACTGTTTACAGTGAAAATAATTTTTTTTCCTCTTTTTTTTTCTTTTCTTTTTTTTGGTTTCATTGGGGGAGAGAGAGAGACCATTTTCTTCATTGACAAGTAGAGAAGTGAGAATCATGTCCAAAAGCTCCAAGCATTCTACAAGCTACTTCCACCAACTTTCCTGTTAAGCACAATTAGATGAATGAGAAAAAGCAATTAGTCAACTGCAGAACAAGCCATCTGTCTATACATCACATGCACATAAAATAATATAAAAAAAGGAACAACTTGGGCAAGCATAAAATTTCAATAAAAAAATAATATAAAAAACAAAATTTTATTTTATTTTTAAAAGAAAAGAATAATGAAGGTCAGCTAGTGAGGAGGCCAGCTGACTTTTAAATTAGGGGCATGGAATTAATTAGGGACAGGCTGTGTTTGGTGGCATCAAATTTGTGGTGGGTCATATAACATAAAGGTCACAGCTGGGCAAAGCCAGGCTTGATTGCTTGGCATCTCAGAGTGGTGTCACATGGATTAAGACCCATTACATTTTTCATATGATTTGGAATCACACTACCTATGGTGTGTGAGGGGCGCTGGGACCCTCTTTACTTTCTCCCGATAACAAAATCCGTGACATCAATTTCTCTTTGCACCGACACTTTGCAGCCTAAAACTATTCCCAACCTTCCCCTCCTCCTAAATACAACCCCAGGAAAATATTAATATGCTCTTATGCCGAACTTAGAACTTCAGATGCACGGGTAAATATTCTCGGTCATGACTCATTTCTAACTCTAACAAATACTGTATTTCTTGTCGTCTATACGTATTTATATTATATATAGGTGACTAATAACCGCTGATTGATGTAAGTCTCACGATAATCGACTGTTCAAAATTCTCAATGCTAGAAACTTAGGGTAGTTGTCTCTCTTTCTAGGATATGCCTATGCCTACAGCTTAGTGACAACTCATATAAACCCCAATAAATCAATCAATGATCACATCATCATCCTAATCATTTGTGACAGTGGGCATAAAGTTCCCATTTTTCTAATGCCCTAATCAATCCCAGCCCATTTGTGAACTTAACCCACTCCAGAACTGAACCCACTCCACCATGAACATCAATCCTAATCTAACCTAAAAATAAATGCATTTTCACCAGCCTAATTAACCCATTTACCTGTCGGTCCAAATTTTAGCATCTCAGAACATGCATTCATGAGTTTTCAGACATTTACAAACCTAATTACTCAATCAATCAATATCAGCAAACAGATAACAAACACCAATTCAATCAATTACCCCAAAAAAAAAACATCACAAAAAACTCTCCTGGATTATGGGAGGTCCACTAAAAGCTTCGAAAACCAGAATATCAACAATGGAGGATGGGAGTGTGATCTAACTTAGGGTTCTTAACTGCTATATAGGGAGGGGAAAAGGGCAGAGGGTTAAGAAAATAACTGAAAAAGAGTAAATTTCCCCGAACACATGACCTCGAGTGCAGGGTTAAGCCCTTGAAATAACTTGTAGCATTTAGCATAACATAATTGAACCATTTTTACAATGCCCAATTTGTAAACGGACACTCAAAATTCAACCCACTCAGGTCTCCACCACGAACATCAATCAACAGTTAAATCACTCAAAATTAGTCAGCACATGAAATAAAAAACATCAAATTCAAGCAATTAGTCAAAAAGAAGAACAAAATAGTAATGCAGAGAAAGATAAATAAAATAAAATAAAAATAAATGAACATACCTCTCCTGGGCTTAGCAGCAACCTTAACAACAGGGGCCGTTTTCTTCTCGGCCTTGGCCTCCTCCTCCTCAAACGGAAACAGAACCCCATCAATCCCCTGCACCGAAATCCTCCCGTCCGTATAAATATCGGGGTCAAACAAGTACGCCGAAACATCGCCCTGGCCGAATTTCACCGACCCATCGGCCTCCTGCGCCACCACTTTATGCGGCAGCCTCAGCGTATCGTACCGGACCTTCCCGAATCTTCTCACTGAGTTGTACATGCTCTCCTCCGTCTGATACTCGGGTATGATGTGGTAGTACACAATCTGCTCCGGCGCCCCCGGTTCGCTCAACTGGTCGGTCGTCAGCTTGGCCATGGCCTCGTCGTTCGGAGCAAGCACCGTCAACACGTAGCCCTCCGAAACTAATCGGCCCATCTCGGTCGCTAGAGAAGTCAAATTGACCAGAATATCGGCCATCTCGTTGTACCCGCCGTAGTGCAGCAGAGTGTGGATGAAGTCCTTCACCTGGCTCTCGCCGTCGAAGTGGTGGTGGGGACCCCCGGGACCCGGAGCCGGAGCTGGAGCTAGAGACGGGCCGGGAGCTAGAGCGTCGTAAACGGGTAGAACTGGCGGAGCCCCGGCTGGAACCGGAGCTGCTGGTTTTTTCAGACGGTGGGTTCTCGGGTCGACCTCGGGTGCTCCCTCCGGTAGAATGGCGGATATGGTGCGGAGATTCCGCCTCCGGTTGAAGTCGTCCTCGACGGAGCGCGGGATCAGGAGGCGCTCGATGCCGTGGATGACGCCATCGGGTCGGGTAACATCGTCGGGTCGGATGATCTGGGCGGAATTGACCGATTTGCGGCTGTCGTTTTTGTGGGTGGCCAGGTGGAGGCGCTCGTGGCTGCTGCAGAGGGTCTGGTGGTGACGACCCGACCCGGGATGAGGCCACTGGGTGGAACCGATGCGGTTGGGGATAATGTGGAACATGAGGAGGGTTTGGAGGGACTTGAGGTTGCCGGGTTCGAGCAGGAAGCGCTTGAATTCGGGGTCCAGCTGGCGCTCGAGAGCCTCATTTTTCGGGGCGAAGATGGTGATGTTGTGGTTGCCCACGGCCTCCTCGAGGGTCTGGAGTAGGAGGGCCTTCTCGACGAGCTCAGCGAGCTCAGTGTAATGCGAGTCGAGGAGCGCGACGAGGACGGAATTGGAGTTGATCTGCGCTGTCGTTGTGGCTGCCGCCGCTTTCGTAGAGGACGACGATGTTGTTGGAGAGTGAGATTTGGGTTGTGGGTTGTTGGGCAATGCGGCGAGCGTGGAAGTAGAGAGAGAAGCAATGGCGAAGACGATTAGGAAGAAGATGGAGCGACCATAGATCTGAGAATCCATGGTGCTCAGTTCAGCTTTGGGCTGCGTTTTTACTTGTTTTCCGGCGAAGTGGGGTTTTGAGGTCGTGGAAGCAAATGAAGAGAGGAAGAATGCGGAGACACAAGAAGAAGAAGAAGAAGAAGAGAGGGTTGGGAGAGAGTTGTGTGGGATTAAAGGCTTAGAAAAAGGTGAGCGAGAGACGAGTTAATTTTGCGACAGGCTGGAGGTGGGGACCACACGGCGACTTCCTCTCTATCTCTCTCTACTCGCCACCTGCATACAGAGAGAGTAGTAGGCTTAAGCTTAGGGTTAGGCTTGGCTTCAGATACTTCTTCTTCTTCTTCTGTGAAACTGAGCCCGAAGCTGAAGCCGCGCCATTTTTATTACGTTACAGAAAATGTTCTTTTCATCTTTTCTTTTTTTTGTTTTGTTTTTGTTGTCTTTTGATGCAATTAATGTTATTTTATAGAAAATGTTGGGGAAGAAAGATGTAGGGTAGCTGTCAAAATAGTGGAGCCATTTGGCGGGCTATTGTTTTTTTCTTTGGGATTTTAGTTTTCACTGTGTCGGTTGATGCATTATAGCTAGGCCCTATTTGCTTGCGTGGCAACTTTAAGAAAGAAACTCTTTTGTTGTTCATATATCTTTTAATCACGTTGCATTGCACAGTTGCATTCAACTTCAAATTTTCATGTTTAGGTTTTTCTTTTCTTCTTACTCATTTTCTAATAAAACAACATTGTCTAATCATTTTACCCTTGAGAAAAAAAAATTTAAAAAAAAATTTAAATACAAGAACAAAAACATCTTCTTCTTTTTTTTCTTTGTATGATATGATACGGAGATTAATCATCGTTGTATGTGGCTAAGTAGCATCAAAACCTCGTGTTGAAAATTTGTCCGAAGCTCAGTGAAAATGCCAACCAATTTAGGAGTCATTCACAACTTAAATGTTTATATATTAGTTATTGTACCTGACTTACAATCTAATAAATGTATACCCTACATTTATTTGCTTAATTTAAATAAAGGTTTTCCTCATATCATGAAGTTTTTCTCCACACAAAAAACTATATTCATTAATTTCTTGTTATGCGACGATATTCTGGTATTATACAATAATTTCTCGTCTCTCTCATTTTTAATGTTTTGGGTAAGGGTTGTTTGAGGGGTAATTAAAGACTGTTTTAATTGAAATGCTGAATTAGTTTATTTTGTATTTCTTTGTTTAATCCAGAAAGAGTTGGTACCGTACAAGTTGGGAGTCAAGTGCATGTGAGTTGGTGCAAAAGGTGAAGCCGAAGGGGCAGCTGTTTTAGCTTAAAAGGCTCAAAAGGCTCAAAAGGCTTCATGGCAAGCTGTCGGTGTCTTTTTTTTTTTTTTTCTTCCCTACGAACAAAGAACAAAATCACATACAATGCCCTCAGTTCTACGCTAAGCTACAAAAACCCAACCTCCTTACGTCACCCCTAAAGCGCGAATGCAACGCGTGAGCTCACTTTCCCTCCTTATTAAATTCCCGGACGGCGACGTTTTGTCCACTGGCAGATTGCTTGTCAGCCTCAGCTCTCCAAAAATTCCAGAGTCCACATAAACCCAATACAGCACAACACACATTAGCATAAAGTATCTATTTAGGGTTTCTCATTTTTCGGTGTGCTCAAATTATTTGGAATTTAATTTTTAACTACTTCTTGTGACAATCTCTCGTGAACTTTAGAAACCACATTGGTAAAAAAGTAAAAACAAAAAGATTTTTATTATTTTGGTATAAATAATGTGAAAGGTGGTTAGGTTAAATGGCCTTCCGACAATATTATGTTGTATATATTTGACAAGTGTATATGATGTTATTTTAATAATCAATCACGTGATCAGCAAATACGAACAACTGTGATAGGAACTTTCATTTTGTCAAAAGTTCTTATTGAAGGAAAGATGAAGAAATTAATCGGTAAATTGTAGTAATTTCGAATTAGACATACGAAATTAATAGCTACGATGGAATTTTGCAAATTATGAAGAGACAAGACAAATGGAATTAGAAAAGAACCTTCAACCTTTTTGAAGCATGAAAGTGATCGAACAAGCTTACTATTTGGTTAATTATTGAATGTATGCCCGACTTTTTCCTGCTTTTCTAGAACATCACTCTTTATATTTACCAATTATTGTTCAACACACAGTTGGAAAACGATACACCAACTTTTGATGTGTTTTTTTTATATAATTAATTTAGTATTTTGGAGATGAAGTAAAATAAAAATATTTACGAGGCTTAAAGATTTAGCAAAAAGAAGGGGACAGTGGAGTTGTCATTAGGGTTATATCCCTCCTCTTTACTTTAGGAATAAGTTTTCATCTAAATTTCCATGTGAAAAAGTGACCATTGTGCCTTTTTAATGATAACGAAAACTGAGAAATGAAGAATGAAAATGAAATTTCTTGGTCCGAATAATCGTTTTAATAAGAAAATGAAGAACACAGTGTGTGATTTCCATTTGACATTGTCTGAGTATGGTGTAGGAATGGGACATTGAAACTGTTTTATAGTGTTGTTTTTGGTGAATTAAGTAATTAGTCCAATGGGTCAAATTGCATCAGTTTACCACATTTGGGTACCCCGAAAAAAATAAACCAACAGATTTCATGGCTTCCATTCCAGATTGGAATTAGTTCAGTCGCTTGCGGGCACATGAGCAACCTCAAAGCATCATCGATCAAGAATCACTCATACTCGCATGGACGACTAACCACATCACTACTCTTAGTCTCAGCTTTCAGATGTTTTCTGCGCATAACATGTTTTGATATTTTCTTCACGCACCTAAGATCTTGTGTTCAAACCTCCCCTCCTCATTATCACTTGTATAAAGCTCCGTTGTGCTTATTATCTCTTCATGAAATGAAATATTTCACTAAAAAGAAACATATGGCATTTCCAAAGGGAAACTAGGACACACTGAAGCAAAGCCAAAAAGCCCTTTTGTTCCATATTTGAGAATTCAAATTTAAATCTCTTTAGAGGAGAGATGTGCTATCATCTGGGATATGTTGTATAGCTCAAGACCACTCAAAGCTTCTTAAAGCCCAGGACAGGGAGGTTAGGAACTAATGTGAGACATGAGTACGAAAATCTAATGCTGAAATTTACACCTTTTTTTTTTGTTGGTCGGAGAAATTTACAGATGCATCTTCAGTGAAATGGTCTCTTACCAGACTTATGCTGCTAAACGATAAATCTAAACCATTGATCAAGTTGAGTAGTTGCCAGATTCACAATTTAACATGAGAACATGACTCCAGTTCAATAGAACATAAAAAGCATTTTCATACCTTACCAAAGGGTTGTGTAGATTTTAATTTTATTTAGAGAGGGAGAGCAAAATATCTCAGATAATTTTTTGTTCAGTTTATCCTAAATGTTCAATGGCGAATAGCTGGTCCTGATACGAGTGTGAACTGAAATTTCAGTGCCCGATTGATATCCACCGGGAAGTATACTCAGAAAGGCTTCCATAACATTTCTCCTCAGTATATCCATAATAAATCAATGCCATTACAAGAGCATCCAGACATGTTAAAGGTTACATATAAACATATTCACATAAATATACCCATTTATAAATGTCTGTCCAGATGGAAGCTCTTCTGTCAAGACCTCTTCTTTATTTTAATTCAGACCACAATCACGATAATTTCACATACCCGAATACTTAAAACTCCGGCCTGAAGCGCAAAGCATCCCATCCTCAGCATGCCATGTCCTGTGAAATGGCTAACGTGGATCAACCTGAAAAGGTGAAAAAGTACATCAAGCAAAAAGATTCGAAATTTCAAACACTAAATACCACTTCATCGATTTAAGGTCCCATGAAAAGTTGATGGAGTGGTTTACTTTGATACCAGAATAATAACAATTGAAATCAACATCACTACTCACCTTAAATTATGAAATGCTGACGACAGATGCATTGCTGAAACAATTAATAACAGATCAATTTGAAGCAGAACCTGCGGGACAAGTAGTACCAGGCCTATTGTTGTCACTCAAACGGTTTTCTCCATGAATCTCTAAACTGTTTGGGTTGTTGCTCTGATCTGCAGCAGAACCATCTGCCGTATGATTTGCTACAGAAGCCTCGGGGGCTCTACCATTATCTTTGGTCTCAAGGCGTTCCATCATACGTGATACAGTGGCGATTCCAGCATTGACCTCTCTACGAACTTCAGAACTGAGTTCTGACATAGAAGTGCTACGTGAGAACAGCCTCTCCTTCCATCCTCTTGTACTCCTTGAAAACGACTCCTTGTACCTTTACAGCAATTGAAAATGGTAAAAGAGCAAATCTATAGGTATGCACAGATGCACACTGATTAAGCTAGTCAGATGATGGCCAAAATAGAAGAGTGGTTACATCATGTATCATACCTCATTGACATGGAATTAAACTTAGATTTCAGAGACTCTGAAATGGACTGAAGGTCTGATGGTCCTGCTCGGTCCTGATTCAATGGAGAGGATTGACTAGTAGAGTTCCTACAAAAAGATACTAAATAGTCATAAAAATACCTAGCACACCAGTGCATACCACAAAACTGATCTGCACAATCACCCAAATGCAACATAAGAAAATGATTACTACCAGTGACTGGAGGAAAGTCCTTGACGATTTCTGTGCATGCGTACAGACCCAGATGCTGAGGGCGAAATTCCATCAGTCTGAACAGAAGGAAAATGTGCACTCCTTCGTGATGATTCATCCCCATCAGATGTAAGTGGGGTAGACGGACTTGCTACAGTTATTTCGGCAGGTTCACTGTCCCCTCCTGGGGCAGAAACAGGACCAAGAGGAGATGCACTAGGATGAGTAGAAAACACCGAGAAGTGTGGATGACCACGAGCAGATGACCGGCTCCTCTGGCCTTCCCTTCTACCATTGTGGTGGGCCCTTCCCATGGAAGCAGCAGCTGCCAAGTGCTGGATTATACGCTCTTCAAGTTCAGCATTGTTAGTACCCCCAGGTAACTGCATTGCATTGCATAAACACATTAAATAACATGATTGCAAAATCTTTAAATTAATAGTTTTAATTTCTTCAATGCCTTTTCTTTTTTTCTTTTTTTTTGGAGAGTCAACATTTGATCAAGGCCTTGCAATGTTTTAAAGAACCCAAGAACTATTCCCAGAAAAGAAAAAAAGAAAAAAGAAAAAAAGGAGATGAAAGATAGATATTAGACATGCTGAAATTCAAAATCGCCAAGGGTGGGATGATGAAATATAGTTGCATTTCTTGATGTATTCCTAAAGCTCCTCTCCCGTTCAACTGCCTCAAGTAACTCTTGACTGCCAATATATGCATCAGAGTTAACTCCAGGTAAATAATTACGACACATGTAAAATTAAATAACAGCAAAACGAACCTGCAAGAATCCTTCAAGCTAATGGCCTGCCAACACATGGGGCACTGAGAGCTTCTCTGGCACCTATATGTATATGTATAACCTTGTTTAGATTTTTAGAGCATTGTACCTTTTCCCAAATAATATTATAAAGTGAACATAACTGTGCAGATAATTTACTCCAAATTTAAAAAGTTATTGATGAACTAAGGATTCCTCGTAAACGCATGTGGAGAAAGTGTGTCAACATGTGTGTTTGGGGAGATGGAGAGATAGAGTACTGAAAAACTAAAAGATTGAAACACAGATGTTCTCATAAAACCAAGAAAGAGTATGTAAAGTGAACGGAAAAAAAAAAACAATTAAGTGGATCTCTCATAAGCAGATGAAATCCAAAATAATATCTTCAAGAAGTCCTAGTTTAAATTTATCAGCTAAGTCACTGGACCCCTTTAATAAAGAGTGGCACAATTGCCAGTGCCACCCATTAATCAAATTGTGGTACAAGCCCTAAAAACAAATTTTATTGCTTGGTGGACAACTCTAGCCTCCTATGGAGGTCAGCAACATACTAGCTTAAATAAGTGTAAATCAAAGATTAATTACAACTCAATGAAATTAAAATGATAATTGATTTTTATTATAAATATAATTACTTAACAGAAAAATAAAGAATGATTAAATATTTTGAAATTTAGTATGGTAATACCATTCAAGGATGCAGTGGAGGTGAAACTCATGCTTGCAAGTAGTCACCTGCAAGGCAAGGCACAAAATGGAGTTGAAGGTACATCTGTATAATAAGATAAACACATTAAGAAAATGTGTAAGATTCTCAGGCATGAGCAGGAAAAAAAGAAGGGGAATGTATCTTCTGATATGTTACCACTGAAGGATCACTTTCACAAAACTCCTCAAGGCATATGCTGCAGGCCTCAGCACAAGCCTCTTGTATTCCCCCTTCCACAAATGCTGCAGCTGATATCATATGACTTTCACTCTTCTTTGCCTCCATATGTGGAACCTTTTGACACACAAAATACAAAATCAATATTGACCAGTAGAGTACCGGGTTCATGAAAAGCAGCATAATTAAACCCCAAACACAGTAAGCACCCATTCTCAAAGTGTTGACCAATCTCAGTCCTAAACTGATGAGAAGTAAAATAAGTACTGAAAACGAAAACGAAAAATATATAAGATTCAGTTCGATTATGAACAAAAAATCTGAGTCCAATCATTATTTTTTGTTTCTTTGGGCTTCAAGAAGAGTTGAGTCGACAAAATGAATTTAAATCTAAACTTTTCCTTTATTTTCTCAGTAACCAAACAAAAAATAAACCATGTTTCAATAACCAAACTTTCCTGAACAATAAATAAACCATATACAAGAAGTACAACCATGACTAAGACACCAGCACCGTGTTCTCCAGTGGAAGGCCGCTGACAACGAAAGATCCAAGTGCGATCAGCACTGTGACTTACGTGGAGAGAGAGAGAGAGAGAGAGAGAGAGAGAGAGACACACACACACACACACACACACACACACACAAATGAGAAAGAGAAGCACAGGAGAGAGAACGTGGACAGATGAGGAGAGGGAGAGGTACAAAAGAGAGAGGCTGAGAGAAATGTTCAAAATGAAAAAACAGACCCTACCATTGGAATGCGGCCAGTTCTATTCCAAGAGTATAGAACTGGTGCAGAAACCAATCAGAATTAGTTGACTTTTTTAGTCAACAGAGTTTTTTTAAATTTTATTTTGACTAGGTTTATCGGTTCTTTGGTTCCAGTGCCCACCCCTAACTAACAGACATACAGCCGAACGCTAAGAGCATCTCCAAGGGAAGAGGCAAATGAAATAGGCAAAATTGTACTATAACAACCTAGGTGGCATGTTGCCTACCCATTTGCCTCATGAAAAAAGTTGGTCACTCAAAGGGACTAGGCAATGCAAGTCTACAAACCATTATTATATTATTTATTTTTATCTTTACATTTTTTATTATATTTTATAGAAAATAGGTGAGAGAGTGGAGATGGTATTTTATTATAAAAAGCAGTTGGGCCCAATATACCTCTTCACTTTGGAGTAGGCAATATTGCCTTGTTGGGGGAGAGTAGGTATATTTTGTCTACCCATTTGCCTCTTCCCTTGGCGCATGAAAATGCTGATGTGGCAAGGCAAATGAGGTTTGCCTACTCTTTTGCCTCTTCCCTTGGATATGCTCTAAGCTAACAAATTCTCATGAATAGCCAAAATTATAAACCCCAGCTCAGTGAACCTTAACCAACTATCTGAAGCTGGTGACACGATCTCTCAAGGCTTACACTGTGTAGCTCTATATCGAACCACATCCACCGTTAATTTTTTAGGTATCATTTCCTAGCTTACCACTACAACCACCTCCTTTCTAGCCTTCCACTAGTTCTTTTTCCTATATGTTGAAAACAACACATTCAAGAGATAAATCTAAAAAAGTAACATTTCTTAAAATGATAAATTATATTCTCTTAAACGTTGAGATTGGAGAAGCTCACAAACTGTATTATCAACATCACAAATCAAAATCACTTATTTTCTTACTTCCCTTTTTTTTTCTCTTTGATAGAAAAGTGATTTTTTTTTCTCAAAGAAATTGAACCGATAGGTGAAGGTTCATATATATTTCAGAAACCTTCAAATGTTTCATGTAGGGTGCAGAATTCAAACAGCTAAACTATATCTTTTACAGCTGTATCAGAGATTAACAACAGCTCTGGAAGGTCTTTCACCAAAGTAACTCCAAAAGAGTGGAAAAACATTACAAATTGCCAGTAGATATTTCACAAATTAAACAAACTCTAACACATCCACGAGGTAGTTTAGTAGGTAAATTAAAGCAAGCTTTTAGCTTTGTGCTCACCAGCAGAAAAACTTCCTATGGCAATTACCATTATTTCTAACTCGGAACCAATTTCATATTAAAACTCCTTCACACAGTATAACACTTTAAGTCAAGTACATAAATATCATCATTCAGATTTTGCATATTCTTACATAACCCGGGTGAAAAAGAAAAAAAAAATCTGAACACTGAAATCAAAGCAACAACGTACTTGAAAAACATCAAATTTCAATCCTACATGAAAACAAAATCAAAACTTTAATAAAATTCCAAATGAAAAAATATTGATGGGTTTACCTCCATTTAAGGGGATTGGAGATGGGTGGTCAAGAAATTCAGAGAAGAACGACCATGAAATTCAGAGAAGCATCGTGTTCTCCGGTGGAAGGCCAAATTTCGTGTTCTCTAGTGGAAGGCCGCGGACAACGAAAGACCCAAGAGCCACCAGCACCGTGTCTAGCGTGGGGAGAGAGAGAGAGACAGACAGACAGGGACAGATAGGACGGAGGGAGGAGAGAGAGACACAGATGAGAAGACGGAGAGGTAGAGGAGAGAGAGCGTGGACGGTACAGGAGAGAGATGCTGGGGACAACCAACCCTAGCGTTGGAAGGAAATCGTAACTGGTTTTTGTTGGGTGCGGCCGGTTCTATTCCAAGAATAGAATAGGTGCAGCAACCAATCGGTTCGGTCCAGTTCAGTTTTCGAACCTCAGTTAACTTTTGTACACAATACAGTTTTTTTTTAACTCGGTTCGACTCAGATTACAGGTTATTCTTTGTAGCATCCGTAATGATTGTTGAACAGTTCAATGCAATAAAAAAAATACAATAATCTGCCGTTCAATTCAATAGATATCAAAAAATATTAATTTATTGAACTATTGCATTGAACTATTGAACAACAATTGTGGATACTCTTAACAAGATAATACATTAATTGCTGTATTTTTTCTATTTTTTATTTGCATGTGGGTCTTATAGCACTTTCTATTGCAGTTGCATCTATTGCAATGAACTAAATCACACCATTGCAAGTGAGATTTTACCATTTTAGTTCAATTTCATGCAATATTACATTAATTCTAAGCATTGCGGATGCTCTTAACAGACTTGCAGCCGAAGGCTAAGGCTAACAAATTCACATGAATAACATGTGAAAATTTTGGAAAATCATTACTTCTAACTCAGAACCAATTTCATATCAAAACTCCTTCACACAGCATAACATCTTACATCAAGTGCATAAATATCATCATTCATATTCATCCATCCATTATATCCATTCGTCCATTTGCATATTCTTACATAACCCATATGAACAAATGATCTTAAATAATCAAATCAAAGCCAAAACACAAATGAAAACAATCAAATTTCAATGCCACAAAGAAAATAATGAAAACTTTAATCAAATTCCAAATAAAAGATTGATGGGTTTACCTCCATTGAGGGGATTAGAGATGGTAGCCCAGAAATTCAGAGAAGAACGGCCATGAAATGCAGCAGATCGAGCTCTGAATTTCCCAACCAAAGAACCCCGCTAGAGATTCACAGCAGCCTAGAATTCAGTGGTGCACAAAGATTAATGGTCAAAAAAGAGAAGAGAAAATGAGGAGGAAGATGAATAATTGAATTAATGGTGCACAAATAATACATGTCCACCTCCTCCTTTACCTTAATTATGGGTGTGTCTTGTTTTTGGCCTCTCCTGGTTTTTGTCTGGAGCAAATTCTGGTTTAAATTGCTGTGTTTTCACAAAAAACACACCAATTTCATTAAATTACGGAAAGTGTTTTAACATTTTCAAATGAATATATAATAACGTTACAGGCATCAACTTGTTTACCAATTTATTGATACCAATACATCTGGCAAATAACATTGCCACTACGTTTCAATAACATATTCATTTCACCTCATTATATGCTAAAAATAATAAGATTATGCAACTAATTTTTCTATATAAAAATATAACCCATTTGTGTGGCTTCCCACTTTCGGGTTTTTTGCTTTATTTGTTTTTGTCTTTTGTTGTGCATTGGGAAACAGAGCATACCCACAACCACAACATCACAGAACAGAACAGAACACACAGGGGTGGCCTCAAGAGTCAACAGTCTCGTCTCATCCTTTGATTCACTTCACACCCTTTGGATCTTATCTTTATAGGTCTTTTACAATCAAACAACACAACGCATCAAACTGTCGAATATAGAAGATAACTTTTCTTATAAGTAACCGTTGGGATGCACACTCTAACTTATTTCTGAAACTAGAATATTCTAGAGGGATGAGTTGGTTAGCTATAGGTTGCTTTAAGGCAAACTAGGCATAATGGCAAGAAATAGTTGGAGAAGAGTGTGAACCACTCCTTAGGAAAAGTTGCAACAAAATGCTAAGCCACATCTTCAAAAAGTCTTCAAAAAGTCACACTGTCCTGGATCATACCTTAATTAGTTATTGAAGTAATAACCTGGCTTAATCGTATAATTAGACACTTAATTACTATATGAAGTGTTTTGCTCATCAACTATTTTGTTAGAAAAAAAGTTTTACTAGGACGTCCTGAGTTTGATTATCCTCTCCTTTCAATATCGCTTGTATAAATGTTTTCTTTAAAGCATCTTCACTAGAAAACACTAAAACGTTTTTTCTAATCCTAAAAACTGCTTTCACCTATTCAACCGAACTTTATGGAAAATCATACTTTCAATTATGAGAAATCCCTTTTAGCATGCCAAGTTTATCCCATTATATGGTCATTGATAGACTAGTGGGGTTCTCTTAGAGGATTTGGTTCCCTTGATTGTATAGTACATCGCTTTTCTATTATTGATAACAAATTGTAACTAACATCATGATAGTCCTGTTTCTTCTAAATTTTTACTTTGCTAACTAATAATAGGTAGAGGTTACAAGAGGAGTAGTATCTCCCCCCTAAGTTTTGTCCTTATGTTAGTAAAATTTTCTTATATGTAAAAAGAAGAGAAATATATCCAGATCGTAACAGAGTCACGTATTTTTTTTGGTAGAAATAATGAACATGTCATTATCAAACAGAGATTACAAAACGCCCAATACAAAGTCATAAAAAGAAAAACAAGGGCTAAAAAAATAAAAGCCTAACTCCAAGTACAAAATACAAGCCCAAAACAACAAACAACCCAAAAAATACATAAAGCCTAGAATCATATTCTACAAACAATAAGTCGCTAGTGTCGCCATAGAAGAAGGTCTAGAGGAACTAACAAATGGGATTTGCATTATGTAGGGCATGGGTTTGGGTGAGCAAGTCACCAATAGTCATCTTACTCAAGCGATCAAATTGGGGTCAAAAGTGACCCGTAAGTTACAGAGCCCAGAGTTCCATAGCAAAAGCTCATATATGAGGATGGGTTGTAGGGGAGAAGCATTTGCATTAAGTCATTAGACGACCAAGAAAATCATAGGAAAAGAGAAGGATTTTAGGGTTTCAGATCTCATGGGAGGGGTAGAGGAAAGAACTAATGTGTGGGTGAGGAGGGGAGAGGATAAGAAGAAGGATGTGAGAGAGGTGTGATGGTTGAAGTGAAGTGGGAGAAGAGATGCAGATGGAATAAGGAAGGATATACGAAGCAAAATTTGGAAAAGCAAACCACCATGAACAAACAAGAACAACAAAATATAACTCTCACAAGGAGAAATGAAACTCTCACATAGGAGAGAGATACTTACTTTTAACATAATCACATATTTTTATCGATCTATTATATTATAACACATATATATCTTTTTAATACTGTACTCGACATCTACTCATATTTTAACATACATATCAGCAACATACATAACAATACTGTTTACAACATAGTCATCTTACAATAATTTCTCCACAAATATATGCCAAAAGATCATTAGGGTTTGGCCTATTTTGATTATCTAGAAGAGTCTTTGTTATTGTTCAATCAAATTTCTTGGGTTGCCTTTGTGGCTGCAAGGAGAGACAAGTACTAGTCTGTAGAGTCACTTAAAAGTGGGCAGCATAAGTGTACTTGGAAAAGATGTTGCTCAAAAAATAGAAAGCTGCACATGAGGGTGCTTTTTTTAGCTGACCAAACCCATCAGTTTTCTTCATTGTAATTATGGTAAAGATGATACAAAACTCCAACAACATCATGGATAAGCATATATCCATTATTTTCCTCATACCAACCAACCATCAAATATACATTTGGCCATCATGTTCTAGATAATTAGAGGACTTTTTTTTTTGGGGAGATTTCTTTTTGTTTTTTTATATGCCTTTGTGAACGGAACTTGATTACCTTTTAAGGCTATGTCTGTATTTAAGATCTAAACAAAAGAATTCGTGTTAGTAATATGCCTACTAATTATGTAATAGTTAGAGTTAATGACATTTTTGATAGCTGACATATTATGTAATCAATATGTAGAACAACCATAGTCTAGGGAATACACAAGTGGATATGAGGGCTATGTAATGAGATTGCATACATGGAGACTTCTCATCATCCCTAAATCTTGAATATGTTCCTGTTCATAGAAATATTGATTGGGCATCAATATTCCGCAAATACCAGTATACACAATGTCATCTCTATATGCAGAGAATTGCGAGGTCTCAAGTCATTAAGTGTGGAGATACATCGATATGTGTGTATGTGCCCGTAGAAGAACAAGTACACTAAACATGATCCAATACATGAGTTACAACATGGAAGTCTACCTACATGTCAAGTTGGAGCTCATCAATTACAATGGTGCAAACTAATCCTTAGACTTGAGGCATCATAGATGTTTTGTGGCTATGTTGTTAATCTTTGAGGACACTATATAATCATGCTGAATTAGGCATAGCTTACATGCTACATAATGTAGTTTCGATAGATATACCAAAAGACCAACATTTGACGCAGTTAACTATCAGCCACGGATGAATCAGATGATGCAAACCCGATGTCAAAATCAAAGGCAATGCATGTCAGTTCATGTTTGTTTCCGTCGTACAACCTCATTTTGAGAGAGTATGAACCCTGCATGTCCCAAATTTGGTCAGAATACAAGACGCAGCAGAAGAACACAAATATAAACATCACAAAAGAAAACTGCTGATAATAGAGAGGACATCATGACAGTGGCAATTATAATGGGGACAGGGTAATTCCAAAAGCAATTTGAGAATCGAATAGGAAACAAATCAAACACAACACAGCAGCAATTTGAATAATTATTTTTTAGTCCGACACAACACTAAACATAGTTCTTCACTATTTTTACAATCCACCTTCTTAGTCTGACGCAGCACCAAACTTAGGTCAGTACTTAATCCAGTTGAGGCCAATCCGAACTAATCCAAGATAGTCCCAGGATTTCCAGTATATAATAGTCTGCCTGAATGTATTGCTAGTGAAGTGTATTCTCCACCAATCTCTTGAAGTTCCCTCTTCTTTTTTTCTTTTTCTTTTTTGAATCTCAAACTTGAAGAGATATCATTTGAATATTTAGTGAATTAATAACTTAATTAGTAAATAATTAAACTTTTATACAATAAGAACCTAGGTTTCAATTAGTATTGCAAACTCATCGGTTGTGTTGGTAATTATGTTAGGTTGTTACTAGTGGGTTAGTCGAGATAATCTCTAGCTTGCAATCTATTTAGTTGATTAATTTTGCATTAGCAGGATTGGGGATTGTATTGGTATATTTCTAATAATAAAGTTCATTCTCTCCATATATGAGTTAAGGAATCATTGCAAATGATAGAAAGTTCTGCTTATTTTAGCTGTATTTTTAAGCATGAGCAAAACTTTAAAATTTCTTCTCCCCTTGCCTCAACCTAAAACTCCAGTCCCTACCCACCAACCCTAGCCACGCCAACTACTCCCTCTCCATCCTCCAGACCTCGTTCCCAGCGAGATATGATGGTTTACATCTAGGAATTTTACCTCATAGGGTCATAGTGTAAAAGGGTTTGGGGGACGCAGCGACAGGCTAGAGGAGATGGGGGTAAGGGTTTGGGGGGTTAAGGTTGAAGAAAAATTGATTTGGAGGGTTTTGGATCGAGTGGGATTTGTTTTTGGGGGAAAAGGGTTGATTATTTTATTTTATTTTTTTAAAAGACTTGGGCCAAAACGACGTCCTTTTGCTTAGGGAGTTTTTAAATATAAAATAAATAATAAATAAAAAAAAACGCAAGAACTCTCAAACATTGCCATAATTGAGTTTGTTTATGACCTCTAGTTTAGAACTAGTTAAAGCTCTTGGAATTTTGTTTTGTTTTTGTTTTGGTGAACAAGACGTTGGAGTTGTTATTACTGTTAGTTAATAGAGGCAGGGAAAACAGAAAGTTGTGTATAGGGAAAAAGAAGAACAACAACAAAAAGTCAGTTGTAGAATGCTTCATCTGGAGAATTTCCAAATCAAATTCTTTTTTTTTTTTTTTTTTTTTTTTTTTTTTTTTTTTTTTTTTTTTGCTTATTGGTTTTTCTATCTTTTCCATATATATTAATAATTTTTAAAAACATGCACAATTTTAAAAGGGTTTTTTAAAGGTTTTACAGACTGACAGAGAAAACCAATCAATTTTGGTGTTCTGGATTTGTGTGGATGAGGCCGAATGATCATACAAGAAGCCTAGTGTTTTCAATGGGCCACTGTGGGTACAAAATAACGTTTTCTGGTCCATTAGATGAATAAAAAATCATTTTGGGAATATAATGTAGAAAACGAAAGAAAATGAAAGGTGTCAAATTTGGGAATAGATGTTAACTTTGAAAAATGCTAAAGTGTAGTTTGAAAATGAAAAGAAAAATAAGAATAACTTACACATTTTCCACTAAGAGCATCTCAGACAGTAGTAGCAAATAAAACTTTTTAAATTGAAGTTTGTTAACTCACGTGATAATTTGAAAAACCTTATTTGCATTACTCTTCAAATATGATAAATAAATAAATAAATAAAATGAATTATATTAAATTTTAAAATCAGCTGTACATCAAACCCAGCCAGCAAAATAAATGTTTCTAACATTTTTCTTGTGCAGCTTTTGAGCATCTTACATCTTTTCTAAGTACACTTATGCTGCCCACTTTTAAGTGACGCTGCAGACTAATCCTTGTCTCTCTTTGACCCCTTATTAGCAGCCACAAGGACGACCTAATAAACTTTATTGAACAAGAACAAAGACTCTTCTACATAATCAAAATAGGCCAAACCCAAATGATCTTTTGGCATATATTTGTGGAGAAGTTATTGTAAGATGATTGTGTTATAAACACTATTGTTATTCCATGTTATTGATACATATGTTAAAATATGAGTAGATGACGAGTTTAGTGTAGTATTAAAAAGACGTATATGTATTATAACATAATAGATCAATAATAATACGTGATTATGTTAAAAGTAAGTATCTCTCTCTTATGTGAGAGTTTTATTTTGTTGTTCTTGTTTGTTCATAACTGTTTGCTTTTCCAGATTTTGGCCCATATATCCTTCCTTATTTCATATGCATCTCCTCTCCAACTTCACTTCAGTCATCACACCTCTCTCACCTCCTTCTCCTTCTCCTCTCCTCCCCTCCCCTCCCCTCACCCACACATCAGTTCCTTCCTCTCCCCCACCCATGAGATCTGAACCTCCTCTTTCCCTATGATTTTCTTGATTGTCTAATGACTTGCTACATATGCTTATCCCCTACAACCCATCCTCATATGAATTTCTTAATCGCTTGAGTAAGATGACTACTGGTGGCTTGCTCCCCAAAACCCTTGCTCTACAGAATGCAAATCCCATTTGTTGGTTCCTTTGGACCTTCTTCTTTTGATGGCAGCAGTGGCGACTTATTGTTTGTAGGATATGATTCTAGGGTTCATGTATTTGTTGGGTTGTTTGTTGTTTTGGGCTTGAATTTTGTACTTGGAGTTGGGCTTTTATTTTACTTTATTTTATCTTTTTGTTGAGCCCTTGTTTTTCTTTTTCTGACTTTATATTGGACTTTTTGTAATCTCCATTTGGTATTGACATGTTCATTCTTTCGACCGAAAAAAAAAACGTGACTATGTTACAATCCGGAAATATTTCCCTTATTTTTACATATCAGAAAATTTTATGTTAATGTTAGGAGGGAGATACTACTCCTGTAACCTCTGACTATTATTAGTTAGCAATAGTAAAAATTTAGAAGAAAAAGGCAACTATCATGATGTTAGTTACAATTTGTTATCAATAATAGAAAAGCCATGGACTATACAGTCAAGGGAACCAAATCCTCTAAGAGAATCCTACCAAATTAATGAGTTTGTTTATGGTAGGTTGACCATTCTTGTACTAGTCTATCAATGATCATATATATAATGGGATAAACTTGGCATGCCAAAAGGGATTTCTCAGAATTGAAAGTATGATTTTCCATAAAGTTAAGTTGAATAGGTGTAAGCGGTTGTTAGGATTAGAAAAAACGTTTTCTAGTGAGGATGCTTTCAAGAGAACATTAATACAAGCGATATTGAAAGAAGATAATAATCGCACTTAAGACGTCCTAGTCCAAAAAAAAATTATAACAAAATAGTTAATGGGCAAAGCGCTTCATATAGAAGAACTCTCACACATTGCCCTAATGCCATAAGTGAGCTTGTTTTTTTACCTCTAGTTTAGAACTTGTTAAAGCTCTTGGAAAACAGAAAGTTGTATAGGGAAAAAGAAGAAGAACAAAAAAGTCGGTTGTAGAATGCTTCATCTGGGGAATTTCCAAATCAAGATCATTTTGGAATATAATGTAGAAAACGAAAGAAAATGAAAGGTATCAATTTGGGAATTTATGTTAACTTTGAGAAATGCTAAAGTGTGGTTCGAAAATGAAAAAAAGAAGAAAGACATGCAAATTCTGGGATTTTAGGCTGAAATCATGATTTATATACTGTACTTTGAACACCTACAAATACAGATATTTTTTTGCTTTGTTTTAAAGTGGCCCCCTTCCCATCTCACTTCAATTGGGTTTGGAATATTCTAGTTGGATAAAGAACAAGAACATAGATAATTATAGTTGTCCACATGTGTGATTATTGGTACTTTCTAATTTCACCGCCCAAGTACATCTGCAATTTTGGTCCGGTGTGAGAGAACCAAAACCAAAAATTTATGCACGAGTAGTAACTGGGATTTTACCTTTTTTACTTTGGTAAATAGGATGAAACAAATAAATAACTGGGAGGGAGGGCAGAGAGAGAGAGAGAGAGGCATTAAATTTAAAGGGTACCCTTTATTTTGTAGGACAAGGACAAAAGTAGGGGTCCCAATCCCACTAATTTATAGGGAACAAAAGGGACAGTTTACACGCCCACACAACTAGCACACTGATTCAATATTCAGATCCGAACCACCTGACTTCACAGCATCATGTGTATAGGGTCTGGAAAGTGACTTCGAATTTCTTTTTCGTTTTTATTATTATCGTTTGGTTCTTCTCAGCCACAAGATGAGAAAACGCCTCACCACCATAAAATTCAACATTTACAACTCTCACTACCGCCTCAAAATATCGAACTTATGACATCAAATGCGGAGTTAAATCTTCTCAATCACTTGAATTACAGTTCATTTGTGGCAAAAGGGTGAGTCGGACGTTTATGTCAACTAGTTCTTAGTTTCTGTGTATGTTTCTTCTCAATGTTCTCAAATTCGACATGTTTTACAATTAGCTATTTAATGCGCTGATATGTATGAGACTCACATTTCATCTACGATGGAAAATTGTTCGCATACGCATAGACAACTGATTTTAGTAAAATTGAAGAAATTATTCAAAGGGGAGTGTAATATGAGACATTTCTTTATTATTGTGGTGAGTGTGAATTTGACCCAAAAAAATGTATAGTCAAAAGGTGAAGCAACAATTCAGAAAGAAAAATGTTATTTTGAAACAGCAAAGAAAGCTATCTGCATATCCAAGAGAAAGCCAGATACATATTGGCCCTACCAGGATCCTCATGTTTTTCATTTGAATTATCCAACCAACTCTAGATTACTCTAGATGAAAGCCACTAAATATATGGCCAACCTAGGACGTTTCCTTGATCCTGCATTTAAGGGTTACTATCATATTACCTACCATGATAAGAAGAAATATCACAACTTCACATTAAAACCCTTTACATACGAGCAATCAAATCGTTACATAGTTTTCCAAATAAAAGCTGTTATTGACACTCCAAAATAATCATCATATAATGATAGAGTCGAACTATAAGCTCATAAACAAAATGATTATTTTGAAATGTCAATAACAACTCACCGTAACACAAATTCCGGAAAGCTATGGACTTAGGTTATGTCCAAACTAATGGTCAAGCATCAAATTTAACTTGATAGTGAAACTATAGACACTAGTTCCTCAAATGCATCACCTTGCCACATAACCCACCACAAAAATCAGCAAAAAATTAAAGGCAGAGTTTCTTACACATTTCTTTTTGCTGAGACAAATAAATAAATAATGTAGAAAGCCGGCAAAGAATTCGATTCCATTAATCTTTGAAACCCTCAACATTTTTTTTTTTTCAAATGCCCACAAGATCCACATAAAACCCCCAAAGTCCACACGACCAATTCTCCATCACCCAGAAAATAAAAACAAACCCATTTCCACATCCCCAATATTTACATGATTAACCAGAAATTACAAATAGTTTTAAATAATTTTAAAATAAAATTAAATCCCTGACCTTTGGCAAGACCAAAACCAAAGAACACACACAAACACACATGCACCACCCTGCAGCCAATCAAATCAAAGATATGGAAGAAAGGGAAATTCAATTCCCAGGTGAAATTGAACCAAACGAAACAAATCTCTTTTGTTTGTTTTTTTTTGGGTTGTTTAAAACTTGGGGGTATTTTGGTCATCTCCGGTGGTTGATATATAATTAAATATTAAAATTATATACCAGGGAGAACCTTGGAGGGTTCTCTCTGGGATGGGCTTCTCCAAAACCCAGTGCTGTAAAACCTGTCCCACATCTCCTTCTCGAGCTTCAGCACATCCTCATCAACCGACTCGTCGTCCGCGACCTTATGCGACATGTCGTTGATCTCCAACCCGCAATCGAAACCCACTTGGTGGAACTGGAGCTCCGACCCGTCGAAGCCGCACGTGCACTTGCAATGCCTGGGCTGCAAGAGCCCCTTCTTGACGTGCCTCTTGCGCCGCTTCTTCTTCAGGACGCGCCGGCAGATCCCCGCCGGCACCTTGTAGATCACCAGGACGAGGAGGTTGACGAGCCCGCACGGGCAGCAGCAGCACACGGCGGCGCACTCGGCGGCGGTGCCGCCGGCGACTTCCGCCAATCGAACAGTGCTGTGGGAGACTTGGGTCCGGAGCAGCGGCTGCCGGCGGTTGGAGGAGGTCTGCCGGAGAAAGAGTTGCCGCGATGAGGTTATGGATTGTGACATGGTTGAAAAGTTTGAAGAAAAAATGGGAGGTGGGTTGTCTTAGGGTCGATGGAAAATCGGGAAAACGGAGAAAATGGTTCTGATCTGGGTCTTAGAGATTGGGCGATTTTCTGGGATTTCAGAGCCTTTTTATTACTGGGAATCTCAAGAACTTTGCAGAAAATCAAAATCTCTAAGATGAGATGAAAAAGAGGGAAAAAGAAATGATCTTTGGTGTTTGGTTTTGCCAAGAAAATGAAAATAAAAAAGAAATTAAAAGGGTCTCGGATCCTGAACAAGGAAGAAGATGAATCTGAAAGGGAATTTAAATTCCTTGCTCCAGGATCACCTGGGACCCTTTTACCATACAGAAGGTCAGAGGGTGGAAAATAATATTAAAGAAAGTGGAGTCTCCATCAAAGAAAAATGATGAAGACGAATGAGGAGGAGGAGAAGGGAGGAGGGTGGGGTGTGTGTTTGGGAAAATGGGTTGGCCTTGCGAGGAGAGTGACAGGGCAAAAGGCAGCTTATCAATGGAGTTGGTAGAGGTTGGAGATAGGAGGCCGAAAATGAATGGAGGGAGGGAGTTGGGGGGAAACGAGTATTGCGGTGGTGGAAGTTTTGGTGTTTTGGTTGGAGGGCCTCTTGCTTTATTTGATTTTGTGGGAAATGGGGTCTTTGCTTTTTTTGACCTCCTAAAAAATTGCAACAAATTAAAAAAGGTTGGATGAGAGAGAGAGAGAGAGAGAGAGAGAGAGAGATGAGATTAATTTAATTAGTGAAATGATTAAGAAGACAAAACAAAGAGTGAGGCAGCTCGGGAGAGAGAGAAAGATGAGTCAATTGGCAATCAAATAAAGAGATAAATTATAATATAGTTTTTGTCTTTTTTTGATAATATTTTTATTATATGATATGATAAGCAATCGATTGAAACGTCCTTGGGTTGTGATTGTCCATGATTTTAATATTTTTAGAGAAATAAAGTGATTTTTGTATGAAATTCGAAAGATGGCAACAACTTTTTTTTTTTATAGTTGTCAAGTGGTAAAGAACTTAGTTTTAATAGTCAAATGATTTTTTAAGAAGTGTAGTTTTCATACGTACGTAAGTAGAGAGTCCAATCTTTTGAAGCCGACGTCCTTTTATGTAGCGAGTAATGCTGTTCTTACCACATTTGTATATCACAATTTTATACCATTTTATGCAACAGATGACATAAACAATCATATCAATTAAAAAATGTCAGTAAATCATAAAGAAAAGAAAATGTTAAATTAATTTTATGTCACGTAAAATAGTATACAAATATGATAAGAATAATATTACTCGTAATGAGTAATATTATTTTATATTCTCATGACACACACCCAACTATCAGAAAATGTAATACGTTATGTTAGTGCGTCGTGAATTGAAATGACGATTCACATAATTTGGTAATTCTCAAATTTTCATTTGCTTCCGTGCTCCAAACACATCTCGTAATGTGATTGCTCTGTTGGTGGTATGATTTTGATTGATCTTCTAAAAGCCCAATCCTCCAACAACGAGAGGGTCCTCCATGATGTGCCGTCACGACTCATTCATTCGAACACGTGGCATTTATTTATTTATTTAATAATTAAATAAACAAAGCAAGCTCCATCCCGCGTACTTCGAGACTTTTTGTTGTTGTTGTATTAGATTAGATTAGATTGGATTAAATAAATAAAATATAAATTAGTCGGAGTAAGAGAGAGAAATTGCGGGGCTGTTTTCTGACGTGGAAATTCAACCGTTTATGATGGGAAATAGGACCCTCACGTTTTGGTCTATCTGTACTGATGTGACCTGCTTTGGCTTTCACTGTAGCCCAATTTTCCTTTTCTTTTAACTTTTTACAGCTTTGACCCAAGGTTTGGTCACACAACGACCCAAATCCCGTTCACCATCCACTATACAATTAGGAAATTTAGGAGTGCAAATTAGGCTTGTTGGTGTCCAATCAACCTTATTAAGAATTTAAGATCATCTGGATTAAGGCGGTTGATTAAGGCAATAAGTTCATCTCCTTGTATACAAGTTCGAATCTCTCTTCTCGTAGATTATATTAATTTAGAATAGCTCACGTGGTTAAAAGTATTTACCTTGCACTCGAGGTCCAAGTTTTGAATTTGATTTCCCCCGTCCTTAATATCGCTTATATCAAAAGAATAATTTAAACTATCACTCATATATAATATAAAAAAAGAAATTAAGGCTAGCCTCTAACATTTCTTACTCTAGCTACTGGAATACGTGTGATTAATAATTTTGAAAAAAGAACGTCATATCACTAATGTGTCCTTCAGAGATCACTTGTTAAGAAGATGATCTATAATTGGAGTTTTAATCATCAATAATATATATTTTATTCTAGAGTTTGACCTATCGCGTAGGAACACATTGAGCTCAACGCACAAAAATGAGTCATATAACTTATTATAAATGTTCGGCACAATTCGTGGAGTATGCATAATAATCTTTGCTTCAAGAGGAAGAGATTCAAGTAAAATTTATTTCGTTGTGGTAGTAATTTCTAGTATAAGTAAATAAATAAAGATGGTTTTTTCATTTCGAATTCGATACTTTTTTTTTGGAGTTTTTCTCATATAACTTTCAATAAAATGGTCTTGACTCAAGAAAGAAAGAAAGAAAGAAAGAAATAAGAATTATGTGGCATTTGGAATATATACACGTATCTATACATGACCAAAAATTAGGCAAAATATATAAAATTTTAGAAGCTTGAGATATACAAATAAAAATCCATACCCAAAACGAAGGCCAAGAAGTTTTGATTTTAACATCAGAACTGAAGCTTGGACGAGAAATATGTGTCTTGATTGACATGAACCAAATTTGTACTCAATTTGCAATTAATCATTCAATTGCGTCACATCGCAACTTGTACAGTTTAATTATTATCCTTCCAACTTGAATAATTATTTATTTAATTGTGAAATACAATTTGTTCTTGTTCATCATCAATAAATACTATCGTTTTTTTCTCAAAAAATAAAAAAGGAGAAATATCTAAGATGATATATATACGCACAAATCAGCGACCTTGATCACTTTTTCAATTAGAAATATTAAATTCCAGGGATCAAACAATTTCTTGACACATTTCTGCCCTGTAACTTGCTTGCTAATTATATATGTTTAGTGCAGATGGTGAGTCATATGAGTTCCGTGAACTAACTGTGAATGGGACGATTGATTGAGTTGATGAGGCATGATATTAGATCATTCTAGAGTTTTGACTTTTAATCAACTATTAAATAATTCCTTGTGCTTTTTTTGTTGGCAAATTGAAGAAACACACACACACAAAAACTACGAAAATAACCCCAATAACCAAGTCTCATTAGGCTGATATCGACCCACCAAAATGGGTGATTCATATCCGTCATTATGCTAATGGAGTGGCTCATCATGTTGCACAGTTCATTTTACACATCGAAACTTCTTTTATATTGGTATGAGGAATCTTTAGATTCTATATTCTAATATGCTTTTTGAGGATTGTAATAGACGTTGGCTTTAGAAGGGATAAAGAGTTCTCTATAAGAGCAGTTCCAGCCATGCAGCCCAGCCCGAGGGGAGGGGGGAAAAAAACAAAAATCTCGTTCCAGCGCATGAGCCCAGGCCCGGGGGGGGTGTGGGACCCACCTACCCGGGCTGGCCCGAAGGCAACTTTCGCCCCAGGTCCAAAACGCGGGGGGGTGACGTCACGACGACGTCACGCTAACGTCGTCACGCGGTTTTCAATTTTTTTTTACCGTTGGCGCGTGCAATGCACGCGCCAACGTTAAAAAAATTTGAACCCGCGTGCGCTGACGTCAGCGCGACGCCAGCCACAACGGGTGGAAGCCACGTGGCAGTCCCCCAGCGCTCCGATTTGATTCCAAATTTTAATCCAACGGCTGGCGATTTTTGGACAATAAAATTATGAAAAAAAATCGAAATTTTTTTAAAAAAAATACTAAAAAATCCTAAAAAATTCTGATTTTTTTTCCTATAAATACCTATAAATACCCTTCACTTTCAACACCAATTCTCATACATTTTATTCTACTTCTACAATTACTCAACATATTTTTCACTCTTTACTCAACATTTTCTTCACTTTTCACTCAACATTTTCATCTCTTTCACCTTGTAATTTTAGTTATTATTTTTATGGCTTCTTCTATTGAAACCGGAGGGGCGTGGAGCACCATGGAAGATGTTTCTTTGTGTGAGGTTTGGCTCCGAGTTTGGCTTCGAAAATCAACATCAGAGTACAAAGCAGTTGGGATAAAATAATCTTCCAAAAGATTCTTACCCCGAGAATGCCTATGTCTGTCCACATTCCGGCGACGGCCGACTTGTGAACCATGGCGGCGACCTTGGTTCTCTTCCTCTTCCATTGCCACTGCTATGAGAACTTGCTCATCGACTTGCCTCTGCAACTCATTCATTTCATCGGCTCTACGGTTTCTCTCCTTTCTTTCTCTCTCGTGCCTCTCCAAGCATCTCCTATATTCTTCCATTGAGAATGAATGGAGTATGAATTCTAAACTCTAAGAAATGAAAATATTGAAAGATGTGGTGTGAGAGGTATGATGTGAGCCTCTGGTTTTATAGAAAAATTTGGCAAGATAGAGATGCCACGTGGCTTGATTTGATTGGATGAAAATCTTATCTGAAATTTGAAATTCATCCGAAATTTGAACCCAAATTCATCTGAATTTTGAATTTTGAAATTCATCCGAAATTTGAATTTTGAAATTCATTCGAAATTTGAACCCAAAAATTTATCTGAAATTTGAATTTTGAAATTCATCCGAAATTTGAACCCAAAAATCTTATCCCGAAATTTTATCCGATTATGAATAGTGTTGACACGTAGGAACCCGTAAATCTTATCCGAAAATATTATCCAAATTAATTATTGAGGTAAAAAAAATTGTGAATAAAACAAAAAAATGAATAGTAACTGCCCTTAGCTAGGGCAATGGGTGGAAACACAAAATTCTGATTTTGCAAGGGCAACCACTATTCACGTGAATAGTGGCAGCCCTAGCTCCCCCCTTGCCATGGCTAAGGGCAATATGGGTGGAGTTGCTCTAATCAGCTGGGGTTCCCTTTAACCGCTACTAGGCTACCTCATTAGTCTGATGATCATTTCCTTATATATAGAAATGCTTGCCTAATCCTCTTTGTTTATTTTATTTTAGTCACTTTGTACCATGTTCTTTATTTTTTCAATAAATTTATATTGCTTTTCCTTTTAAAAAGAAAACGGGCGATTTGGATCCATCTTAGGTGATCGTATCCACAATAGAATTAGTTATCTTTGTTGAAGAATATAAGTCCCACATAAAAAACTTGACTAAATAAAATACAACATATAATGAATGGTTTTATTACTAATATCATCGAGACCTTTTGTGTAAAATTTCACACGTGTTAAACATGTAATTAAATTGGGGACAATATTGATATTGCTAGTAGTGGGCCAAGGGTATGTCCCTATGAAATTTAACTTTGATTCATGTTCAGCTAAGACGCACTTTGTTCATGGTGGAGGCGACTTAAGTAAAAACTCCTAGAGCGGTGGATAAAGATGAAGCGGGCTAGTGGAGCAAAGGCTCAAGAAAATCCTAGGTGTAAGTGGAGCAAGGACTCCTAGCAATGCTCTAGAAAATCCTTGTCGGAAGAGGTGGAGTTGCGAATTGGTTGCACAAGGCCTTTTGTGATAAAACCCCGCACATATTGGGCTTTATAGGTGGTTAAGTTGGAGACAATATCGATGTTGCTAGTAATGGGACCCTGAACCGTCTCTCTAAAATTTGACGTGGTATCAGAGCGGGTTTATTGACTGAGCCTGAATTACTGGGCCTTTACTCTTACCCTTTACCCAATACGTGATGTTCACATGTTGAACTTGAATGTTTACCTTTACCCAAGACATGGTGTTCACATGTTGAGCTTGAATGTTTGACTTCGATGTGGACTTGGCTCTACGTGTGACCCACTATATTTCACTACTAATATAATCAAGACCTATTGTGTAAAATCTCACACGTGCTAAACAGATGGTTGAGTTGGGTATAATACTGATGTTGCTAGTAATGGGTTAAGGGTCCATCCCTCTAAAATTTAACCATCTCATAAAATAACTAATAAATATTTAATTAATTACAGTTGTAAATAGGAAAAAAAAAGTGATTGTGAAGATAGCCATATACAGTGGCGGACCTATTAAGGTGCAAGGATGTGCAGTTATCCCTCCATTCGCCGAAAAAGCCTTTGTAGGCGCTACATATTGCCCTTTTGCTGAGGATGGGTGGTGCACTCTAAGTATTCGATGAATTGCCTCAAAGTAGTGCAGCGCACTTCGCACATATTTTTTTCCAAAACATCCTGGCTAAAACGACACTGTTTTGAACCAGGTTTTAATAAATAAATAAATAAATAGATATTTTTAAAGGAAACCTAGACTTTCGTTTCGTGGGCTTTAACAAGGACTTTCATGGACATATTCTAGGGCCTGCTTAATAAATGATTTAAAAAAACTTTAGAACAATGGCTTTAAATTCTAGGGTTTTTAACAAGCTTTATTTTTCTTTTTCTTTTTAAACAAGGATTTTTAAATAATATAAAAAATAAAAAATAAAAAAGAGAAGGAAACTCTTGCATTGATTGCAAAACTCCTTATTTAAATTGGACTTGGAGAATTATTTATCTTTATAAAGGCTGCATTTTTTTTTCCATATTACAAGAATTAAAATAATCCAAAGTATTCTGCATTTTTTTTTCCTCAAAGCCTTTGTAGGTTATTTGTAATGCTATTTTTTTCTATGACTTATGAATGACATTGATATTGTTTAAATTATAAGGATATTTGGTTGTTAATTTTTCTTTTAATAAAGCTTTTAGCCTTTCAAATTGCATCTCCACTAAAAAATTGATGGGTCTCGAGTGGCCACATACTACTTAATAACCATATATGTTGTGTTAAAATCTTTGTTAACAAATACCGGCTAATTGGAGTTAGTGTCAATCAACACCTAATGATGCTTAAGTTAGCTAACGAAACTAACTAACTCATATAATTTTCCCTAATTTGTTAGACAACTCCACGACCATGTTGAGTATGAGAATGTCTAAAAAATATATAAATTATAAATTAAATTCTATTCGGAACATATCACCATAAGCTCCCAATATCACCACACCACCCTAACCTTCGTTTGTGTCGCTCTACTACTTTTCTGATAATCCAAAAATGAGTGGAATTGGCTACACTTCTACTTTGATTGGATGTGATTATGCTACTTGGACAGGGAAGTGTGCCACTTTTTTACAACCAAAAGTTCATTTCTCATTTCTCATTTCTTCTAGATTACAGTAGTTTAAGACTAATTTAGACTATTGCTTGTATTAAAAGAAAAACGTGATTGTTAATGTAAGGCATTCACTACATATAAAACATTTATATAATTTTACTAATTTTTATTATTTTTTTGTTGTTGGTAAAATTATGGGCAAAGCCAAAAAACACAATTATACAGAAAACGACGAAAATGCTATAATGAGGGGGTTGTGAAAGGGGTTCAATCCTGCCGATAGTAAAAATATTGGACTTCAACTTTTTTAATGATTGGATGGTTGGATTGAACCCCTCCTTCAATCCCCTCACCCAAATTCCCCTCATTGTAGCATCTCCCGAAAACGAAACTATGCCAAAAAGAGGCTAGACTTATCCTCATCTAAATGTTTGAGTTGAAAGTTGTATACAGTCAAAAAAGTAGTGTTGGGTAATATCCACGAGGCCCATAAACATGTGATCAAAGATCATGGATCCAAACCCAAATGAAGATAGTATTACTCTGTATGGACTTTTGAAAAAAGGCCCAAGCCTGTTAAGAGCCGCAAAAAATGCAGTTTTTGGGAAACCCATGTTTAACTTCAAGAGGGATTGAAAATTCCCATGTAACACGGGGAAATGGAGACTGAAAAAATATCGGTATTAGAAGTCAAGGTTTATTCAAATTTTTTTTCTTTCAATAATACACTTATATTTTTTATTTATTAAAATTTACAATACCTGCAGAAGAAGACTAGTCATAATTGCAAACATAGGTTTAGCCAATTGACTAAGGGCTCGTTTGAGACTGCTTTTTTAGGAAGCACTTATGCTCCTAAGCGCTTCTAACAAAAGCGTTTTTATTATAAAGTTGTTGAAATTTTCATAAAAAATCTAAGTGCTTCTTGAAAAAGCACTCCTGAGTGCTTCCTGAAGAAGCACATGATAGGTGCTTCTCCAGAAAACGCTTCTATGGCCCAAAAGCACTTCTAAACTTTTCTGCCAAACGCTGTTAGAAGCGCTTTCGGTTATCAGAAAGCGCTTTTAGCCCTTCCAGAAGCACTCCCAAACGAGCTCTAAGGCAGTGTGCCTCCCTCCTTATACCAGGTCCAATTCGCCTTATCATACATTAAAATAATTTAGAATATCGTTTTGTCCAAAAAATAAAAAATGACAAATAATCGTAGCATATTCATCCCCTCTATACTGCATTGATTCATTGACCAATGATCTACCTAAATAAGTAAATTTCAAGAGAGAGAACAAAGATTCATATTCCCTAGACATTTATCCCCCCACCCATAAAGGTAACTTCTCTTTCTTCTTCTTAATTTACAAGAAATGTAACTTTTGGTAAGGTGAATCCACGTGATCCTCTGATGTATTTTCCCATTCCAAATATGTATTTTCTTTGAGTTCCCCCTTCATCGTTTGTAAAACCTATTAACCAAAATTAGAAAATATAAATATAACGCTGCAAAACCACTGCACAAAGAATTTACAATGAGCACTGTTTTATTTATGTCCATTTTTTATTATACAAGATGCAGAAACATTACACAGAGTAAAAATACAACCAAAGACTGAGTCATGCAGTACATGTCAATCTTTGATGGAATTATCCTTGATATTTCCAAGGTTTTGGTCACAAGAAACTACTTTCTATGCCCAAATTACCTAAAAGACTTTTCAAATCCATGGAGCTAAGTCTATGGGCGGCTAAACTTCTGAGGAAGTCTTCACTACGGTGCGGCTTATACACTTTCATCTCATAATCTTTTCGTCACATAAATAACACATGACGAGTCGCTATGAAATGAATAATACATAAGCTTGCCCCGACCATAGTTTTTTTCTTAAACCACTCATTATTTGTTTTAAGAAGGGAGGAAAGTTAAAATTAAAAAAAATGAAACAAACACCTAAATATACACAAATTAACGACATGCAAACACGACACGAACACGAAAAAAAAACAAAATTAAGCTTCAATATACATGTGCCCCCTTGAGGGACTTAAATTCAATGATCCCTTTGTAAAGAGCTTGCCTATTGAGTGGCATGGTGTCCATTTTATAATTTCCATTTCCCTCTTTGGCCTGCTTTGTTGTTGGTGCAAAGCGCCTCTTGCGGTACTCTTTGTTGTTTGATGATGGCTCCGCAACATCCGCTGCAAATCTAACACACTTCTTGCCTTGGATTTTCTCAGATCCTAATCCTCGAAAAATCGAAACAAAAAAAGATAGTTGAATTTTCGAAGTTTCGAGAGAAGACGGGTCAAAGTTTAGGGACTATCGCTAAATTATTCCCGCGATAAATGAAATGAAAAAACTTACCAGAAGCCATTTTTTTGTGGTGATCAAGCAAACCTCCCATTTCACATTCAATGTTCTTCATGAAATCTGAGAGAAGGCGCTTGTGGACTTGATGGGCAAGAAGAACCACGCTTCCAGATACAGCAACAACAGCCATGAACCCAACTCCAATAGAGTTATCCATCTCTCTCTCTCTCTCTCTCTCTCTCTCGCTCTCTCGCTCTCTCTCTCTTAGAATAAAAAAAGTTTCAATTTGGATCAAACACTGTCAAGAACATTTTGTACCAATAAGAACATGGAAAAAACCCAAGAAACGCATCATAACAAATGATTAAAAAAAGAAATTGGCGTTGATTGAAGTTGGTGTAAGATGAATATATAGTGTGAAAAGGATAAAAAGGGGTTTAAGATCGACGAAGTTTCCAAGAACGCATGACATTGACCATATTAAGGCAAGTGACTAAAAAAATATCTGGACCCAGTTAAAAAAAGACGGCTAAACTAAATTAATTCATTTGTTCTTTGTTAATTGTGTTAATTTCTGCCTGTAATTATCCTCTGCCTCTAATTTTAATTGCAAACAAGTAACAAACTTGCTGTCAATTTCGGTTTCCTTTTTTTAAATTTGGTGACGAGGAAAATCCTACGATTCACTTCTTTATTAGGTACAAAATCTTAAAATAAATCCGTGATAAAAATAAGCACCCAATGATTGTTTTTAATGTATATAAAATAGGATGATGTTTTTTTTTTTTCCTTAAAAAAAAATTAGAAATAGAAAACTTATTTTCTCACCAGAGCAAACAAAAATCCAAAAGGGAACCAATTAAATTCGTTTTATAGACAAAAGGAAAAAAAGAGAAGAGTAGGATGACTTCTACTAAGGCTTTCATTGGATATGGAGGGAAAGTATGAATTATGCAACATGGTTGTACTTGTGCCTTGTACATACTTTAGTTTTTCATTTTTAGCAAAAGGAAACGAATCTAATTAGATTGTGTTTGACTTATATTACGTTTGAAGGAAACACGTATCTAAGATTTTTTCTAACAATTGACGGTGATGAAGTCAGAAACTTAATCTTGAAGTATAATGGTAAATAAGATTTCGAGTTTCTGTATTTACGTTCATTTAGTTGTCACATCAGTTAGTCTAAGTAAGTGTAAATATTAATATTAAGCTATCAAGGCCAATGGTTTTTATTTTATCATTTTGGATTTGAACACACCAGTAGGGAAGCTGGTTTCCAAATAATACAAGGAACTCTGAGGTGGTTCTGCATGATTATAGTCAAGACCAGTGATATAAACAATGGATATGATCAAGAATAAGTTAACATACAATTTTAAAATTCAACCAAACAGCTTTTATTCAACTTTGAAAATTTCAATTCAGGAATCTGATTTTTATTTTCTTTTTTCTGAGTCCAATTCTCCAAGCAACACCAACGTCATGTCTCATCATGACTCATGAATGCTAATCCCTAGCCCAACAAAGAAAAGCTTCATGACCCGCCCACCACCATCGTAAGCATTCCAGATAGCCACCACACATCATAAAAACATAATTGAAAATTTACGATACAAGTCCATAAAACAAACAGTTCCCATGACTATAAAATCAAGCCATTAGCTAAACAAATGAACTTCAATCAAACAGTGTTGGCACCAAAATACATCAAACTAAATCAACAAATGCACACTTCATCCTCACTTATAAAAACTTGCAATATCAATACCACACACACCAACAACGTAACCCACAAACAATACAAACCCGATTGAATTATACATATAAACAAAAAAACAAACCAAAATACCTATTTTGTGGCTAGCTAACCCAATTTTTTCTTCTTGTTTTTGGTTAACATTTGACCTGGTGGAGCCTTAGCTTCCCATCAGTCCTCAGGTGGTGTAGTAGAATACTGGGTGGAGCATAAGGTGGATGAGCTTGATGCAGGCGCACGAGAACGACAGAAACAGCACCCCATACACAATTCTAAATCCCATTTCTGTGTTCTAAACCTCTCTCTCTCTCTCTCTCTCTCTCTCTCTCTCTCTCATTTGAGATCCACAAAAATGGGCATATTTATAGAGGCGGGGAGGGAGAGTTAGATTTGAAGCTGGGAAAGTGGATAGGGTTTTGAATAAATGATTTGAACGTTTGAGTATGGTTTTTATCTCATACGTGTCATGATGGGCAACTTTGACTTGCCACCTGGGAAATTGGATGGAGGAGTGTTACGTGTGGTGCTTTGGTTTAGTGCACCTGTATGTTTGCACATGTAAGCTTAAACTGTGACCAAGCAAAGCACCAATGCAATGCAATTCAAAATATGATATGATATGCAGTTATTTTGGATCATTTCAGGGTTTTATTGTCATTTTCGTTCCATAAATGGATTGGGCAATGTGTGGTTTGGGATATTGGGGACTTTGGAAATTGCAATGTTTTTCTGTGGTTACTCATCATCATGTGTTGTTTGTGTTATGTAAATCTTATGATACGTGTTGAGTTAAGGATTTTAACGTTTTATGTTAATGATTATTTTCAACTTTTCACGGGGTATGATTTAGGTGAATTCAAGTTAGCATCTCACATGGTGTTAACTTTACATACAAAAAATGTCTCGGGTCAGGAGCTCCGACCTATTCAGTCTATAGTTCCTATTGATTAAAAAAGTACAAATTTATAAATAAACCCAATCCTAGACATGTATTTATAAAAAAACTCAAGCACTATTTAAACATAGAAACACACCCAAAATCAACCTCAAAGTCAACTTTTTGGGTGTGTTTATAAATGGGTTTTGAGTGTGTGTAATGATGGGTTTTGGGTGTGTTTATATGTTTAAATAGTGCTTGGGTTTTTTTATAATTTCAACCCCCATTTTGGGTGTTTTAGTGAAACTCCCTTAAAAAAGTGAAATGATACACTCTCACTCCTAAGAGCATCTGCAATGATTAGAATCAATACAATTTTATTGCATGAAATTGAACTAAAACAGTAAAATCTCACTTGCAATGGTGTGATTTAGTTCATCGCAATAGAGGGTGCTATGTGATGAACCTCTATTGCAATTGCAATAAACTAACCATGGGATCCACATGCTAATTAAAAATAGAAAACAAAATTACATCAAATGCATTATGCCATTAAGAGCATTTGCAATGGTAGTTCAATGCAATAGAAAAAAATACATAAATTAATACATATATTTTAAATATATTCAAAAGGCTTATTTACTGTAGCACCCCCTGAAACTTCGGTCAAATCTCACTTAACCCCCTCAAAGTTAAAATTGCCCACTTTACCCCATTGACCGTGGTTTTCTGTTCCACTTCCCCCACCCCACCCCACCCCACCCCACCGTTAACGCCATCCAAAAGACCGTAAAGAAAGCTAATGTGGCAGGAACATTATGGTAAAAGCACCCACGTGGGCCAATTGCTGACCTTAGTCAGCGGCCTACGTGACATATTGGACCTCACAGGTGTTGAAAATCCTAATTTAAGCGGCTGATGATGAGAATCCTCTCTCTTCTCCTTCGATAATAGGGTTTCTAAACTTAGAGCAACTACTTAGCATCATTTGAAGGATTTAAGGTTCTCCAGAGAAAGATCTCTCCATCTTTGTTCTATTAAAGGGTGTGAAGATGAGGAAAGAACCTCCACGAGGAGAAGAGGTGACCGTTGCTGCACCTAATTGCTATTGTGGGAGGCTTGCTTGGCTGCTGACTTCTTGGATAAAGTCCAACCCACTTTGGAGGTTCTTTGTGTGTCCAAAGTCAGAGGTCGGTTTTGTATTTACTATTTTATCGAAAATTAGAAGAAGAAAAAAATTGTGAGAATGTGATGGAATTGTTGTTTGAATGCAGAGGGGGAAAAAAAGGTTGTGGGTTTTTTGTATGGGTTGATATTGAAATGCCTCCCCGTGAGAGATCTCTGATGGCTTGGCTGCTGAGGACAAAGAGAGAAGTTGAAGATCAGATTGGGCGTGCAAGAGCAAGAGAGAAGAAGTTGTGGATTTCTCTGTTTATTTCTTGGGCCTTTGTGTTTATGATTTGGTTTGGCAATGTTGTGTAATGTAACTTAGGCAATGTGGTATGTTTGAAAGTTAGGTAATGTTGTGTAATGTACCTAGTTGAATGGCAATTTAGGGAGATGAGAGTCTTTATGCAATGGCTCTAGCATTTTGCAAATGTAATGGTTTCAAAGCTCTTTTGTAATGGTTAAGACTAAAGACTTATGTAAGCAACAGTAACTGTTGAAACCTTTAAGAGTTTTACAACTGCCATTGATTCTTAACTTTACGTAAACCGCATATAGTCTTGTACATAAATTGTACAATTTAAACCATAACTCAAAATACTTTCTAAGCACATGTTTAAACCATGGTAATGCCAAAACAAAATACAAAAGATCTCATATGCACCTGTTCACTGAATATGCACCATCCATGGCAATGCTGTACAATCTTGTAAAAAACAAAGTAGACAATCAAATATCAAATAGACAGTTTTTACCCAAAAACACATGTGTTCCCCAAGACACGGCAAAAACAGAGGGGAGATTTTCAATATCTCAATGGCTTAAACTTTGCCAAGAAGGCTTTCTTCTTAGCTAGATACTTAAACCTAACTTTCCTTTGTGGGAATCTTGTAAAGGTTGAGACGAATTTGGTGCTTGAGATTGGGAGACTTGTTCAAACAGAGCAACTTTATAGGCTTGTTCAAATTGATGAGCTTGAGAGGCTTGTTCAAACTGAGAAGCTTCAAAGGATTGTTCAAACTAAAATGCTTGAGATGGTTGTTCAAACTGAGATGCTTAAGCTGGTTGGTAAGATGGTTGAGCTGCTTGGTGAGATGGTTGAGGAGTTTGGTTAGACTGAGAAGAAGCTTGAGATGGTTGAGGAGCTTGGCTAGACTGAGAATAAGCTTGGTGATGATTGGCCCTTTTTTTAGCCTTTGATATGATCTGAAAATTATGGAAGAGTTATATTAAATGCATGTTGTTGGATTAATATCTACAAATGAAGAGTCTCAAACTGTTACTTAAATAAAAGAAACCCAACTTACTAGTTGTTTTTGCCTTGATTGTCTTGTAATTCTCCGAGTGGATGTGTTGGCTTGATATGTTGTCTTTTTTTGCCTTTGTGATGGTACCTAACCAACAAACATCACTGGGAAATCCATATCAGAATGCCAAACATACAGAATTTTAAAAATCACATGCTTTGAATATACCTGGCTGCTACTCCCTGCTTCATTTAGCCTTGGACATTTCCTCTTATTATGGCCTGGTTGCTTACATATGGAACACTTGATTTCCAAATTATACCTTGACAAATGTTTAGCTTTAGGATTAGAGCTTGGAGATGGTTCACCGACTGAGCTTATCTTGGTTTTCTTTGGCCTCCCTGTCTGTTTATGAAACTTAGGTGGCCGCAAAGGTGACAAATTTGTTTTAGCCCACAAGTCTTGACCTACCATTGGATGAACCATGGGTTTGTAAGCTTTCATGAAGGCATCTTTTTTGTAATAATCATGGACATAGCTGATGTGATTGCCATTTAATTTCCCAAAGGCATCACAAGCATGCTTACATGGGATCCCAGTTAGATCCCATTGCCTACATGAACAACTTATGTTTCTCAAATCAACTCCCACCTGAGTGCCTCCAAAACACTTAACCTCATATTTGCTCTCCCCTGCAAGCCTTGGAATGCACCAGGTTGACTGCTTCTTAAGCTTCTCTAGAGTTGCAAAAACTCTTGGCCCCACATCATAGCCCATTTCTCCATAGCTTCTTTTCTATTTGCTATCAACAACATGATGTAATACCTAATCCTCTCATGCAATGTTATGATAGGCTTGTCTCTAGCATCAAGAATAGACTTGTTGAATGCCTCACACATGTTATTTAAGGGAATGTCACATTTTGAGTGTGTTTTGAAGTGAGATTTACACCACTGCATTAGATCAAGCCTTGACAACCACTCAAAAGCTGGTCTTGAAAAATCTTGGAGCTTTTTCATCTCTGCTTGAAACCAAGGTATAGTTGTATTTCTTGCAGCAACCTCCATATGTTGTTTTAGAACTAATCCTCTATGGTCAGCAAGTATAAAATTGGGATACAAATGTTTAGGGCAATGCCTATACTCAGAGTTTGGAAACATGTCACCAATTGTATCAATTAAGCTCTTTTGTCTATCTGTAATGAACACGTAGCCATTGCTATTTTCAATGCCAAGATCAACAGCTAAGAGTTCTAAAAACCAAGTCCAAGTTGCATAATTCTCAGCCTTTGCCACTACATAAGCTATTGGATACATGCCGTTGTTATGATTAACACCAACAACAGATAGTAATTGGCCAGGGTGTTTCCCTTTGATGTAACAACCATCCAAACCAACAACTGGCCTCAAAACATCAATAAATCTTTTCTTTGTAGCTGCTAAGCATATATAAATCCTTTCAAATCTATATTTGCCACCCTCCAAATTGGACTTAATCTTTACGGTAGTTCCCACATTTGTCTTTTTTAGCTCCTCAACATAATCCCAAAGAGTCTCAAACTGTTTTGTGTAAGTCCCTTCACTTACAGCAGTTGCCTTTTGCCTTACTCTATAGAGCTGTGATCTTGAAGCTATGACACATAGATCTTCATTCACCATTTCTTTAAAAGCTCCTATATCCCAATTTATTATTATAGACAACTGTGTAGTATATCTCTCTACTAACCATGATGAGTTAGCATGAACATTGCGTTCAATAGTCCCACAGGTGTGCTCCTTTTCATAACTCTTAATTTGAACAATGCTACTTCCATTTACAGCTGAAGCATAAATAAATAATGGACATTTTCCATTCTTGATCTCATTACAAACTGCTCGAACTTTATCTTTATCATTCTTGGAGAACTTAATCTTTCTTATGTTGAACACTGAGTACTTTCTCACTGCTTTCCTAAAAACGTAGACACTGGGAAATCTTAGACCAAGCTTAAATATTGGTTTATTCAAATATGTTTTAGGCCTAAAATCTTCAAACTTGGGTAGTTTTCTCTTCCTTTTTTCTCATAGGCAATTCAACCTCATCACATGAGCTATTATCCAAGTTATTAACATCACTTATAGCCATATCATCTGATTTCTCTCCTTCATTTGCAGTTGGATCAATATCTGGAGCATTGTGGTCAACATTCATTCTTTTCCAGCAAGCATTGTTCATCTTCACTTTGGTTATAAGTACTATCATAAAATTCAGGGTCTTCACTATCATTTTCAGCCCTTTTGTCATTCTCTCCCTCTTCATATAATCTCATCCTCCACATTTATACCATCCGGAACAGTACCTTTATCATCTTCCTCATCCACATTTATACCCTCAGGAACAGTTCCTTCATGCCTATCCTCAACCACATTTGTACCCTCAAGAATAGTGCATTCATCACTAGCTTCCTCCACATGCATAGGCTCAGGAATAGTACCTTCATCACCCTCATCCTCCTCATGCTCTTCATCCTCCTCATACATACACTCATAACTAGATTGTTTAAATTCAGCAGTTATGTTTCTTGCAATAGGACCCCTCTCACTCCAAGCCACTGTAGATTCATCCACACTAATAACAGTAGGGTGTTCCAAGTAAATGACAATCACTCTTTGAAAGTTAGTAGGCACCAAATTACACCAATCAAGTAGCTGAGCATCATTATCTATACACACTTTTTTATCATTTTGTATCTATGTCACAACCACTTGGTCATGATGCCCAAGCTCTTTTGCATAAGCGTATGTCTCTAACAAATTTATGTAGTCCAAAAGACACCAGTCCAAATAATCAACAGACCCCCCACATAAAACCACCACTTATTGAGGTTTGAGGATTTTACTATTCTACCTCAATGGTGTACTTCAAAGGTGACTATTCCTTTGTCATTTGCACAACAGAATATAAAAACACACACTTCAAACACTGCCTAGTCATATGTATAGCAATGCAACCACCAAACTACTAGTAAACACTAAAACGACCCTTAAACAACTAGCAAACAAGAAAACAACTAGTAAAGTACTAAAACGACCTTTAATCACCTAGTAAACAAGAAAACATAACAGCAACACGTAGGGGACCACAACAATTTTTTATTCGAAGCTAATCAAACTCAACACCGTTGGACCCGACCCAACAAAGCAAGTAGACAATAAAGAAGTTTAAACCTGAACCACACTTTATAAATCTATCGCTTTTTCGATTTCATTTCAAAAGCAAAAGCAAAGGGCCACTTACCGTACTCGGGTTGAGAACCTCATTTCTCTCTCGGCACCGTCATTGTCCAATATGTCCAATATTCGTGCAATGCCCAGATTTTGATTCTTCTGATTTCACTATTATGAAATTTTCGGTTCTTCTTAAATGTTCGAATCTCTCTCTTCGATACGGTCCAAACTCTAATCTCCCAAAATTATATCGGCTGAGAAAAGAGTCTTTGGTCAGACTTTACGAACTCAGCCGCTTAGATTAGGATTTTCAAAGCCTGTGGGGTCCAATATGCCACATAGGCCGCTGACTAAGGTCAACAAGTTGCCCACATGGGTGCTTTTACCATAATGCCCTTGCCACGTCAGCTTTTTTGACGATCTTTTGGATGGCATTAACCAGGGGGGAAGTGGAACACAAAACCACAGTCAAGGGGGGTAAAGTGGGCCATTTTAACTTTTAGGCGGGTTAAGTGAGATTTGACTGAAGTTTCAGGGGGTGCTACAGTAAATAAGCCTATTCAAAATTGGTCTATTTTTAAAGATCTTTTTTAGAATATTTCAATGGTGCAATTTTTAGTGTTATTAAATTTATCCGTTTTATTTTATTTGAGTATGTAAAAAAGACAAGTAAGAAGATATAACTATTGATATGAAGCTATTGAACTATATCATTGCAAGTAAAAATGTAGTTCAATTCAATAAATGCCAAAAGAGTTCAATACATTGAACTAACAACCATTGTAAATGCTTTAAGGCAATTTGAATTTGAGGTCAAATATCAAACATTAAATTTGAATTTAAAGACTTATATGGCAATTTGACATATAGTTTTACATTCCACCCTACATGTCAAATTAAAATATTATTTTATTACATATTATTTATTGGTTTACAACGATCTAGGCACATGGATTGAAAAATAATAATAAAATAACAAAATAACATCACAAAGTCAAACAACCAAAAATAACAGTAAGAGAGAGAGATGTTATTCCACGTATGATTTAACATTTCGGTCGGAGTGAGTCTTAGCTTCTTTTTCTACATGTTAAAAGTGCCAAGTTGAATTTAACATCTTCCTTGGAGATGTTCTAAATGGTCATCAATGAATTTAACAAGTTGAATTTAACATTTCGGTTTACGTGTGTTTTAAAGTGATAAAATATATATATATTTAGGAAAAAGGAAACTTACAACTAGAAACCACGAGGGCACGTAGGCCCAACTAAATCAAAATAAAATGGAGCGGAGCAACTAAGAGGAAGCCCCTGCTCCCAAAGGTGGGAAGGGTTCATATTATGGTCTAAATTAGCTAAAGCATCAACAGTAAAGTTTGCTTCTTGAAAAACATGGTGCAAGGAAATTTCTTCACAATAGGAGCTAAGCAACCTTATGTCTTAAACCAAGAGACGAATGCTCCAAGGAACCAAAAATTTGTTATTGATACAATCAATGACGAGCTTGGAGTCACCTTCAATTAAAACTTTACACCAACCATTATTGATGGCATGGGCCAGGCCATCCCGAAGAGCCAAACACTCTACCACATTGATCGAGACCTGCCCTATGTTCTTAGCTTCTACAAGCCTAACGTTACCATTCTAGTCCCGAATCACAAAACCAGTAGCAGCCATATTGTCACGCACCGAACCATCAAAATTCACTTTTATCCAGTCACGATGAGGCATTTTCCATTTGATAGTAGGCTCACCACTAAGCTTTAGGGGGGGATGGGTGGGATGGAGTTGATTTTCCAATAGTCAAGACCAACCTGACCAACAACATTAAGAGCTCTAAACGGGTGAAAGGCAATGTCTTTAAAAACACAGTTGTTCCGAGCCTCCCAGACTTACCAGCAGAAAATGAGAGCTTTTGAAAGACTATTCAGTCCATCTATATCCTTTAAATGAGGGAGCGTATCTAAGCACTTGATTCCATCAAAATTCAATTGAGAAGTTGTGGGGATCATGGAGGTACACCTTCAAATATTAGCAGCAAAATGACATTAAAAAAATATATGGTTAATAGTCTCCAAGTGATTGTTACAAAGAGGGCACTCAGGATTGATATTAGGTAAATATTTATGTAAGTGACTTCTAACTTGTAATCTTTTCCGAATAAATTACCAAGCAAAGAGCTTGACTTTGGGAGGCAGAGTTAAACTCCACATTTTCTTTAATAAGGAAGCTCTAGGATGGGAATGCTCATCTTGTAACTGAAGGTTATAAGCATATTTGATAGGAAACTTTCCATTGGGGTTGGGCCCCCAGATTAATTCATCCTGCAGTGGAGAAAGAGGGGGAGGGATAGCTAGAATTATTTCCAAAATGTCTTCATTAACTTCTTGAAGGAGCTTATCAAGCTGCCAAACCTGGTTTTGAATAAAATCTAGTAAAGGAACTAGGAAAACCTAATTTGCTGTTCAGAAAAGGATGGATTCACTATTACCAACAATCCATCTAATACCTTTATGCAGAAATGTGCAAGCTTCAAGAATAGCCTTCCAAGTTAAAGAATGAAAAGTCTTTTTGTGGACAGAGAGAAAACAATTTTTTTTAAAAGTACTTCTTAGTTATGATATGAGCCCACCAATTAGTAGGATCAGATAGGCAAATCCAGCCTAATTTAGCTAAAGTCGCCTTGTTAAAATGAACAGCTGATCGAAACCCTAGACCCCTTAAATGTTTAGGCAAGCAAATATCTTTCCAAGAAATAGGAGGGACCTTATTACCACTACCCCAAAAAAAAACGCATGCTACAAGCATTCAATTCCTTACAAACTTCTTTGGGATATTTGAAACAGGAAAGGGTATGGTTAGGAATACCAGAAGCACTAGCCTTAATTAAGGTGAGACGACCAACTTTAGATAGCGTTTGGGCCTTCCAACCTGCAAACTTTTCAAATTCTTTCCATCATCATTTTGGCATTAGCTGGATCTTTCCAGAAGATAACATCGTGGATGCCAAGGTAGCGCCCTAATGTAGCCTTATACTGAATCTGCAGCAGATTACTTAGGGTAGTTCTAACTTTTGAGTGAACATTTCCAGAGAAGTAAACAGTGGATTTATCTAAGTTAATTTTTTGACCAGAGACTTTAGCATTTTTTTTCTAATAAAGTGTTAATATTTCTGGCAGCCACAACAATAGCCCTGGCAAAGACAATCATTAGCAAAAACCAAGTTAGAGACTTGATCCCTTCCAGGGGAAGAAAGTAGACCCACATTAGATTTAGGATTTTTAGTAAGAATATTAAAATGCCTAATAAAAGGCTCTATACACAGGATAAAAATATAAGGAGATAAAGCATCTCCTTACCGAATTCCCCTAGAGGCATTGAAATGACCATAGGGAGAACCATTAATAAGCAAGGAGAATGAAGGACTAGAAACACAATTCATAATTTGATCACACCACCTAGGACTAAAACCAACTTTGGACAGGCAACCTCTAATAAACCCCCAATCCAGGAGGTCATAGGCCTTTTCAAGGTCGAGTTTGATAGCCCCTATACCCTTAACAGCACATTCCAGTTCAAAGTCTGTGACAGGAGCCAACAGATTTACGTTATCTTGGCTGGTGACACAAGGCTCAATTGGGAGCCTGCTCAGCTGTGAATCTAAGCTTGAAAGCTTTAATAAAAGTCTGATGGAGGACATCACCATCAACCCAAAGCCCATCAGGATCTTAATTCTAATAATTTGGTTTCGTTTCCTTCTAATGAGAGCTTGGGTGTGAAAATATTTAGTGTTTTTGTCACCAAGTTGGAGCCAATTATCTCTAGCTTTCTGAGCATAGAAAACTTCTTCTTGCTCAAGCAAAATCCTCAAATATGTATCTAACTTGCGGTCTTTGTCTAAGAGACAAAGGTTGTAGGGATTCTGGGTGAACTATTCTTGGATAAGAAGTAAATTCTCTTGTGTTAATCTAAGTTTTTGGAACAGGTCTCCAAAAACATTTCTATTCCAAGATTTTAGTTTATGTTTGAAGGTGTTATAGCACGATTGGATTTTCTGAGCAACATTCCCACTGTAAGAATTATTCCAGGTTTGGGAGACCACTTGATCAAAATCTCTATGAGCTAATCACATGGCTTCAAATCTAAAGGCTTTTGGGACTCTTCTAGAGGTGTCATTACAGGTGAAAAGGATGGGACCATGGTCTGATCTTAGAATAGGAGCATTTTGGAGTTCAGAATTGGGGAAAAAAGTCATCCATGCAAGGTTAACAAGAGCCCGATCTAGTCTTTCATAGATAACAGAATTATCATGATGCCCATTGCACCAAGTGAAAGGAACACCGGAAGTGTTCATAGTAAATACTTCACAATCATTGAGAAATTTATTAAACTTTATCATGGCCAACCACCCATTTTTTTCATTTAAGGAGCAAATGTTATTGAAGTCTCCTAGAAGAAGCCAAGGGATATTAGACACTGGTTTTAAGGATATAAGATCTGTCCACAGAGCCTCTTGCTTAGCATTTTGAGGGTAGGCATAAACAAAGGTAGCTAACCATACCTTCTTAGTAGATAACTCTTGAATCTCACAATTAATATAACCCTCATGGTAATTCAAAATGCTTATATTTAACATAGAAGGGTTTCACATCAAGATAATTCCCCCACATTATCCTATGAAGGGGACACAAAAACTACTACTAAAACCTAACCTCTGAACCAAGTGATCAGCCTGATCCCGAGAGGCCATAGAGTCCACAATACAACAGAGATCTAAGCAAAATGTACTAATATGAAATAAGGATTGCGGGATGAAACCACGCCAAGCACTGCCTCGACAATTCCAGCTTAAGAGCTTCATGGATTGGGATTCTCAACTCCTGGAGCATAAGGGTTAAAGGACCCCATGATTTCTACACTCGATTTTAAATTTTTCCTAGACTTCTTCAAATAGTTCTCTAGCTCTTTTCTTGGGGCTTTTAAAAGTAGTAAGAGCAGAAATACTATTTTCCTCCTGAGAAAGGCTTGGATTAGACAACACATTATTCCCTTTGTCCACCCCGCTTGGCCCAACTTCCTTGAAATAAACTTTGGGGATAAGACTAGAAACCTCATCATCAATACGAATACCTCTCGCCACTTCGTTGAAAGTTCTGCCTTCTCTCACCGCACTTTTTGCCTTCCCTGTGCGGTTAGAGATCACAGTCCAGCCAAATCATTTTCTTTATTATTCTGCACGAAACCTTCCTCAACTTCCCCACCATTATTATTTTATGAATATCCTCAACCGTAAGAGCCATTCTTCACTGACAGAGGCGAAGTTTGTTGAGAAACCCGGACAATTCTAGTGAAGAATGAAATTTTTCCTTATTCCGACACCTTTTTCTCTTTCTGATCTTCCAGATCCCTAAATGTTTAAGTCCCAATTGTGCCCTAGTTCCTTTTCCCTCTTTCCCTCTCCAGATCTTTTCTCTCTTCATTTTTTTTTATGAGCATAAAATTTTTAAGTTTTGAGTGCAAGATAAGTAATTAGGAGTGTAAAAGTGAAAAAATATTAAGTTCGGAGTAGTTGCAATAAGGTATAGATCTTTCACCAATTTATTGTCATTTTGACTAATCTTATATTGACTATGGAGTTGTAATTAGATTTAGTTCCAAGGAAAAAAAGAAGCTGAAGTGACTTTCATTATGAAATTTAATGATTTGGCGCCAATGACATAATAATTATAAAAATAAATTAAATTAAAAATCTTACCAAAGAGAAAGGCATGGGCCCGGGGATGTTCTAGTGGACCTAAACTGGATTTGATGTATAATGGGGATCTTTATTTGAATTTAGACCCAAAAAGTTCACAAGTACGGCAGCCAACCCAATTTTATTTGTCATTGGACTTCCCATTTTACCCTTATCTTCAACTTTCAGTTTAAAGGTTTAGCAGAACTGAGAAAGAAAAAAAAAAAAAAAAAAAAAAAAAAAAAAAAAGAGAGAGAGAGTGAGGAAGAAAGAGTGTCTGCCGGCGCCGATAATAGAGGTAGCTGGTGGGTGCTTGATGTGGGGAGATGTAATGGATTTGTTGAAAATAAGGCCCCGTTTGGTTCACGGAATGAATTTGAAGGAAAATTATTTCCCATGCCATTTTCTAAGGGATGAGAAATGGAAGATTTCTTTCCCACGTTTGGTAATGTTGGGAAAGTAACCGAGAGATATTACTTAATTTCATTTTCCATATTTGTTTTGAGTATAAATGGAAAACAAAGTTTGTATAAATTTTCAATTATACCCATATTAAATCAAATAAAAAAAGAATGCATTTAATGATTTATTGTAATTCTAAATTGTTAATGGGGACAAAATGGTCATGAAAAATGTTTATTTAATATTGGCTAATTTTCCCAAACTTTCCCATGATAAGGGAAAATAAAACCCAAGCTAAGAGGATGGTTTCACTTTCCCCTTACTTTCTCATTGGCCAGGCAACGATTTCTCATACTTGGACTTACCAAACATGGAAAAGCAATTAATTTCCCATCACCAAGTTTTCTTTCCCATAAACCAAACGCGGCCTAAGGGTATAATAGGAACTTCGTTCGTTGACAAAAAAAAATTGGTTGGGTTTACTTATGAATTTTTGGGTTCAAAATAAAGGCACCCATGATTGTATTTATGGGTTGGGTTTTCTTATATGATCTCTAATTTATGTCTAATGAGTCTTTTGCCTTTTCCAGAAAGTCTTTAGGTTTAGTCTTTTGCCTTTCTCTTTTTTTTTGGGGGGGGGGGAGGTTCAAATCATCTTTCCAAAAATAACTAATCCCAGTTTCGTTTACTTTCCAACATCATTGGGAAATAATTTTGTAGCATAATGAAATTGGGTTTTTGAAGCCATTGATTCAACGTACTAAATATGCTAAAAAAAACAATGTACTATTTATAAATATATTTGTCTCATAATCCTAACCCAGATCATATATTTTTGTGTGTTGATATTGTGATTATTTAATAGGATGCAAAGTTAATCCTAACACAAAAATATTGTGATTATTTTTGTGTGTGTTGATATATTTTTGTGTGTTGATATTTTTGTGTGTTGATATTTTTGTGTGCTGATGCAAAGTTATTTTGAATTTCGAAATTAAGTATGCATATTTTAAATAATGAATCACAAGTTCGCATCAACTTAATAGGATATTTTTCTGTACATCAGATAGGGTTAAAGTCGCAATCAAACACCTTATAACAAGTAATTAGTCCTTTTTCACTAAGTTAGATCTCGTTAGCACTAATTATTGAGTTTTGTAGGATTGAGACAAAAGGTATTATCACAATTCACACACATATTTAGTAAAACCAAGTGTAATATCTTAAAATAAAACCAAGTGGATAAAGTATAGTTTGTAAGCCCTTGAAAATCCACAAGAAAAACAACTCATAATCACTCATTAGCAGTTATTAGTACTAATTATTGAGTTTTAAACGTGTTATCTTCGTGTGTTTACGTGCATTTTGCAAATAATAGTAAATAGATAAAAAAAAATTATTTAAAAAAAAAGTACATTTATTTAGTAGTTATATATAGTTTCAAAAGCCACGGTAATTAGTTGGAGAGGTTGGACAGGGCTCCCTCCCAACAACAAGGTCTCTCTCTCTCTCCACTGAAAAACACGAGATACCCAAAAATCCAAATTCAACCGTCCGTCTCTTTCTCTTTCCCAAGACATCACGAAATTCGAGACGAGAGAAAAAAAAGAAAAAAAGAAAAAAAAAGAGGCCGAAGAATTTTAACAAACAAAAGATCTAGGGTTTGCATAATTTTCTCTCTCTTTCTCTTCGATTTTCTTTCCCTCCAAACGGCCCCGCGATTTCTAAACTTTTTTCACGAGAACGCGGGGCGGAATCTTTTTTTTTTTCCAGCTCGGCCCGGTTTGGTCGTCGTCTTTTTTCTTTTCGGTTTTTTTTTCTTTTCTTTTGTTTCCTCTTCAGATCCTATATTTTCTCCGGGAAAAGCTTTTTCCGGGAAAATTTGGCCTGCACCTCCTGCTCTCCACGACTTTCTACGGTTTTTTGTTCTTCAAGCTCTTTCGAGGTAAATCTCCCCCTCTCCCTCTCCCGTTCTCTCTCTTTCTCTCTGTCTCTCTCTGTCTATCAGTGTTTCTGTTTTTTTCAATGGAATTTCGTTTCCTGGACTATTTTCCGGGAAAGTTTGTTTATTCAAAATCTTCAATTTCCTTAATGCTCCAATAGGTAACTTTACCCTACCATGTTTCCGCAATTTTAAGGGAAACTGTAATCTTGTATACATGCTTGTTTTGTAGTTATTCATTTTTGGTAATATTTATCGTTTTCAATCAGAGCATAAAATTTCTTTTGCACTTTTAGGTTTAATTTGTTATAAATTTTCTGTTTTAGGAGTTTTACGTGTGAATTGTTGATCTGAGAGGAACAATAGCTGATGGTCGGAGTGCGGGGAAGGAGGGAAATGCATTAAAGGTCTTGGATTCAAAGAGAGAGGATTTGGGAGCGAATGTGTACGTTAGATGGTTGATTTGTTTGAATAGTCGAATTATCGTCTCTTGATCTTGAATTGGTTGAATTTTGAATGCACATAGCTTCATGGATTCGGAAGGATTTCCATCTTCGAGGCAGGTGGTGAAGTGTTCTAATTGCGAGTGCAGTTCTTCGGTTATGAGCGTTTCTTCAGGGACTTGGCTCCGTTCGGTAAAGAGAAAGTATAGCGAGTATGAGGATGGTAACCGTTTCTTTATACCTGGGCTTGAAATTTATTATAATGCACGAGTCCAAATGGAGAACGAATGTGTTGCATTACGTGAGACTCTTAGTAGCCAGCAGAATACAATACAAGATTTGTATACTGAACTGGATGAGGAGAGGAATGCTTCATCATCGGCCGCGAACGAGGCTATGTCAATGATATTGAGATTGCAGAGGGAGAAGGCGGAAATACAGATGGAGGCTCGGCAATTCAAGTGTTTTGTTGAGGAGAAGATGGCACATGACCAGCAAGAGCTTTTGGCACTGGAAGATTTGTTGTATAAGAGAGAACAAGCAATTCAGGCACTCACATGTGAAGTACAGGCCTATAAGCATAGAATGATGAGTTATGGGCTCACAGAGTCTGAGGCAGAGGGTGAGAAGGGTGGGTTTAGCCGTATCCAGAGTATGGGTGATTTTGAAGCGCAGTATGAACTCCCCACAACGCCCACATATGAGTATCCACCTCTGAAATGCAAGCTAAATGAGACTCAAGGTCCATTGGAGGAGGATGATGATGTTACAGATATTGAGAAATATGCATTTGGTGAGACCCCTCGTGGGAGAGATCATTTGAGAAATCTGGAAAACAGGCTCTCTCAGATGGAGAGGTGTCCGAGCAGCAATCAGCTGGATGGGGATTTTTCGGGTTCCAAGAACATTTTCGAAAAGGTGGTGGTTGGTTATTCTCCTAGGCGGTCAAGACAGTCCGGGAGACTTTCAAGTGATTCACCCATGTATACGGTTAGAGAAGCTGGTTCAGATTTTGGTGCTGAATCTCCTAGGTATAACAGCAGCTTGAAGAAGGTGGATTATGTCTCACAGTCAGAGGACTACCCAAATACGAGAAAGCTAGATAACGCATCAGAATTTGGAGATGACATGAGTGACAGAGTTTATACCATTGACTCTATCCATAATGGAGCACCTTACAATGGTTTTACAGACGCCAAAGCTGGAGTTGGAGATTACATAACTGCTCCAAGGGGATCACTTAATCAGCCTGATTTTGAGGATCCTGATATCATGAAGCTCTATATGAGGCTTCAGGCACTTGAGGCTGACAGGGAGTCGATGAGGCAGGCAATGCTTTCGATGCGGACTGACAAAGCTCAACTGGTATTACTTAAAGAAATAGCTCAACATTTGTGTAAAGACATGTCAGCGGAGAAACAAATGACTGTAAAGAAGCCATCTCTTGTTGGAAGTTCCTCCTTCATGTCAGTTTTTAAGGTAATTTTGGATTCTTTTGTTGGCAAATGAGATATAACTTTTCCAATAGTGCTACATGGTTGATTATTCTTTATTTTTATTTTTTAAGCCAGAGAGTGCTATCAAAATTATCATTTTCACGGACCATTTTGCTTAATTAACACTTATTTTTGTTTCATCTCTGTGTTCAGTGGATCAAGTCCTTTGTTTTCTGGAGAAGAAGAGCGCATCGAAGCAAGTAAGTAGTTCACAACATCATAATAGATATAAATCAGTAGTTTATCTTGTCTTATAACTGACACAATCTAATTTATATATTTGTTTTAAAGATCAAATGAAAAACAATGGATTTGTTAACCATCTAAGCATCAAGCACCTGTTACAGCACTCTGGAAATTGAACCTATATAGAAATATATTTGAAATTTAAAACTTGTAGTGCTCTTAACTATGATGACATCTTTGTAGCAATTTATTTTTTTGGTGAGAATAGTGTTGTAGTATCAATAGATCTTTTAAAGCCTTGAGAGCAAAACCTCTGCCTCCCACAGCACTCTGGAACTTTTTCGCTTTGTTGATTGATCAAGTGCAATTAATCCTGTTATAATGTCTTGAATTGGTTTGAATCTAATTTCAGGTATATGTTTGGGCTATCAGCCAACGTGGGTTTGCTTATGCTTCTAGACAACAGTCCCCATGCAAGGCAGTGGAGATGTCTTACAAGCACACAAGTGTGAAACCAGTTAGCAAACATCAGTATCCATATGAAGGATATGCTCTCACGATACACCGAGGGCATTTTAATCACACTTGTACGAGTAGATTTTGTATTCTTTTCCTGGTTTGGTTGTTGCTGAATTTGGGTATTTGTGCAGAGTGTTCTTTTGATTCAAATTTTTTTTTTCTTCGGGGGTTTGAGTGACCGGTTTCTGGATACGGTTTGGGCATGCTTGCTCATACGGTTCTTAGGAATTCTTCAGCTCAAGCTATGTGTCATTTGACTGTCCTCTCCTGTACATTGCAGATGCTTGTATGATTGATTTCCAATTCAAATATGCAAGGCCTATTCTTTCAGCCCTAGCTTATGCAGGTTTACCCCAAAAGGGGATTTTAAATCTTGTTTCTCTTGGACCGTATTGTGGCCCTCTCTATCCCTTTCTTTTTTCTCCTCTCTGAAAGCAAAGTTGTTGGTTAAAGCATTGGTGGATGCTTTTGGTCCACCACACAGGGACTTTCACAAATTCCTCTACTTTCTGATAATGCTGGTTTTTTGTTTTTGAGGATAAGAACTAATAATGCTGGTTTCATAGGTCCATTTGTATTGTCTTTCTCAACTGTTAGCTGTAGTTGGCCCCAAAATAAAAAGAGTGAATTGTAGTTTGCAAATTCTTTTTTCTTTTTCCCCCATTTTACCTGGGTTTTATATTGCAGAAAATATAAAATAAAACCCTTAATGAAAAAGGTTGTGGGACAGATGAACTGATGTGCCTGCCAATCCTGGTACTAACATTCTTTTGAGGATCGCATGGCTGTGGGTGGTACATTGTTTCACAAGGAAGGGAAAGGTCATAGTCTTATCTTAACCTTGTATGTCACTTCTGGTGATATCAAGACGCAAAACCATTTTTATGAATATTTTTACACTTTTCCGGCGAGATGTAAATTTACATCATCAATATTCCGGCACATCGGAGCTCTAAATTTATTTTTCAGATGTAAGATGTTCATTTCAAGGCATTTTACATCTTCCAAATTAGGGATGGAGTGAAGAGTTTAAAAATGCTTTTTAACAACCAAAAAATATTTCATCAGCGTTTACCAAAAGAACTCAAATTACCGAGCAGTGGAAAACGATCATGAGTAACTTAGATGGTTTGGAATGCTCAGAAAATACTCATAACTGCCTGTACTTCGTTGTCTCCTCCCTAACAGGCCAAACTACGAAAGAGCTTAATACCAGCTCCCAAATTAATTAAACAGTCCAGGCCTCTGTCTGTGTGTGGTGTTGGGTAAATTCGTTCATTTTTATCCATATTTTTCTCGACCACTTGTTGTTTGGTAAAAAATCCAGTCCGTGTAAATAACTTGCCAAAAAAAGAAAATGAGATGATTTTCTCACTCATCTTTTCTCCACTTTCACTCCCTTTTACTTTTTAATCAATTTTTTTCTTTTTTTTCTTTTTTCTATTTCATATTCTACCCTTACCCTACATTAATGTTTTGATTACTAAAATTAAGAAAAGGAAAATGCTAGGGACTTGTGTACCATATCTCTAATAGAGCATGAGACCCATTATATTGGTGGGCTCCACTTCTATTAGAGAAATAGTACAGAAGTTAGTATCTAAAGTTGGTCTCTCTAGCATGACCCTTAAGAAAAATTAACATTAAAATAAAAAACAGAAGTGACAGAGCGTCTTCTACTCCTTTAGTGAACACATCATAAGAGCTCCTTTTTTTTCGTGTAAATATTTTCCTGGAAAATATAAATTTATACGTGGACGACATTTCCAAATTGATCGTCTAGCTTGGGTTTGGGGATTAATTCACGAAGGTTTCCTTCATTATGTCAAAAGTGGTTTTGTGGATTGCATGTTTTGCTGCAAAGACTTTGCTTTTTTTCAATTAGGAGGCATGATTAATGGTCACCAGATCAGTTCATGTCAGCACCCATTTCAACCTTTAATTTTTTAAAACAAACACATCGAAAATTGAATAAGAAGCCTTCAATTTTAAATTATTGTGTATTTTCTTGTGGGTTCTTATAGAAATTGGAAAAGCATGATCCATAACAGACTGAGAAAATAATTCATGTAGATTCATATGCCAGAATTTGGGTATTTGCTGGAAACAACTCAAGTTCGTCGGAGATGTGGCTGAGTTCCGTCGTATGAGGTGATGGAGGAGTGGGAAAGACACGATGAAGGAGTAGAAGACGCTCTGATTTAATTTAATTTAATTTATTTAATGTTAACTTTTCTTAATTTTAGTTATCGGAACATTAATGTAGGGTAAAGGTAGAATATGAAAGAAAGAACAAAACGTTTTCGGTAAAGTTTTCTAAGAATAATTTTTAAGAATGAAAACAAAAAAACGAATTTGCATTTTCAAGATCGAAAATGTGTGTTGTAGATTAATTGGAAAACATATTTATAAAATAAAAATAGTGAAAATGTGTTTGGTAGGATAATTTGGGAATAATAATATGTGAGTTATTTTTGCTAATTTCTGTCCTAAAAATATATATATATATTAAATTCTGATATTTTAAAGGTTAAAATTATTACAAACAATAAAAAATGTATAATAAAAATAATTTTTTTCTTTCTAATTTTAGAAAAACCTAGATAATAAAATTATATTATCTTTAGTTTAAAATTGAATAATATATGATGGTTTTATCCTAAAATTAATATACACTGGTGTAGCAAAAATAAAATAATGAAGTGGAATGAAAAAACTGAAAATTGAGAAAAAAAAAATTTAAAAAGAAAAGAAAAAAGAAAATAAATCAATCATACCAATACACCGGGTAGAAAATGAAAACGATAATTTGGTGTTTTCAATTTTTGTACATAAGTTTGAATTTGTTTTCAGAAAATAAATTCAAGGGAAAATGAAAACCACGTACCGAATGTATTTTTGGTAAAAACGAAAACGGACTTTGACAACGTTACCGGCCCTAAAGAAATGCGTTTCTAACTGCGCCACTCTAAAACCCTGCCCCATTGCTCGGCCATTCTTCTGTTTCAGCAGCGCCACAAAACGCTCTCCAATGCTTAGCTGCAAAACCTTATTGTCCAGAAGGACCAAAATCATAAGGAAAAATAAGAAAAAGAAAAGCAAAAACAACAAAAGAAGCAACAGTTTTTCTACAAAACAAAACCCCATTTCCGAAATATACCAGCAAGAAGAAGATATAGAGGAAGAGGAAGAAGAAGATGGTGATGATGTTGAGGAAGGTTTTAATCTTAAAGCCTCCGCCCCATCACAATCACATGGGGTTCAACCACTGGGAAATCTCTACCTCAGCCCAGGCTCTGTCAACTCAAGGAACACTGGCTTAGGTAATCTCCAAACCCTAACAGATGAGCTTGTTCTTGAGGTTTTGGGGTTTTTGGGTGGGGCCCATTTGGGGTTTTTGGCCTCTGTGAGCAAATCTTTCTATGTCTTTGCAAACCATGAGCCCCTTTGGAGGAACCTTGTGTTGGATAATCTAAAGGGTAGGCTTTTGTATAATGGCTCTTGGAAATCTACTTACATTGCTGCTCGTTACCCTTCATTTGATGTGTCTAATATCTGTGTTTCGGGTTTGAGAGTGAGAGACTTTTATTCTGACTATCTCTTTCAGAGTTGGCTCTGTGCCAATCTCGAAATGAAACCTGAATGGCTTCAAAGAGATAATATAATCCGAAGAAGGGGCATTTCGGTTGAGGAATTCATTTCTGATTTTGAGGAACCAAATAAGCCGGTGCTGTTGGAAGGGTGTATGGATAATTGGGTTGCATTGGAGAAGTGGGATAGAGATTATTTGGTTCAGGTGTGTGGTGATGTACAATTTTCAGTTGGGCCAGTGGAGATGAAACTTGGGGAGTATTTTAGGTATGCTGATCAGGCGAGGGAAGAGAGGCCACTGTATCTATTTGACCCAAAATTTGGAGAAAAAGTTGCAATATTGGGTTCAGAGTATGAAGTTCCAGTGTATTTTAGGGAGGACTTATTTAGTGTATTGGGAAGTGAGAGGCCAGATTACAGATGGATTATAATTGGACCAGCTGGATCAGGTTCCTCATTCCACATTGATCCTAATTCGACTTCAGCTTGGAATGCGGTGATCAAGGGGTCAAAGAAGTGGGTATTGTTTCCTCCTGATGTGGTTCCTCCAGGAGTGCATCCCAGTCCAGATGGTGCAGAGGTGGCATGTCCTGTTTCAATAATTGAATGGTTCATGAACTTTTATGGTGCAACAAAGACTTGGAAAAGGAAGCCTATCGAGTGCATTTGTAAGGCGGGGGAGGTGATTTTTGTACCTCAAGGATGGTGGCATTTGGTGATCAACTTGGAGGAATCAGTTGCCATTACACAGAATTATGTTAGCAGGTATGGATTTTCTGTAAGTTATGCCTTTTAATCTGAAAATTCTCATATTTTCTGTTGCATTTCTTGTAAGAATCATAAACTGGTAGTATATAACTAGTCCTATTAGTTGGTCAAATAATGTTAATATGGCCTTCTGAGCCCTATTTTGATGATTAGTGCTACTATGTATTAACAGAGCAAATTGGAAATAACACTGTTTTCAAAAAGCCATAGGAAAATATGGGCGAATTTAGCTGAAGTTTAGGTGTAATTTCAAGCATCCACTAGTGATATTTGAAAAATCAAAACAGATTAGTTTATAGAAAGATGCCTGAAGAAGAGGCATCTTTGGTCAAGTAAAGATTGGATTTCCAAATTGAGAGATGTATCTTTTTAATAGGCCTGAAGGAAAGCCAGTGGATTGTAAGGGTTGTGTGTATCCTTGACCTGACATTTCTAAGAAACTAAGAAGTTCAGCTACTTTTGCGTTTTTGTTATTTTGTAAAATATTCGCTCAGTGAGGAAGTTGAATGTTAGATAACAGATGTTTGTGTGGTGTAGGTATCTGAATTCAAGGATATGGGAGAAAGTATAATTTTTTTTATCAAAAAATCAAAACATGTAGTAATATGTTTACAGCTCTAGATTAAAATGAAAC